AGCATACATTATACGAAGTTATACGAGGCACCGTCTGGGTAAGTCCTGGCTCTGCGGGATCGAGGCGGCGTGCATGGCTGCCTGGCCGGGCGGAATGACGGGGCGGCCCTCCTGCTGCCTGCCGTTTGCGCCGGCGCCGTTGCCGTTGCCGCCGCCGTTCTGGCCCTGGCGGCGCTCGTCGCCCTCGTTCTGGATGAGCGAGGGGGCGACGTAGAGGCGCTTATCGATGTTGCTCGGGATGGGCTGGATCTCGGTGCCCAGCTCCTGCTCGATGCGGTAGAGGTTGAAGCGGTCCTCGTAGGTGATGAGGTTGATGGCGAGGCCGAGGTGGCCAAAGCGTCCGGACCGTCCGATGCGGTGGAGGTAGGTCTCTGCGTTCTTGGGAAAGTCAAAGTTGATGACGACGTTGACGGCCTGGATGTCGATGCCGCGGGTGAGGAGGTCGGAGCAGACGAGGTTGCGGCAGGCGCCGTTGCGGAAGTCGTGGAAGACGCGGTTGCGGTGCGACTGGAGCATCTTGGCGTGCGAGTAGAAGCACGAGTAGCCCAGCTCGGTGATCTTTTTGGCGAGGAGCTCGACGCGGTTGGTCGAGTTGCAGAAGATGATCGACTGGTTGATCTGCAGCTTGGAGAAGAGCGTGTTGAGGCAGTGGACCTTTTGCCGCTCCTCGACAAAGGCATAGTACTGGGTGACGCCGCGCAGCGTGAGCTCGTCCATGAGGTTGATCTCGTAGGGCTTGACCATGTTCTTGTCCTTGAAGTCCTTGACGATCATCGGAAAGGTGGCCGAGAAGAGCATCACCTGGCGCTCCTTGGGGAGGAAGCTGAGCAGCTGCTCCATGACGGGCGTGAATTCGGGCGAGAGGAGCTTGTCGGCCTCGTCCATGACAAACGTGGTGCACTGGCTGAGGTCGGCGACGCCCTTGCCGGCGAGGTCGAGGATGCGTCCGGGCGTGCCGACGAGCAGGTGGACCGTCTGCCCGAGGCGGAGGATGTCGTCGCGCAGCGTCGTGCCGCCGGTGGTGACCATGACCTCGACGCCGAGGTGCTTGCCGAGCGTCTTGGCAACCTGGCTCGTCTGGAGCGCCAGCTCGCGCGTCGGGACGAGGAGCACGGCCTGGATGACGTTCTTTTTCGTGTTGAGCTTCTCGAGCGAGGGAATGACGTAGGCGGCCGTCTTGCCCGTGCCGTTCTTGGCGCGCGCGAGAATGTCGCGGCCGGTCAGGGCGATGGGGATGGCCTCCTCCTGGATGGGCGACGGCCGTTCGAAGCCGGCCTCGAAGATGCCCATGAGCAGCTCGCGCTTGAGAAAGTAGTCTTCGAAGTCGTTGCCCTTGGTGTTGAGCACGTCCTCGGTCTGGGGCCGGTCATCCTTGCGCAGCTTGCCGAGGATCTCTTGCTTCCAGCTGGCCTCCGATTGGCCCGGGGCGGGGCCGGACGATGACATGGTGCGAGGTGCGAACGGGGGCGGAGGTTCGACTGGGTGAGGGACGCTTGAAGGGACGTAGCGGTGGGGCCGGTAGTGTTACAAGAAGCGAAGCGGGACGGGTCGGATGCGGGCGGCGGGCGAGGAACGACGTGCGAAGAGGAGCGCAAGAGAGAGGAAGAAGGGGAGGAATAGGCCGGCCTGCGGAGCAAGAAGAGGATGGAATGCTTCTAGAGGTCGGCGGCAGTCGAGGCGAGGTGCGACGTCGATCGAGTCTAGCCGGAGGGTGTCGATGGCGGCGATTTGCTGGAGAGGGGCCGGCCGGGTGATGCTGGTGTTTCGACTGACGAGACGGCCGAGGAGCTTCCGAGAGCGGGTCTGGAGCTGTAGGGCTTTGGAAAGTGTACAAGAGTGGCGCACCTGCGCTAGGCAAACCAGACGAGACGCAAGAGGGACAGAGAGGGCAGGGGCAGGGGTCTGCGACGAGAGGCAGAAAGGTTGGGAGCGGCAGCAGACGAGGGTCGAGTGAGCGCCGCTGGTAGCGAGAAAATCGGGAGCCGGCAAGAATGAAGAGGCGGCGTGGGCAGCGGCGGAGGGGATGTCGCTCGATGAAAAGACGAGTGAGCCGTGGAAGACAGAGAGGGCGAGGATTTTCGTGCGACGGCGTGCGAGCGATCAAGAGGCCCTGCGGTGAATGCGCGCGGAGGGGCAGAAAGTGCTGGGTCGAAGGAGGTGACGGGGGGGTCTGCAGGCAGGGCAGCGAGTCAATGTGTGAATGCCTGTGCGGAGGTGGGGAGGAGGTGGTTGGTGGGCTGGTGAAAGTGTGTAGCGGGGTCGAGAATGTGCGGCTGTTCGAAAAGTGGTTGCTAGTGTGCGTGCGTTTGGCAGCCGTGCTGATGATGATGGCGGAGGGGTGGTGATGATGATGATGATGGTGGTGGTGACGAGGGAGCGAAGGGTGTTGGCAGGCAGCGACGCCCGAGCGAGCCGGCTGCCTGCCCTGCCTGTACGTGGCCGTCGCACATGGGTACAGCAGCGGGCGGGCGGCGCAGCCTAGCCAGAGGTCCAGCCCAGCCTCGCCTGGGTGCCCAGCAGACCAGCCTTGCCATGCCCTGCCATGCCCTGCCCGGCCTAGCCTCTCTGCGCGCCCCAGACGGTGACGTGCCTGGCCGGCTGGCCCTTGCCCGCGCCCGCGCCCTCGCCCTCGCCCTTGGTCCTCGCCCAGGGCGAACCCTTTTCGGGCGAATGAGGCGAGCCTTTGACCCCCCTGCCGCGTGATCAATGCACACCCGCCGACTCCCGACATTTGGCCAACCCACGCCGAGTGTCAGATAGGCCAGGCCAGGCCAGGCCCAGCAAGGGCGCGTTTCCAGAAGCCCGGTTGGCGCCGCGGCACCCGCCACTTCCCCCTCCTCCTCCTCCTTCTCATCCTCCTACCATCACCTCATCGATCCCTCCCCCGCAGCTCGCTCACCACCGAACCTACGCGCCACACATGCTCGCCAACACGCTCCGCCAGCGCACGCTGGCCGCAGCTCGCCGCACACCGCTCGTCCCCACCTCTGCATCCCTGGCACCCTCGTCGGTCCCCATCGCCTCCACCTCGGCCGCCGCTTTCGGCACCACGGTTTCGGGTGCCGCAGCCTCGTCCCCGAAGCCCACCCCTCCGCCTCGCTCGCCGCACCACGACGAGAAGTTCCTCAGCTGGAATCAATACCTCCAGCTGCGCCGCTCCCGCCGCCTCGCTGGCCTCGTCACCACCGTCCCCACCACCGCCCTCGCCGCCACCGCGGCCGGCTCCTACTTCCTCACCCTCGAGGTAGACCCCACCAACGCCATCGCCGGCATCGACCCCACCTTCATCTACGCCGGACTCACCCTCGCCTTCACCGGCCTCGGCTGGCTCACGGGCCCCACCATCGGATCCTCGATCTGGACCCTCCTACACCGCAAGCAGGCAAAGCAGATCGCCCAAAAGGACCACGACTTCTTCGAACACATCAAACGAAGGCGGGTCGATCCGTCAAGGCAGAGCATGCAAAACCCCGTGCCCGATTTCTACGGCGAGAAGATTGGTAGCGTCAAGCAGTATCGTCAGTGGTTGCGAGACCAGGTGAGCAGCTGCGACCGTGAGGCGGTCGCTTGTATTGGTGGTCGCTTGCGTTGGTGCTTGCTTGCGTTGGTGCTTGCTTGCGTTGGTGCTTGCTTGCGTTGGTGCTTGCTTGCGTTGGTGCTTGCTTGCGTTGGTGCTTGCTTGCGTTGGTGCTTGCTTGCATTGGTGAACGTGTCGCGGTCGGAGCAGGCCTCGGCTGACGTCGCTTCGCTACTCCTTGTCTTCTCTTCTCGCTTCTCAGGCGGCCTACAGGAGAAAGGCGGCGCACGGCCTCGATGCAGATGTATAATTGAACTCATGGTCCGTGACCAAATCGAAGCGAAGGTGAATAGGTTCCCAGCCGGCCGCGTGCGTCGCAACAAAGAGAGAGAAAGAGAGAAAAAGTGACGCGGGCACGGCTCGCTCGATTGCATGCGCCCCGGCGCCGTCTAGGAGAAAGACTACGACCTCAGCGACCCCTCTTCTCCGTCTTCATCCTGCCCATCTCGAACAGGTGCTGTGCGAGGTCGGCAGATGCAGACACGATGACCAGTCAGCCGACAGTCTAAGCGCTCGTCTCGACGTGCAGGGGCGCACTCACCTCTGGTCGGAAGGGCCACTTTTCAAACGTCCGCGAGAGGCCGGCCCACTGGACGTTGGTCAGGTCGATGACCTTGGTCTCGGGGTCGATGACCTCGTCGCGGCGGATGAGGCCCTGGTCGGCCTTGTCGGGACCGAGCATGCGGAGCACGTTCTGCCCGCCTGGCGCGATGTGGGTCATGGCCTCGCGCACCGACTTGGACTTGAGCACAAAGAGGTTGCGCGTGACAAACTCAAACGCCTCGAGATCGCGCTGGCCAAAGAGGGGCTCGCGCTTGGGCGTCAACGTCATCATGGCCATGCCGGTGCGGCTGAGGCCCGTCGACGAGTTCGAGTTGGGGATGTGGGTCACGCTCGACACGGGCACGCGCGGCCCGATGGCGAGGGTCGATGGGAAAAAGTGGTGGTGGTGGGGCGAGAGCTGCGACGAGTCGTAGTGCACCTCGATGTCGGCGAGGCACTGGAGCGTGGTGCCCAGCTTGCCGCGGTTGTTGCGGTCGCCGGCCATGCCCATGCAGCGCTTGACCAGCGGCTCGCCGCACACGAAGCCGAGGCGGAGGCGGCCGAAGCGGAAGAGCCAGAGGCGCGAGGCGATGGCGTGGATGATCTGGGCAAACAGCTGCTCGCCGTGGACCGTGTTGGGCAGGTGGGCGAAAAAGTAGAGGGGCGACGGGTCGCGCCAGGAGAGATCACCGTGGCCGACGGGCAGACCTGCGTCGTTGGAAAAGTCGACGGTGGCGCCGTCGTCGCTGAAGGGCACCTTGCCCTGGAGGTGTGACAGGCAGCCCTGGGTGATCATGTGGTTGTACGTCTCCCAATCGTAGGCCGAGCCCTCGACGATGTCGAGCTTGCCCGGCTGACCCTCGGACGCCAGCTGGCCCTGGAGGTTGCGCAGCGCCGCCAGGTAGCTCGGCGCCGACTCGAGGGCGATGACCTTTTCAACGGCGGGGTGCTTGACGAGCTCGCTGGTAAAGGTGCCGGGGCCCGGATAGCCCTCGATGACGGTGGCCTTCTGGCCGGGTGCCAGGTCGGAGCCGATGCGCAGCGCGTCGACCATGCCAGCGAGGGTGTCGCGGTTGGCGGTGAAGTAGCGGTACTGGGTGCTGGCCGCCTTGCCGCTAGGGAAAGCCTCCTTCCACTCGTCGCGCGGGGGCATATGGGCGTATCCTTCCATCTTGGCCAGCGCTTCTTCGTCGGTGAGGACGATTGGCGGCGGCGGTGGTGGCGAGAGCACCGAAGTCGACCCGCCCTCTACCGCCGCGTCGGCATCCGCGCCCTGGAGGGCCTTGGTCGTGCGCGACCTGGCGAAACCCAGGCGTGCCTGGTCGCGAGCCGCCTTTTCGGCCTTTGCCTGGTCTCGGATGGCCTTTGCCGTCTTGCGCGCCTCTCTGGCGGCGGCCTGTTCTTGCCGCTCCTTGTACACTTCCTCCTTTGTGCGGCGCGGCGCGCGTGGCTTTTTGAGCGGGACAAAGGCCGGCGTGTAGGGGATGACTAAGCCAGTCTTGGGGTCGATCTGAACGCCGGTGGACGAGGAGGATGACGTCTGCGATGACGGTGACGTTGATGGCGATGATGATGGTGGTGAGGAGGATGAAGGTGACGATGATGAGGGATCGTCTTGTTGGCAGCAGGGTAGGCTGGTATGGTACGAGGAGCGGCAGGCATCTCGGACCAGGGCCGAGGACGGCTTCGTCGGTGTCCTTGCTGAGCCTCTGAGAAGCGCTCTTGTGGCGCTGGAGAGGGAGAGCATGGCGGTGGGTGGGTGGGCGATGGTGGTGGCGGACAGACAGAAAGCAGAGGGCCACAAAGCTGCGTTGGGTCTGACGGGCGGGCGGGGGCTGTTGCTCCACTTGATTTTCTTCTCGTTTTCGCGGCGCTTTTTTCTCGGATTTCCGCCCAGCGCAACACATCCTCGGGAGTCGGGTCTGGGCCGGGCAGCACAGCTGAGCGTGGCCGGCCAGCACTACATAGCTCCACTTCGAACCCCGGCCTTCAGCCGTCTTGCCTTCCTTCGCCTCTCGCCACCATCCACCACCCACCACATCGGCCTACCACCTCGTCACCGCCGCCATGACCGACGACAACACACTCACCGACAGCTTCTCGGTCCTCGAGCTGGCCTCGACCGCCACCGAGGCCGACATCAAGCGCGCCTACCGCAAGCTCTCGCTCAAGCTTCACCCGGACAAGGTCGCAAAGGACGTCGACCCCGCCCTCGCAGCCGCACGCTTCCACCAGCTCAACCTCGCCTACGAGACCCTCATGGACCCAGCAGCCCGCGCAAAGGCCTCGGAAAAGTCGAAACACGACGCAGAGAAGCGCGCGCGCCAGGAAAAGTACCAGGGAAAGCGCAAGCAGATGGCCGACGAGCTCGAACGGGACGAGCGCGAGGCAAACAAGCGCAAGCAGATGGAGCGCCAGAGGGAGAGGGAGAAGATCGACGAGCTGGAACAGCTAAAGGAGCAGGGAATGCGTCTAAAAGAGGAGCGCAGGAAGGCGGCGGCAGCAGCTCAAAAGCCAGCTACGGCATCCGATCCAGCGCCACCACCTCAGCGGTCAGCGCCTCCCACCTCGTCAGCGTTCGAGTCCACGACGTCGTCGTCGTCAACGCCATCACCACCTCCACTCGGTCCACTCGACCTCACCACTCTGCTACGCTTTCCCACGACCCACTACAACTATTTCGCCGGCCACGAGCCAGGGATAGACGACTCGGCCTCATCCTCGACCATCGACGTCGCCGCCCTGCTTCCGCCGGCCGATCCGCTCGCGACTCCGCTCGCAGGCGCCCTCGCAGACGCGTTCGGCCCGCTCACCGACCTGCGCTTCCAGCTGCCCGACCCGGCAAAGGCAAGCAAGAAGAAGTCCAAGCGCAGCCGTAGTGAGCTCACCGCATTTGCATCCTTTGCCAGCTTTGACGATGCCTGGGCCGCAGTCAAGCTCGGCGGCCAGCTAGCCTGCCCTGGCGAGGTGCTGGCCGACGTATGGATCGGATGGGCCGCCGTTGCCACCATGGCCAAGGGCAGCGCCGCTCCGACCGACGGCGATGTCGATGGCGTGCCGCTACGGGTGCGCTGGCACGAGCATCACGGGATCGACGACCCGCGCGACTTGCGACGGAAAGCCCATCAGCCGCCGCCGCCACCATCGCCGCCGTCTCGAACTGATGCGTCTGCTGCGACGGATCGACCAACCGACCCCGGCGCGGTGCCCGCCTTCAGGTTCAAATCGACGGCCATGCCCTCGTTCTCGTCCTTCGGCGCCGGCGCCAGCGGCAAGGCCAAGGTCAAGACGGCTGCGGATGCAGGCTACGTCATCGACGTCGACTACGAGAACGCCACCCTGCAGCGCCTCCGCGACGCCGAGCGCAAGCGGCTCGAAGACGAGATACTTCGCGCCGAGAACGCCGACAATCATCCGTGACCGCCAGTCGCGCGCGCCGCTGTCCCATGCATCCCACTGCCATCTGCATTATACCATTACGCTGCATTCCAAACCATTCCCGACCGCGAAGTGCCGTGCGATCGGAAAGAGAGGCGAGATGCACCGACGCTCACATCCGTTTCAACGCCGCGAACCTCGCCGCCAGGCTGTCGTACTCTTGCTGCTCGGTCTGCTTTTTCGTCGTCGCGGTTGCCGCTGGTGGTTGCGCGGCGGCAGCGGCGGTAGACTGCGCCTCGGACTTTGTCGCCTCGTCCTTGACCTGTTGGGAGCAGAGCAGCGCGCAACGGGCAGGTCAGCGACAATGCGGCGCACGCGGGACGTACGGACGGAAGGCCACCGCGCACCAACTGACCTTTTCCGCGTCGGCGAAAACAGCGCCTTCCTTGCTCGCCTCTGCTGACGGCTTGACGTCCTGACCCTCGCCCGCGGCCGCGCCCTCGACGTCGGCAGGCTGATCCTTTTGTGCCAGCTTGGCCAGGACATCGCTGTGGAACGGCACGTCGTACGCCTTGCAGACTGCCGCGACGGGGGCAGAGGCGAAGAGGACCGGATCAGCAACAGACGCCGTCGATACCGCCGCACGCGCACCGCACCGCACCGCGCCGCGCCGCTCTGGATGTGCACTCACTCTCCTCGATGTAAGCCTCGACGAGGACCTCGTCGACCTTGGCGGTGCCGAGGTCGAGCTTGGCCATGACGCGGTCCGGCACGATGCCGTCGCGGTTGTCCATGACGTCGGTGGCAAACTCGCGGCCGTACTTGGACATGAGCATCTCGCGGAGGACGTGCAGCTCCTTGAGCTCGGTGCGCGGCGAGGCGTGGATGATGGACGCCAGCGCGGGCTGTAACGAGGGGTCCACGTCGCGGCTGTGACCGGGCGAGCGGGGGAGGATGAGGGCGGTCCGGGGCTGGGTCAGTGGATGCAGCCTGCATGGCGGCGCAGTGGCAGAACGACGAGGACAGCGACGACGTACGTGTTCATTTCGAGCAGCGCAAACCTGGCCAGGAGCGTCTCGGCATAGAGCTCCATGAGTTCGAGCAGCTCAATGTGGATCTGCGCGGTCGTCGTGCGTCCGACCGGTCACTCGATCAGCTTCGGGGCCATCCAACAGCCTCCACGGGACGCACTCGCGCTCGCACGACGTACTCACATCCTCGGCGATGAGTCCTTCGGTCTTGATGCGCGCCGTCTCGAGCTTTCCCCTCTCGACGAGGGCGGCAATGTCGCGCCTTGCCTTTTTGGCCATGGCCTCTTTTTTCTCCTGGAGCATCTTTGTGCGTTGCACCGACAGCTTGAGCTGCACCTTTGTGCGCGCCGCGTTCCACGGCGCCATCCTTGTCGTTTCCTGCAGGTTGTAGAAGGGCGGAGGGTCGAAGGACGCAGGGCAGGGTATGGGTTGGTATGAGGCGGGAGACTGTATGTGGTGGTGGAGATGGACAAGGTGGGTGGAGGTGTCCGCGTTGACTGGTCCGAGCGCTCCGCAGTCGACCGTGGACCCCGCCTGGCCAGCCGCGCATGGCATGGCCGCGAGGGCCTGGCACCTCGGGGACCATAACCACCGAGACGCGAGGATGACTTGACGACGGACAACGGCCGACCGGAGTACCGCATGCTCCGGACGATGTCGCTGCGCTGCCCGGCCGCAACATCACGCCCGTCAGCACACTCACAGACAGACGACGCGATGCCGCCAAGTCGCTACGACTAGATGGAACGCACACACGCGCACCACGTCGACAAGTACGAGGCCAAAGGACTTTGGCTTGACCTGACAGAGGGTGCACGCGGGCGGCTACGAACCAAGGTTACATCCACCTTCCACGATATCGTCACCGACACTGCAACTTCTGCCGCTGGGGCAGCGCGACACGGCCGCAAGTCGGCACGATGCGGCCGCAATAGCCTAAGTCGATAGACCTCAACCGTGCCATTCTCCGAGCGGTGCCGGCGGTCATGGGACATGCTGGTGGGACCCTCGCCCATCCAGGGGCCACCTACGATCAGCACCACTTTCGACCCGCCACGCCCGTCGACGCGTTGCTGCATCCGCGCTGCACAGACCACGAAGCACTCTCGCTCGCCATCGTTCGGTCGATTGCCTCCATCAACACGGCGTCTTTGCATTCGAGCAACCGACAAACACATGCGGGTCCATAGACGGCCGTGCTTCTCGCTTAGCGTCGCCCACGACTCGACTCGACTCGACTCAGTCGTAGAAGCGGCTGCCTTGCACGCCAATCTGCTTGCGGATGCTGGCCATGTTGGGCGGGCGAGCGTACCTGGGCTCGGCGAGGCCTGGTGGCGAGCGCAGGCAGGTCGACCAGACGGCGCAGGGAAACAAGCGCAGGAGCAAAGTAAGCAAGCGAGTCAGGATCGCCGCCAGCTGACTGGCCGGAACTGGCTCCTGTTGCCGGCATCGCACTCACCGAGAATCTCTTCGTAGATCTTGGTGACCGACTTGGCGTTGGCCTCGGTCCACTTCTCCCTCCAGAAGTGGATGCCCACGGGCGTCAGGCCGTGCGTCTGGGCAAACGCGGCCACGTCAAAGTCGGCCCTCTGCTCGGGCGAAAGCTGCTTGCTGACCGACTCGGCCAGCTCGTTGCCCGTTTCATGCTGCTGCTGCTGCTGCTGCTGCTCGAGGACGATGGTGACAAAGCGGTGGTAGGGCGATCCCTTTTGCGGGTGCGGCGGGATCCACGACTGGACGGTGCTCGATGCTGCAGCCTCGACGTCGACCGGCTGGGCGTGGCTGGCGGCCGACACCGGGACGTCGGTCTTGAGGAGGTGGAGCTTGGTGCAGAACCGCTCGGCGTCGACGTCTGGGTCGTCGAGGTCCACGACGACCACCGTGTACCTCCGCGCCTCCTCGTGGAAGGCGGTGATGCGGATCTCGGGCGGGGAGATGGTCTGTGCCGGGTCGACAAAGACGCCCGCCAGCACCTCGCCGCCGCTGCCGCCGTGGTCGCCGATGCCCGCGCCGTGCCCAAACGAAACCTGTACGTCGACGGTGGGCGTGATGGCGGGCAGCGCGTCGGGCAGTACGTGCATCGAGATGGAGCGCTGCATGACCTTGTCGAGGATGCCCGTCTCGCGCCACACCTTTTCGCGGAGGTGACGGTGGATGGGCAGCGAGGCGTCGTACTCGCCCTGCGCAAACGTCGAAAGCACCGAGGGCGAGTTGATCGACGAAATTGACGCAGACGATGCCGGCGCACTGCGGGACGAGAGGAAGGCGATGGCCTCGTCGTAGGCCGGCTGAACGCCCGGCGGCAACAGCGGCTTCCAGGACGACGTGGACGTGGACGAGGGCGAGGGCGAAGACGAGGACGAGGGCGAAGACGAGGACGAGGAGGATGAGGAGGATGAGGAGGATGAGGATGAGGATGTTGATGGTGCTGTCGACGACGAGGACGAGGATGCGGGCGCAGAGGTCGAGGTGGAGGATGCCGGGGAGGAGGACGACGAGAGCGGTCGCACGGCCTGCTGGCGAGCCACTGCGCGGGTCGCGGTCCGAAGCGCAGAGCGAGCCGCTCTCGCCGCCGTCGCTGCCGTTGGTGTCAACATGGTCGAAGAGGTGTTTGCGGGGGGGTCGTAAGAACAGGGGCGAAGCGATGGTGATGGCCAAGAGATTCGAGGTGCAGGTTGGACAAGTCGGCGCGGCCTCGGGAAGAAGACGAGAAAATTGGAAGCCAACAGCAATGCCCCGCCTCCGCCGCCCTCAGCAGCTGCAGCCAGCGGACCCGAACAGCGAGCAATCGGGCCCAGGGATGCGATCCGCCGGTCCGATCGGGGCTCGGAGTTTAGCGACCACCAAACTTGGATGGCGCAAGATCTGCGCCCTCGGCAACCGGATGAGCTCGATCTTGTCTTGTCTTGGCTGGCCGGGCGTGGCAGCACAAAGAGGCGGCCGCCCGGTTGGCCGGTTGGAAGCTCCCTCCACTCCGCCTGCACCCCGGCATGCTCGGAAGGACGCCTTCCACAAGACGGCCTAGCCTGTCCTTCTCTGGCCAGCGGACGCCGCCCTTCGACAACAAGTCAAGCCGGGCGGCGCGGCGTATAAGAAGAAGGACAAGAAGCTCTCCGCTCCGGGCTAACGTCTTCGCCACCCCGGACAAACCACCCCCATCCTCACGTCTCAACGGATTGCCCACGCAGCACCCTGCCGCAGCCCGACCACCTCGCCCGCAACCGCCATGACCGAGCTCGCCAAGGCCGACAAGCACTCGTCGCCCGCCTGGGAGGGCGCCGCCTCGACCAACCTCTTCCGCCCTATCCAGATCGGCTCGTCGCAGCTCAAGCACCGCGTCGCATACGCCCCGCTCACCCGCGTCCGCAATGACCCGCAGACGGGCGCGCCCACCGACCTCGTCGTCGAGCACTATGCCCAACGCGCCACCGACGGCGGCCTCCTCATCACCGAGGCCACCATGATCTCGCCCGAGGCCGGCTCGATGCCCGGCGTGCCAGGTGAGTCGATGCTGCCGGGCGACAAGGACAGCGGACAGAGCAGACCCCACCCACACAGGACCGACGACTGACCTTGCCAGCTCGATGTTTCACCCGCAGGCATCTGGAGCCAGGAGCAGGTGGCCGGCTGGAAGAAGGTGACGGACGCCGTCCACGCCAAGAACGGCAAGATCTGGATGCAGTTCTGGCACCTCGGCCGCACGGCCAACCCCAAGTACAGCAAGAATGTGTGGTCCGCCGGCACCATCCCGCTCTCGACGGGCAGCAAGGAGATCCGCCAGCTGACCAAGGACGACCTGGCGCAGCTGCTCGACGACTACCGCAGCGCCGCACGCAACGCCCTCGACGCTGGCTTCGACGGCATCGAGCTCCACGGCGCCAACGGCTACCTCATCGACCAGTTCCTCCAGAGCGTCAGCAACAACCGCACCGACGAGTTTGGCGGAGAGGCGGTCGAGAACCGCATCCGCTTCCCCGCCCAGGTCGTCGCCGCCCTCGCCGACGTCGTGGGCGAGGAGCGCCTCGGCGTGCGCATGTCGCCCTTCTCGCGCTTCCAGGAGATGCGCGAGCCCGAGCCGCTCCAGACGTTCCTGCCGTGGACGCGCCACCTCACAAACGCCCACCCCAGGCTCGCCTACATCCACGTCGTCCAGCCCCGCATCAGCGGCGCATCGGACGAGGAGGGACACGACGCGCCCGCCGTGCCGGACTCGGTCGCCCCCATCCGCGACCTCGTCCGCCAGCAGAGCCGCGGCGCCACCAAGCTCCTCATCGCCGGCGCCTTTGACGCCCGGTCCGCAGCAGAGCACGCCGATCGCCATGATGAAGACGTCGTCGTCTTTGGCCGGTACTATATCGGTGAGCAGGTCTGTCGCGGTCAGCAGCCCGGCCCGCCCATGCGTGTATGGCCATGCCATCCGACCGCCCGCTGACCCCGACGACGCCCTTTGTCCCTCTGGCTTTCCCCGTCGCGTGCAGCCAACCCGGACTTGCCGGAGCGCATCCGCAACGGCCACCCGCTCCGACACTGGGACAGATCCACATTCTACATCCCCGGCGCCGCAAAGGGCTACGTCGAGTGAGTCCGGGCCCGCTCCCCAGCGCGCCCCACAAACCTGAGCTGACCGTCGCATCGCCCCGCCCTGCCCCCCTTTGCCACCGCAGCCAACCCACCTACCAGCAGGAGAGGGAGCTCGGACACCTCTAACTTCTTCCTGTACCCGCATCGATAGAAGCAATAGAGTGAAAGCCCCACTGTTCGAGGCTGTGAATCGACCGAGTTCCTCTGAGAAACTCAGAATCCCACTCCATAGCAGTAGAATATATTCTACTAACGCGCAACCCTTGACGTGAAGCTCCCCGTTGGTCTAACGGTCAGGATACGGCACTTTCAAATCTTCCACCTGTGGAAGATGACGGCCTGCTGAGGTCGGGGTTCGATTCCCCGGCGGGGAGATATTTTTCTTCTTTTTCCTGCTCGATTGAACGCTGTCATTCTGGCCCTTATCGCTGCTGTTCCAGGGCTTGACCAGTCGCCAGGGCGTGGCATGCGATGGTTGGCCTGCTTTGAGCTGGAGCGAGAGCGATCTGGCGTCGCCGACCCGCTACCGTCTCGTGGCAGGGTTGGGGCGGGCAGGCGTTGCGGGTGGGACTCGACCGCGCTCGGTCTTCTCCGAGGCGCCCTTAGCCGAACCGAAGAGCGAGCGATGGCAGCGAGGCGGATTCGCCTGGGGCCTCGACGCCTGCGCGCCGTCCATTGAATTTTTTCGGCCTGGTTGTGCGGGGGGACCCCTGGGGGACCTTGGCCAGCAGGGAAGCAAGCAGGCCTCGCCACCCAACCTAGCCTGGGCCTGCCCAACACCTGGCCTTGCCCGCCCGCCTGCTTCTGGTGCCCCGCCCTCTCTGCCCGCCCGCCCGCCGGCCTCTTGCCACCGCTGGCCAGCTTGCCTCTTGCCTTGCCTGGCACTGTCCCAAGGCTCTCGCCAACCCCAGCCCTTAGCCCGACACCTGCGTATATAGCCAGCCCGGAGTTGGCCGGCTCGGTATCGCGCCCAGGTCACCTTCCCTCCCGTCCACCCCGACCCTCCTGTCCACCTCGCCTCCCGTCTTCCAACCTGGTTCTGCCTGACCTACGCTCCACCATCATTCCCGCCAATCGATCCTAGAAACACCTTGCATACCGCCACACCGGCACATATAGATACCCCGCGCCGTCAGGACCTCCTCCTACCCGCCTCCGCCCGCTGATCACGATCCGAGCCCGGCGCCCCCACGCTCGCAGCCCATCCCTTCCTGCCCCACCGCACACCGAAGCCCGCCACGATGCCGGTCCCCGTCGCCTCTTCGTCGGTGGCGTTCGAGACGCGCTCAGTCGAGGGCTTCACCGTGCCGGCGTCGTTCGAGCCCGCATCGAGGCTCACATTCACCGTCAACCGCACGCGGTACCAGCTGTCGGCGCAGCGCGGCGACGACCTCGACGTGACGCTCCTCGACTTTGTTCGCAGCAAGGGCTTCACGGGCACCAAGCTCGGGTGCGGCGAGGGCGGCTGCGGCGCCTGCACCGTCGTCGTCGGCCGGCGCAAGGCCTCGTCCGACTCCATCGACCCTGCGGGCCCGGCGCAGTCGTCGGCCCCCTACCGGTACAAGTCGGTGAATGCGTGCCTGCTGCCGCTGGTGGCGGTGCACGGCTGCCACGTGCTCACCGTCGAGGGCATCGGCTCGTCGTCGGACCCGCATCCCATCCAGGAGCGCATCGGCAAGATGTTTGGCTCCCAGTGCGGCTTCTGCACGCCCGGCATCGTCATGAGCCTCTACGCCACCGTCCGCAACGGCTACGGCAACCTCAGCGAGGAGGACATCGAGCACTCGCTCGACGGCTGCCTCTGCCGCTGCACCGGCTACCGCCCCATCCTCGACGCCGCCAAGACGTTTGCCACGGTAAAAAAGTCGCGCTCCGAGGTCGAGCCGTCTGCGTCGTCGTCGTCTTCGTCGTCCGGCTCCCCTTCCTCTGCGCCATCGACGCCGGCCAACGGCAACGGCAGCGATTCTCCAGTCACGACGCCCGATGAAGACGACGGCGAGCAGGACGACGTCATGGACCTTGCCATGCGCCAGGGCTGCCCCAAGGGCGATGAATGCTGCCAGGTCAAGGGTGGCGGCGGCGGCGGCGGATGCGGAGCAAAGGCCGCCGGCGACGAGCACATCCACACGACGCGCGAGGCTCGGCAGATGGGGTTCGACCGCACGACGTTCAAGCCCTACGAACCTCGCAGTGAGCCAATCTTCCCGCCGTACCTGGCCAAAGGCGGCGCGGCCTTCGACGCCCAGGACCTTGTCTTTGTCGAGGAGCTGGCCGAGCCGGACGAGGACGCCTACGAAGGCGACGAGCTCGAGGAGCGGCGCCGTCTCCACGCCGACGCGGTGCGCCAGGTGTGGCTCCGCCCCGGCTCGCTCGAGTCGCTGGTGCGCTGCATGGCCCTCTATGCCGATGCCGGCGCCAAGATCCGCAGCGGCAACACCGAGACGGGTATCGAGGTCAAGTTCAAGCACCTGCGCTACAAGGTCTCGATCTTTGTCTCGGACCACATCCGCCAGCTGGCCACGTACCGCGCCGACGACGCCGGCCTCTCCGTTGGCGCCAATCTGCCCCTGACCGACCTGGTGCAAAGGCTGCGCGCCGAGCGCACAGAGGCCGGCAGCTACCGCCGCACTGTCCAGATGGCCATCATGGACAACCTGCGCTACTTTGCCAGCAACCAGATCCGCAACGTGGCCACGCTCGCCGGCAACATTGCCACCGCGTCGCCCATCTCGGACCTCAACCCGATCTGGGTCGCCGTCGGCGCCACTCTCTACTACATCGATCCGGCCGCCGACGGCCCACCGCTCGAGGAGCGCTCGGTCAACATGCGCGACTTTTTCCTCGGCTACCGCAAGACGGCGCTGCCTCCTGGCGCCATCCTCACGCGCCTCTTCGTCCCGTGGGCCGATGGGCTTGGCGGCGACGGCGATCGACGGACCTGCACGTTCATCCACGCCTTCAAGCAGTCGAAGCGCAAGGACGACGACATCGCCATTGTCAATGGCTGCCTTCGGATCTCGATCGACGCGCGCGACCGCACCATCACCGACGCCACGCTCGCCTACGGTGGCATGGGCCCCACGACCATGCAGAGCAGGGCAACGCAGCAGCTCCTCGTCGGCAAGCGCTTCGCCGACCCGGCCACGCTCGACGAGGCGCTCGACTGCCTCTCGCGCACCGATTTTCCGCTGTCCTACGGCGTGCCCGGCGGCATGCCCGTCTACCGCAAGAGCCTCGCCCTCGGCTTCCTCGCGCGTTTCTGGGGCATCGTCCACAAGGAGCTCGCCCAGCGTCTCGGCGAAGGTGGCGAGGCTGACGCGACGAAGACGGCTACCGCGCCGGCCACCGGCTCTGCCGGACTTGGTCCTTGGACCTCCGCTCGCCTCGAGGAGATGGCGGCCAGCACTTTGACGCGGCCCGTCACACACGGCTCGCAGGACTTTGAGGACGTGGCGGTCAAGCAGCCGCCCGTTGGAAGCTCGATGCCCCACCTCTCGGCCATGAAGCAAGTCACCGGCGAGGCCGTCTACATTGACGACATGCCGCCCGTCGCCGATGAGCTGCACGCAGGCCTCGTCCTTTCGCAGCGCGCGCACGCCCGCCTGGTCTCGGTCGATGCCAGCGAGGCACTTCGAATGCCCGGCGTCGTCGACTACATCACGCGCACCGACATCCCCGCCGCCGGCTCCAACATCTGGAACCCCCCGGCGATGGACGAGGTCTTCTTCGCCGAGGACGAGGTGCACTGCGTCGGCCAGCTGATCGGCGTCGTCGTGGCCGGCACCAAGAAACAGGCCCAGGCGGCCGCGCGCAAGGTGCGCGTCGAGTACGAGGACCTGCCGCATATCCTCACGATCGACGAGGCCATTGCCGCCGACAGCTTCTTCCGCCCGCGGCCCGTCATTCACCGCGGCTGCGACGCCTCGGAGCCCTGGCAGCAGGAGCGCGGCGACGGCGGCGGCGTGCTCGAGGGAGAGACGCGCATGGGCGGCCAGGAGCACTTCTACCTCGAGACCAACGCGTGCCTGGTGGTGCCTGGCCGCGAGGACTCGGAAGTCGAGGTGTTTAGCTCGACGCAGAACCCGAGCGAGACGCAGATCTTCTGCGCCTCTATCCTCGGCGTGCCCAACAACCGCGTCGTGACGCGCACCAAGCGCCTCGGCGGCGGCTTTGGCGGCAAGGAGACGCGCACCATTGCGCTGGCGGCGCCGCTGACGCTGGCGGCCAAAAAGGTCGGGCGGCCCGTCCGGTGCATGCTCGACCGCGACGAGGACATGCTGACGTCGGGCCAGCGCCACCCGTTCCACGCCAAGTGGAAGGTTGCCTTTGCCGCCGACGGCCGGCTCGAGCGGCTCGAGGCGCGCGTCTACAACAACGGCGGCTGGTCGCAGGACCTGTCGCAGGCCATCCTCGAGCGGGCCATGTTCCACATCGACAACTGCTACAACATTCCGCACCTCCGCGTCGAGGGACGCATCTGCCGCACCCACACTATGTCCAACACGGCGTTCCGTGGCTTTGGCGGACCGCAGGGCATGTTTATCTGCGAGGACATCGTCTCCAAGGTGGCGGCCCGCCTCGCTATGCGGCCCGAGGCGATCCGCGAGCGCAACCTCTATGCCGAGGGCGACGCCACCCACTTCGGCCAGAAGCTCGTCGACTGGAACGTGCCGGCGCTCTGGGACCAGGTCAAGCGCCAGGGAGACTACGAGGCTCGCCGTGCTGCCGTCGACCGCTTCAACGCCGAGCACCGCTTCCGCAAGCGCGGCCTGGCGCTCGTGCCGACCAAGTTTGGCATCTCGTTCACCGCCCTCATGCTCAACCAGGCCTCGGCGCTGATCCACGTCTACCACCACGACGGCAGCGTCCTGTTCTCGCACGGCGGCACCGAGATGGGCCAGGGCCTGCACACCAAGATGGCCCAGGTCGTGGCCACCGAGCTCGGCATCGACATCGGCATGGTCCACCTCATGGAGACCAACACGAGCCACGCCGCCAACACGTCGGCCACGGCCGCCTCGGCCTCGTCCGACCTCAACGGTATGGCGCTCAAGGACGCCTGCGACCAGCTCAACGCCCGCCTCGCCCCCTTCCGCGACGCCGCCGCCGCCGGGCCCGACGGCCTCCGCCCGGACGAGGCCTGGAAGAAGGCGGTGCACGACGCCTACTTTGCGCGCGTCCCGCTGTCGGCCGTGGGCCACTACAAGACGCCCGACATTGGCTACAACTGGGCCACGGGCACCGGCCGCCCCTTTTTTCTACTTTACCCAGGGCGCCGCCATCTCCGAGGTCGAGGTCGACGTCGTCACGGGCGACTGCAAGATCTCGCGCGCCGACATCCACATGGACATTGGACGCTCCATCAACCCGTCGATCGACGTGGGCCAGATTGAGGGCGCCTTCACCCAGGGCTTTGGACTGACGACGACCGAAGAGACCCTCTTCCTCCAAAACGGCCAGCTGGCCACGCGCGGACCGGGCAACTACAAGATCCCCGCTTTCCTCGACACGCCGTCGGACCTGCGCATCTCGTTCCTCAAGGGGCCCGAGCGCAAGCTCGACCACCTCCGCACCATCCAGAGCTCCAAGGGCGTCGGCGAGCCGCCCCTCTTCCTCGGCTGCTCCGTCTTCTTTGCCATCCGCGACGCCATCACCGCCTACCGCAGCCAGCAGCAGCACGGCCAAAGCGACGGCTCCACGCCCACCGCCGCCGCCGCCGCCGCCGACTTTGACCTCGTCAGCCCGGCCACGCCCGAGCGCATCCGCTGCGCGTGCGACGACGCCATCCTCGAAAAGGCGCGACACGGCACCGCCAAGAAGTCCGACGACGAAAAGAGCTTCTTTGTCGCCATTTCCTAGATCGATCCGACGGAGCTCAGGCGGACTAGCGCCGATCGCAGGACGGTCCAGGCGTCGCCGCCGTCGTCGTTGTCGGCACCGTCAGCAGATCAGATCGCGGACGGCTAGGTATGCGCACGGGGCTTGCAGGAGCTTGGTGACGATTCGCTGGCAGCGGGTAACGTGGAACGGGGGCCAATGGTCGACAGGTAGAAGGGGCGACGGGCGAAGGAGAAGCGCGACGAGGAACAATCGAATTCATGGAATCGTACCAGTATGCTGTTCAATGCCCGTGCGCGTGCGCGTGCGCGTGCCTATTGGGAGAGCGTCGCATCGCCGCACTTACCCACACGCTGCCCCTCCCCTGCCTTACAGGAAGCCGCCGACCCGTCGCAGCATCTGGCTAGCCGCCGAGCTGCCTCCGGATGCCGGCCCCGACGGGCCCTCGACCGCCGCCGCCGCCGCCGCTGCCGTCGGGCCCTCACGCTCGCCGTCATCGCCACTATCAGCACGTGTCTGACCCGCCAGCGCCGTCGCCGCAGCAGCAGTCTCGCTAGCGCCACGACGGAAGGGCAGCACGGCGTCGAGACCCGGTCGACTGCGCCGCCGAGCCGACGTCGTCGCGGCCTTGGGGCTGTTGCCTGACTCGCTTCCCGGCATCGCGCTCATCGTCCCCTTGGTGGTGGAGCCGCCGGCGGCGGCGGCGGCATCGGCGGCGTGCGCGGCGGTGACGGTGGAGGTGGAATTGTGGGCGGTCGATGCCGATGGCGGCGGAGACGACCAGGGCGGGCCGGCTGCTTGGCCCGAAAAGCGTCCCAGCGTCTGCGAGAGGAAACCAGCCCCGCTCCCGCTAAAGGTCCTCGTGTTCGGGCTGGAGGCAGCGGCAGCGGCGGCAGGCGTTGATGGCCTTGGGGCTGCACGCGCGCTCTCGGCGCTGCTGCCGAGGGTGCTGCGACCCGTGGCCTGCTCGGTGCTGATCTGCGACGTAGGCCCTGGCGGAGGGCCGGCCAGGCTGCCGGCGAGGCCGCGCGGCGATCCCATGGTCCCCGTCGAGGGCGACGAGGTGATTGAAAAGCCGCTAGTGCGGCCCGTGCTGCTGCCGCGGCGCACGTTCCTCGTCGGGATCGCCGAGGCGACGGCTGGCTCGGTCCACCTCTGCACCTTTGGCGGCTGCGAGCCTTGTTGCGCTTGCCCACCCTTGCCCTTTCCTTCGCCCTCCTGACCTTCATCCTCGGCGACGACCACGACGGCGGGCGCGTCGGTGCGCTGGGACAGTGTCGTCCGACGCAGAGGCTGGGCGGCAAGGCTCGAGGAGAGAGCGCCGGCCGAAGGGCTCTGGGAGAAAGGGTTGGCGGGGGCTAAGGCCGAATCAATGGTCGCCGCTACCGCCATCGTCTGAGACGCGGGGGCAGAGCTCATGCCACCGGCACCGTTGCGATTGCCGTGCTGCTGGTGTCGGCGCGACTCGAAGCGCATGTTGCTGCGGCCAGAGGCGCGCCCGAATGCCGGCAGGGCGGCGGCGCGTTCCATGATGGCCGATCGCTTCGAGTCGCTCCCGTTCGTTGTTGCGCTGCTGCTGGCGCCATCACCGCCTCCGTTGCCGGGACCGCTGCTGGTGCCGCCGTACGTGTTGCCGCCGTACGTGTTGCCGCCGTAGGCCGTCGACGCACCGAGCGCAGGCGGTGGCGGCGCCGTTGACCCGCCAAAGCTCGAGCCAGAGATACCCATGCCCGTACCCGTCCGGGGCAGGGCGAGTCCGCCGCTTCCGTTGTGCAGACGTTCGACACCGCGCAGCGAGACGGGCGAGGAAGCTCGGATGGCGCGCGTGAGAGCCGAGGGCCCCGTGCTGCTTCGCGTCGGCGACATGGCGGCATTGGCAGCAATCTCCGAGAGTGATGTGGCATGCGCATCGCGAGAGCGAGGGCGCCTCTCCGAGGATACGGGGGGCGAGTGGAGAGCATCGTTTGCTGCTGGCGTTTGCGGTTCGGCAGTGGAATGATCGACTGCAGCGGTTCCGCGCCCGATGGTGGCGTCGACGAGGCCTGGTTGCGGCGGATGCGGTGGCGCCGGCTGCAAGGGGGAGCCATCAGGCGTCAACAGCGGCGGCGTCGATGGACGCTGGCCAGTCTCGGCCTCGGCCTCGTTGTCACATGCGACATCGTTGCTAGCGTTGGCGGCGGTAGTCAGGCCCACGACGGGTTCCGACGGGCGATCGCCCTCGCTCGCCCGTCGCTGGAACGCCTTGCTGTCGTTGCCGGTCTTTTCGGCATCGTCTGCAACGGCTGCAGACGTTGTTCGATCTTTTCGCGGATTCTCCTCTTCGTCGCGCACCGACGCTCCTGAGATCGGGGCGCCGCGTGAGGGCAGGATGTCGCTTTTGCGCCTCTCGGGCCCGCGTTCCCGCTTGCCGATGTCTGTCGAGGCCGCAGCGGCGCCGCGCTCGCCTGCAGGCAGGGCGGCCGAACTCTTACGGCTGCGCAGCGCGGGCGGTGCGGCGCTGGGGCCGTTCCAGGTCTCGACGTCAAGCAGGTAGAACCGGACTCCCTCGGCCAGCTGGAATGGGTTGCCATCGACGACGTCGCCACCGTTGGCGGTGCCACTACCGCTGCCATTGCCGTTGGCGGTGCTGGCCTCGTCGGCCGCTCGGCGGCGGTCGCCGTTGGTGGCCACCTGGTCGGTGATGGCGACAATGCGGGCCACGATCCACTCCTTGGTCTTGAGCTGCTCGGCCAGCTGCCCAGTGGCGCGGAGGAAAAAGTGGGGGAAGCTGATGTTGAAGGCCGCCCACGGCTTCGCGGTCGAGTTACGCGTCGGCAGAAACAGGGCCAGGTCGCCCGGCTGGAAGTTGCGAAAGGCGATCTTGTCGCGCGCAGCCGCCAGCGCCCGTTGCGTCTTTTCGTTGGAGCTCTTGTACGCCTTTTGCCACTTTCGGATCAGTGTGGTGAGCGAGTCGAGCTTGGCGCGCACCTCGTCGAACGCTTCGGCAGGATCAAAGGCACGCAGCGCCTCGAGCGTAACGTCGACGTCGGCCGCCTCGGCGTCGGACTCGAACGCCTCCATGGCCGCCTGGCGCTCCGCTTCGGATACGACCGACAGCGCCATGCTGCTGCCGGCGCCGCGCACCTGCTGCAGCGACGATGATGATGGTGGCGGGGGCGGCAGAGAGGACGATTGGCCGGCCACAGCGGCGGCAGCCTTCGCCGATGAAGATGACGATGATGACAAGGCCGGCATCGCGCGGACCGCCTTGCGCAGCTGGTGCGAGCGGGAAAGGAGGGGCCGGACGGCTTCGAGCATCTGCTGGCGGCTCGTCTCGACGTCGCGCCGGGCGGCCTCGGCTTGGTCAGCGAGCTCGCGGGCCTGATCCATCTGCTTGACCATCTCCTCGTGAGCGTCATCCGCGGCGCGCAGCTGGCCGCGCAGGAGTTCGATGGCATCGTGGTCGGGCTTGCGGCCGTCCTCGGCACGCTTGGTGCGTATCCGCTGATCGTGGAGGTCGTGCTCGAGCGCGCGCACCTTCTCCTCGAGGATTGCGCGATCGCCGTCGGCCTCGGCGCGGTGGGACCGGATCTGGCGCTCCTTGGCGGCTTCGATCTCGGCAACCGTCTCGCGCACGCGGCTCGTCTCGGCGTGGGCGGCCGTGACCTGCTCGGTGAGCTCGTCGATGCGCTGCTGAGCGGCACGCAGCTCCTGCTCGGCGCCCGAGCCCTGGCTCAGCAGAGCCTCGATCCTGTTGCTGGCGTCCAAGCGGGCGGCACGCGCCTCGTCGAGCTCGACCTGCATGGCGTGGAGGTGCGCCTCTACCTCGCTGGCATGGTCGCCCTCCTCGATGGCCTCTTGACGCGCCTCGGCCTCGGCGCGGCGAGCCTCCTCGAGCGCAGTGCGGAGGTGCGACAGCTCGTCGCCCATGTTGAGCCGGCGCTCACGTTCCAGTTCGAGGTCGGCTCGGACTGCATCGCGTTCTGCTTCGGCGGCGGCGGTCCGTTGACGCACCATTTGTTCACTCTGGGCTCGCTCGGCGGCCAGCTCGCGGCCGAGGTCGTCGAGCTTGGCACGCAGCGCGTCGATCTCGCTGCGATGGGCCGCGCTGACCGCCTCCTCGTCCTTCTTGCGCGCATCTCGCTCGTCTTGCAGCTGCCGCTCGAGCGCCTCGATCTCGGTCCGATCCGCGGGCGCAGCTGTGCGAGCGCGGCCGCGGGCGGCCTCGAGCCTTGCCCACCTGGCGCGCTGCCGCGTGTGTGCGCGCATCGATGTGTCGGAGCCGCTATCGAGGTCGCCAACATCATCATCTTCGTCTTCCTCGTCTTCGAAGCGCTCGTCGTCGCCGAGGAGCTGCGTGTGGACGAGGAAGGCGAATTCCCCTTCCCAGTCGTCGAGAACGACCATGAGCCGTTGTAGCGCCACCTTGACCTCTTGGATCGGGCTCGCCACCTCTGTTGCGGCAGCTTCCGCTCCCTCTTCTTCGACAAGACGCCGCTCGACGGCGTCGAGAAGCTGCAGCAGCGCCTCGAGGTCCTCACGCCCAAGCTCGGCCACGCCGCCGCCGCCATCGCTGCCTCCAGTGCGGGCCGTGGTGATCTCGAGTGCAGGGGCGAGCTCCTCCATGCCCTTGACCTCCCAGGGCAGCTGGCCAAACACGTTGGAGCGGTAGCGCTGACGCCGCTTGCGCTCCGTGGCCGACAGCTTGGCCATGAGCTCGGCGAGCGCCTGGGATTTGGAGAGAAAGTGGCGAGCAAATTCGCGCCGTCGCACCACCTCGAGCACCGTGGCGCCGTAGGCCCACAGCATGTTCTTGAGGCGATGCAAGTGCTTGAAGCCGTCGACCTTGTTCGAGTGCAGATCGGCATCGACGGCGGCGAGACCCGCGCCAAGATCGGCAAACTCGGACTGGAGGCTGCTGATGTCCTGCAACAGCTCAAGGCAGCGCGCCAGCATATCGTTGCGATCCTGGACGAGGCGGAGCGCGCTCTGGCGCGCCACGTCGTCGAGCAGCACCAGCTCGTCGGTGGCGGCGACGACTTCGTCGTAGGTGGCATCGTCGAGCCGGTCATAGGTGGCGGGCCAGCCCTGGTCGTTGGGCGAGCAGCTGGCGTCGATGAAGCGCAGCAGTTCGGCGGCGCGCGCTGCCGCCTCGGACGCCTCGTGCAGCGTGTCGGCCGAGGGCGCCACATCGGTCGCCTCGACCTCGCGCGAGAGTGCCTCGGTATCGGCGTCGAGCTGGTGACGGCTCTCTTCGAGGGCGGTGATGCGGTCACGCAGCTCACTGTAGACCCGAGCGCAGGCATCGGCGACGGCATTCATCTTGACTCGGCTGACGTAGTCGCCCAGGTGTCGCTCCTTGCCGGCCGCGGTGGAGCTCTGGTTGTGGGCGGAGCCGCTGCCGCTGCCACTGCTCCCCGCGGAGAGAAGGCGAGGGTGGATGGCGACCATGCTGAGGATGCGAAGGTCTCGTTCGTGTCCGTCGAGGAGGCCCTGCATGCGCGCCAGCTCGGTGGTGGCGAGCTCGGCGAGGGCGTCGGCGCCGCGGCGGATGCTGTCCGAGTGCGAGCGGAGGTTGAGCAGGGCCACCTGGGTGCTGCGCAGCATGCAGCGGATGTGGTCGACCAGGTCGCGCGAACGCGATTCGTGGACAGCAACATGGTCGGCGGTGCGGTTGGACCAGGCGACGAGCGCCTCGAGCGACTTGGGCGTCGGCGGGTGGATCACCTCGAGCTCGCCCACCGCAGGCGCTAGCTCGGCCACATCGGCCAGCTCGGCGGCCAGCGCCTCTGCGTCGGTGTAGAGAAAGTCGCGGTTAAAGACGAAAAACTCGATCGGCGGCGGTGGTGTTGGTGGTGGCGGTGACTGCTGCTGCTGCTGCTGCTGCTGTTGCTTGGGCTGCGAAGCTGGGGTCTGCTGTACGTCTCCTCCTCGCTCCCGCTCTAGGCGGGCAATGTGTTCGACGACGTCGTCCTTGAGCTGGGAGCCGTCGGCCGTCATGCAGATGATGGCGTCCGAGGGAATCTCTGTGGCGAGCGAGAGGCAGTCGAGGAGGTCGTCGAGCGTGTGGAACTGGGCCAGTGGCTGATTGACGTTGAAGGAGCGGCCATCGTGGGCGCGGATGACCTTCATTGTCGTCATCTTGGCGGCGGCGGCGGCGGCGACGTGTTCGACGTCCTTCTACCTCCCGTGTGCGCCTTGAGGTCGTCTACCGGGATATGAGGGGCGAGCGGGGCGATGTGTATGCATGGGTGAAGCGTGTAGAGTCGAGGCGGATGCCAGTCAGCGCTCAGTCGAGTTCCGATGCTGACGGGAGCGCTGAGAGGTCGGCGCTCCTGCTCACCTGGCTACATATGCTTGCGGTATGTCACGCCGGATTGCGCAAGAGGAATCGCCCGAGGGTGGAGACTGAGATGGCGCGATAAAGAGGCGAGGAGCGGAGATGATGGCGACGCTATGGAAAGGGAAGAAAGGGGAAACGGATCTGCGTGGATGCAATCCGAGATGGGTTGTGGCCGTGGTTGTGTGCGGTTCGCCCGGGCGTGCGACCAGGCTAGGCCGGGGCTGAAAGGCGGAGGGAGCGCTGGGTGGCAGGCCGAGTGGCGGAACGGGTGCCGGTGCGAATGAGGCGAGCAAGGTAGAGAAGCGCGAGCAAAGGAGCGGGGTAGACCGACGGGGCAGATTGACGGGGGCAGAGGGTTGGGTGCTTGCGGTGGGGCGCGACGAGCAAGATGAGACTGTGGCTAAGCTGAAGGAACGAGGATCGATAGCCCCGGCAGCGAGCAAGGAGTCCAGGCAGCAAGGGAGGGGTATGATGGCGGTGGTGGTGGTGGTGGTGATTACAGGTAGCGGCCGCCACGCAGGCAGGCCGGCGGGGGCCCCACGAGCCACAGGCCACCACCGGGCACGTCAGCGGTCAGCGCCCAGCAGCATGCATGTGGAGCTCTCTTGAACTTTTTGGGCACTGACCACAACCCTGCACTCCTCCTCTACGCCTGGTCAAGGCCAGCCCCAGGGCTCAGGCGGCCTCGCGTCCCTCTCCTCTATCTCTAGCCGACGGGGTCCAGGCCCGCCACCGTCGCAATTACAACTTGATATTGTCCTACTCTCGGCCGGCCTGCCAGCGCCCAACGTCGTCGGGACCAAGCTCAAGGGGGCGGCGCCGTGAACCACCTCGCCCGAGGCCGGCAATGGGCAATCGATATCGTACCATCTTTCATCAAATTCCAATCTGCTTTCATGTCAAACATCGTACGAGGAGGGGACACAACTGAACCACCGAGCAACGAGGAACGACTACACGGCAACGGCCACGGGGCGAGGGTGCGCCATCACGTCCACCGCTCGCTCACAGGCGAGTGCGGCTGGCGGCGGTGGCGTCGTGGCGGCTGCGGTGCAGGTCAAAGCGGTCGGCGTCCATGACTTTGACCCAGGCGCGCACAAAGTCGTTGACAAACTTCTGCGCGCTGTCCGACTGGGCGTAGACCTCGGAAATGGCGCGCAGCTCGGCCTGCGAGCCAAACACGAGGTCGGCGCGCGTCGCCGTCCAACGCTTCTGGCCCGTCTTGCGGTCCACGCCCTCGTACACCTCGCTCTTGCCAGTGCCATCGGCCGCCTTCCACTGCGTCGACATGTCGAGCAGGTTGACGAAAAAGTCGTTGGTCAGCTTGCCGGGGCGCTGCGTAAACACGCCGTGCGACGATCCGTCGTAGTTGGCGCCCAGCACGCGCAGACCACCGACGAGCACCGTCATCTCGGGCGCAGACAGGTTGAGCAGGCTGGCGCGGTCCACGAGCAGCTGCTCGGTGCGCGCGCGCGCCGTCGACCGACCGTAGTTGCGGAAGCCGTCGGCGACGGGGCGCAGGTGCTCAAACGAGTGGATGTCGGTCTGCTGCTGCGTGGCGTCGGTGCGGCCCGGGTGGAAGGGCACCGAGACGCCCGACGCCTGCTCGAGCGCAGCAGAGCCGGCGAGCACGATCAGGTCGGCCATCGACACCTTCTTGCCGCCCGAGGCCGACGAGTTGAACTTCTGCTGCACCTCCTCGAGCGCGCGCAGCACCTGCGCCAGCTGGGTCGGGTTGTTGACCTCCCAGTCCTTCTGCGGGGCGAGGCGGATGCGAGCGCCGTTGGCACCGCCGCGCTTGTCGCTGCCGCGGTACGTCGAGGCCGAGGCCCACGCCGTCGAGATCAGCTTCGAGGGCTCGATGCCCGCGGCCAGGATGGCCTGCTTGAGCTGCGCCACGTCACGCTCGTCGACGAGCGCGTGGTCCGCGGCGGGGATGGGGTCCTCCCAGATGAGCTCCTCGCGCGGGATCTCGGGCCCGAGCCAGCGCGAGCGGGGGCCCATGTCGCGGTGGAGCAGCTTGAACCACGCGCGCGCAAAGGCGTCCTTGAACTGGTCCTCGTTCTCGAGGAAGCGGCGCGAGATCTTTTCGTACTCGGGATCGTAGCGCAGCGACAGGTCGGTGGTGAGCATCGTAGGCTTGTGCTTCTTGTTGGGGTCGTAGGCGTCGGGGATGATGTCGTCGGCGTTCTTGGCCACCCACTGATGGGCACCTGCGGGGCTCTTGGTGAGCTCCCAATCGAATTTGAAGAGATACTCGAGGTAGAAGTTCGACCACTTGGTCGGCGTCTTTGTCCAGATGACCTCGAGTCCAGACGTGATCGTGTCGGGGCCCTTGCCGGTGCCGTGGGTGTTCTCCCAGCCGAGGCCCTGCTGCTCGATGGGCGCGGCGGCGGGCTCCTTGCCGACGTGGGGCTCGGGCGGCGCGGCGCCGTGGGTCTTGCCGAAGGTGTGACCGCCGGCGATGAGAGCGACCGTCTCCTCGTCATTCATGGCCATGCGTCCAAAGGTGGTGCGGATGTCGCGGGCGGCGGCCTTGGGATCCGGGATGCCGTCGGGGCCCTCGGGGTTGACGTAGATGAGGCCCATGTGCGATGCGGCCAGCGTGCCCTCGAGGTCGCGCGTGTGGATGTCCTTGCTGCCGGCGTCGTCGCCGCGGTGCTGCTGCGAGTCGATGACGCCGTGGTCGGCGCGGCCGGGCGTGCCCTTCGAGTAGCGCTCCTCGTTGCCGAGCCAGGTCGTCTCGGCACCCCAGTAGGTCGAGTCGTCTGCCTCCCATGTGTCCGGGCGACCGCCGGCGAAGCCGAAGGGCTGGAAGCCCATGCTCTCGAGCGCCACGTTGCCCGTCAGCAGGAACAGGTCGGCCCAAGAGATCTTGTTGCCGTACTTTTGCTTGATGGGCCACAGGAGGCGGCGCGCCTTGTCGAGCGAAGTGTTATCGGGCCACGAGTTGAGCGGGGCGAAGCGCTGCTGGCCCTGTCCACCGCCACCGCGGCCGTCCGAGACACGGTAGGTGCCGGCGCTGTGCCAGGCCATGCGGACAAAGAGACCTCCGTAGTGGCCAAAGTCTGCGGGCCACCAGTCCTGCGAGTCGGTCATGAGCGCGGTGAGGTCCTTCTTGAGAGCGGCATAGTCGAGCGACTCGAACGCCGTGGCGTAGTCAAAGTCGGGCTGGAGAGGATCCGAGTTGGGGTTGTGCTGGCGGAGGATGTTGAGCTTGAGCTCGTTGGGCCACCAATCGGTGTTGCGGGTGCCGCCTCCGGCGACGGGCACCTTCTTGCGGTCAGTGGCGTGGACGGGGCACTCGCCCATGGTGGCAGACGTTGGTGGGTGGTAGAGGGGAAAAGTGTGGTGTGATGTGATGGAAGACAGTTGTACAATGAGGATACCTCAATGCGACGAAAGGATAGCGTGTGAGGCAAACCGAGGGATTGATGAAGTGGATGGTAGGACCTCGAAGACTGTAGGGGCGGCCACGGTTATATACCGGACGGGCGAGCAAGGCAGAGTAGTGACCGGGCGATGAGGCCGGGCGAGTGGCGTGCGAGCGGGCTCGGGTCGCCGATGCGGGGTCAGCTGCTGTGCCGTGATGCCAGGCAGCAGGTTGGTTAGCGGGCTTGCGGGCATCGAAGCTCTTGGCTCGTTTCGCCTCGAGCCAGCCATCAGAAGAGTGAGACGAGCGAGATGCCTAGGCTGGGCCTCGAATCTGGCAAGCCAGCCGAGCCAACGCTTGGGCCAACGGCTCCCCGGCTTTCAGCCTCTCACGGGTCGCCGACGCGCGCAAGGCTCTGCCCCGAGCGAAAACAGGCAGGCAGGCGGCAGGCGGTCAGGCAGGCAGGCAGAAAAACAAGACAAAGGCAGGCCAGTCGGCCCGCGCGCCCTGGCCCGCCAGGCTGCCTACCTGACCCACCCAAACTCCCCCGACCCCACTGCGCCCGACACAAATTACGTAATGGTCCCCGTCTTTCGCCACCGAGAGCGAGGCCGGGCCTAACTCTAGGGTTCACGCAGCAACGCCTTCATGGCGGCCAGAGAGTCGTTCGGAAACGGGCCGAGTGAGCGAACCTGATCCCGGATTCTGGCGACCCATCCCATCGAACGCCGGCACCGACAGCGGGACCCCGAACCCGCGCCGCCACATCAGGCCGAAGGTGAGGCTCCCCGGGAGCCGGGATTTCGGCGAGCGAGCCTGCAGAGACCGGAGTGGGCAGCATCCGCTTCCCCGACAGCAGAAGAGGCGAAAGGGGGTCCTGGCGGTGGCGGCGTCCCAAGCACGCATGCCGTCCCGGCCTTCCATCGCGCTCTTGCCACATGGTCGTTTACCGGTACTGGTACGTTTCGATCTCGACGATGACGACGACGACGACGGCGAGATCGACGGCGCCGACCCTTGCTGGCCGGTCAAATGTCCGGTCCACACCGCCGCCCGCTGCCGCCATTGCCGAAGCCTTGAGCAGCCACGTCAAGACGCCCCTGGCAAAGAACGTCGACACCGATACTGGGCGGAAACACGACAAGCCTCGTTGCTGGCCATCGCCTTACCTCTCGAATGGAAGATGCTTGCAGCTTCCCGAGCCTCTCGGGCTTGGCGCGATCGTACAATCTGCCTCGACACGGTACCGGGACCATTCCTCTCGCGGCGGCAACCCATGGTATAGCAGAGTGGTGGTGTACCGTGATAGCTCCTGCTTCCAGCCTTCGATCGTGCAATATGTGCTGTCAAGGAGTCACCCTTCGAGATTCCTCTCTGCTCGCCCTCCATCGCCCGCCCTCGTCGTTGTTGCGGGCTGCGGGCCGCCCTGTGACGGCTGGCGCGAGCAAGACTGGGTCTGCGCGTCGCCAGCGTGGCCGCCGCTTCGATTCGCCCCCGACATCCTCCGGCTCCCTCCGCCGAGGCCGTCGGCCCCTCCTCCACCTCCTCCGCCGACACCGCCACCGCACGGGCTGAGGACGCCCCAGGCCGAGGTGAGGCCCGCCCACACCTTGCTGCCGGGCACCGGCTGGATGTTGTCGACTATATGCTTGACGACCGTGCCCGTGTCGCGGTCGAACGTGTAGCGGAACAGGACCGTGTAGGTGTGGGCCACCGAAGACATCCGCGACAGGCCCTCGAAGCGCAACCGGATCGTCAGCTGGTCGGGCGTCGAGACGCTGCCGCCGTCGCCGTCCGATTCGGCACCGCGATGGTGGTTGCGGATGTACGGACTGATGCCTGGCCACGACTGGCCCGGTCTGGAGCGCCCCTCGAAGCGGGCCGTCTCGACGCTGAGCGAGGTGTCGTAGAAGAGCGCCGAGAGCGCGTGTCGAAGGACGTGGGCGCTGGCCACGTAGAGCGTGCGGCCACTGAATGAGATGACCGGACGGTAGTGCGGGTGGTGGCCATTGTCGGAACGCGCGAGCGCCGAGGACGGCGACCGCGCCTCGACCGTTGAGTCGTAGGACGATCCTGCGCCCTCGTCCCCGCCGCCACCTCCTAGCGAAGGCAGCGGTGGCCGGAAGCAAAAGGCGATGCTGGGGTGGTAGATGCTGGTGAAGCTTCCATCGCCGTGCGGAGCCTCCGAGTCTGCGGCCCTGGCCTTGCCCTTCCATGGGCTCCGCCGCAACAGGCTCTGACCAAGAAAAGGCGAGGATGACGACGACGATGCGGACGATGATTGCGCCTTGCCGCTCCTCGAAGAGGAGGGGGATGAGGATGCGTGAAGATCGTCGATGTCGACGGCGCCGCGCTGCATAAAGTCGGGCAGCGTGTCGATGAGGAGGCGGCAGGCGGCGCCCACGCGGAGGCGGTACTCGTGCTCCGAGATGGCGGCATCGCTGTCGTCGTCTTTGTTGCTATTGCCGCGATCCTCGTTTCGCCTTGGCGCGCCGTTTGACTCGAAGAAGGCAGCCAGGGCCGAGGAACGAGGAGCTGTACGGTGGCTGGTCACATCGTGGTGCAAAGAAGGGTCGGTGCGCAGGTTACTGCCGAGCAGCAGGTGAGCGCCCTGCTGAGAGGGGTGCAGAGGCGGAGAGACTGGTGGAAGCGAGGATGGCGAGCTTGGCGAAGAGAGCGAACGGATGCCCGACCGACTTGGCGTTGCGATCCATGCAGTCCTCGACTGGGTGGACAAATGAGCACTAGGAGCAACGGCGGCAGTGTGCAGGGAAGACGACGAAGCGGCGGCGACCACCTTGCTGCTGCTGCTGCTGCCGTGGCCCAGGATCAATGACGGCGGGCGAGGCCTCATGATTGCGTGCTGAGTGCTAGAGCATATGTGTATGTGGTGACGAAGACCGAGACGGGCAGGCAGCTGGTCGGTGGCGGCGATGATGGTGTTGGTGGTGGCGGCTGGCAGAGACCGGGCGGGACGGCGACGAGGACGATGTCAAGATGGATGCGGGTCGGGCCATGCTGACTCCACATCGCCGACTCCCGAAGCGGTGGCCCTCGTTTGCCTGTGCCCTCCTGCCTTGGCTTGCAAAAAGGAGTTTGGCTGGATGGAGAGGGCAAGACTGTGTTGAGCCAGGCGGCCCGCCGGCCAACGACGAGGGCGAGAGGCAACGTGACCCTTCGCGCGCCAATTTGGCGTCGCGTGCGGGCTGCCGGCCAGGGCGGGCTCAACAGGCGTGCCTCTCACCCTGCCAGCCTGTCAAACAACCACGCCCCCACAGCCTGCCTTCACACGATCACGCACGACATTATCGACCCCCGAGTACGCTCCGCCATCGTCCGATATCCATCCAACCATCCATCCATCCGTTGGCGACCGACTCGAACAGCATACCCCTTCCCTGCTTGCTTGACCGTATAGCCACCATCTCGCCAGGGCCTCCCAACCCGCGTAACCCAGCCATTGCCCTAGCACCAGCAAGCCGCAACCACCACGCCATACCCTTGCTCGAGACTCGCCCTCGGAACGCCGCGCGGCCCCATGCACTCGGCCCCTCGATGAGTGCCATCGGGATCATCAGCGGGCCTGCCGCGACGGATGCTCCCGGCCACCCGGACATGGGTCACTGCACCGCCGCGACTTCGTCCCGCCCCTTGGCGCCATCGACCTCGTCGTCGTCATCATCCTCCTCTTTGTCAATGTCGTTGTCGTTGTCGTCGTCGTCGCCGTCTCGGCTCATCGCAACGCACCCGTCGCCGGGCCGAGGGCCCTCAGACACTACGCTGCGGCTCGACGGCGGATCATCCATCGCATCCACGTCCCCATCCTCGACATCCCGCCTGAGCGACTCCCTCGCCAACTCCATCGCATCCGGCTCGGCCAGCTCGAACGACGACCTGCCGAGCAGAAGCGGGACCAGCACCAGCACCAGCACCAGCACCAGCACCAGCGGCGGAGACTCGTCCGATGGGGACGACGATGACAGCGATGACGGCACCCAGCTCGTCTTCTTTGGCAAACCCACGGCTGCCGAAGAGGAGAAGCGGAGGCAATACGAGGCCCGGATGCGCCGCAAGAAGCTCATACGCAGAGACAGCCTCGACCTCGCACGCCGCCGGACCATCGTCCTGCGTCACGGCAGCGACGACGATGACACCGAGCCCGAGGACGAGACTGTCCGCCTGCCCGCCGCGGTCCAGGTCGTCGAACCGGCCGATCCAGATGCCCACCTCACGGAATCGCTCCGGCAACAGCCATCCGACCCAGAAGCCCACCTCACGGAATCGTCCCGGCAACAATCATCCGACCCAAATGCCCAACTCTCGGAATCGCCCCGGCAACGACCATCCGTAAATACCGTCGACGCCGCTGCCATTGGATACGACGCAATACATGTTGCACCGCCGGAACCTGCCTACGTTGCCGGCGACATCACCGGCATCGAGGCGTATGAGTCGACCGACGACGAAAGCCCAAGCGAGGCCGGAGAGCCACAGCACGATTCGGCTGTTCAGTCGCATCCAGCTGTTGACGGACCAGGGCCTCTTGAGGGCGAGGCCCGCGCGCCGCCCACTCTCGTATTCGCGAATCTGGCCGGCGTCGGGGACGGCTCCGTCGAGGTCCTCTCAGCGGCCGAGGATGAAGCCATCGAGATCGCCGAGGAAGCAGCTTCACCGAGCGTTGGCGGTCTCAGTGGCGACGAAGAGCTCGAGCCTGCCTCGGCTAGCCGGAACCCAAACGTGGCGGTTGCTGTCGCTCCACCGCTGGTCCCGGTTTCGGACGATCTTTCGCTGCACTGGGACACCCTCGAAGGCTCCTTGTCGTACGGTTCGGAGCCGTCTTCGACCTCGAGGGATGAGGCAGAGACGGTCGAGCTTGCCGGGCTTCGTGCTCAAGATAAAGACCACGAGGCGAGCAACTCCGATCTTGTTGCAGCAGAAGAGGAGGCCGAGGAGGACCTCATCGGCGAGATCGACATCGACCTGGCGCCAGTCGTGCCTCAAGAGGAGGTTGCGGTAAGCGACACCGACATTGCTGAAAGGTCCCCTGAGCCGACACGCGACGAATCAACACCCGGCGTGGCAGCCCCGGCCATGCTTCCTCTAGAAGCAGCCGAAATTCTGGACGAAAGGAAAGAGGCCGAAGACAAAGGGTTGGCGGAAGGTCCGGAAAGGACAGAAGAAGAGGATGACGACGGCGACGAGACGCACGACGAGGAGGCAGAAGAGGAAGAGGAGCTCGTCACTAGCGACAAAGGCTGCGTCAGTGCTGCGTCAGCTGAGGAAAGCGATGCAGATGGCGAGGGGCTGCTCGACCTTTCGACTGGCTCTGCCCAACCTGCCACGACCGCAATGCTGGTCTTGGACGATTCAGCGACGGAGGCTGCAGCCAAGGAAAGCGGCCTTGCGACTTCCGACCCAGCAGCACTCGTCGAGCAGCAGCAGGCCGCCTCGTCGTCTTCACGTCTGTCCTCGCCAACGCCCGCCCCGCCTGCCTCTTCGACGCCTCTACGCAACCCTTCTTCTGCCGCCGCCTCCGCCAGTAACGATGCTGCGGCACGGATCCTCCTCTCGCGCAGTATCGGCGCTTGCGTTCCTTCACCCGGCTCGTCGTCGATGCACTCGTCGTTTTCGCTCGACATGTCGCCAGGCATGGGCCGCGCCCTGACGATGCCGCCCACGGAAGCTCTACGACGCTCGGCCATGGACGACATCCTAGGCGGCATCTACGAAAGTCCACGTCCTGGCCCACTTCGGGGCGGCTTCGTCGATGGCGACCAGGGTCAGGGTCAGAGGCGGTCGGCGCGGCTGAGCCAGATCTCTTGCCAGCTGTCTCCATCCAAGGTGGCCTCGCCGACAGCAACACCGCGGCGCAGAAGTCCTGAGAGGAAGGTGCTTAGCGAAGTCACGCCGGCATCGCAGCAGCCTCCCTTGCAGCCCCCGAGACTCGACATCGAAGACGACTTGAGGAAGCAGCAGCCAGCGAACATCGCCACGCCGGTCGACTCCGACGCCTTCGCATTGACTGGCGATGCTCTGCTCGACAGTCCATCGAACGGCGCCGCCAAATATCAGCGCAGCCGCGCACGATCTCAGTCGGCTTCGCCAAAGAAGCGTCGCAGCAAGTCCAACAGCCCCACAAAGGGCCGGAAGCGGACAGAGGTCGACGACGCCCTAGCAGAGGGCCTGGCCTCCGGCAGTCCGAGCAAGCGCCGCGACCACCTCGCATTCTCCCCCGCCGCCAATGTCGCCTCGCCCACGGTGCGGGACGTACTTAACGCATGGGCAGGCGCCAAGATGCTGACGCCATACTCCCCCGAGAAGCGCGCGCCCTGGCTTCTTGCGCAGCCCTCGAGCCTCGCCACTCCGTCGCAAAGCCAGCAGACGCTGGGCTCGCAACTGACGCCTTGGAACATGGCAGCATCCCTCGGGGCCAGTGGCAGTCCACGCAAGGGATCCATGGCGATCGGCTTGCCTCCGACGGATCCAGAGACTCGGACAGCCGCCCCTTTGTCCGAGGCGAGGTCAACGCTCAACGACGAGCAGCAGAACAACCAGCAGCAGCAACTTGCGTCGGACGCCCATGGCCGCAGCGACACGAGCGAGGCGCAGCCGCCACATTCTGCGCTCCTCGCGCCCAGGATCGCCAGGACACTGCCATCGGCTCAGCCGGAGACTTCACGGACTGGCCGGGTGATGTCGGCCGCGATACCCAACCGGCACCTGGGCCTGCGCAAGCTGGGCGGCCATCCGGATCTCTTGGCCGCGTCGACCATCGGCACGGGGCCCGCCGCCGATACGAGCCCATCTGCGGTCGCGTCGGCTTCCGCTCCGGCGGGTCCAGCTGTCGTGCCTACTGCGGCTGCCCGCAAGACGAATGGCATCCCCGTGCCCGTCTCGGCTCTGCCGCGGCCCGTCGCTGGCCCCGCGCCCGTATCGAGGCTGCCGAAGCCAGCCGCCACAACCCGAGCAGCGGGACTGCCTGCAACAATGCCATCCCTGCCAGCCGCGGCGCCTGCCACCGTCTCTAGGCTGGGCAACAAGCTGACATCGTCGAGTGCGCTCAGGAGCACGGCGCAGGCGCAAGCTCTCAGGACGGTCCCGGCCGCGCGCAGCATGAGCGCGGCGACCCCGACGATGGAACCCGCCACGGCTCCCCTACCCAGCTCGATCCGGGCTAACGCTAGCGCAAGCGCCGCGCCGGCGACCACAAGAGCCGCGTCGGCCGCAGCGACATCGGATGCACCCAAAAAGCGGAGTATTGGCGCCAGCAGGGTGGTGCCGGTTCGAAGCACCGTTGCTGGCCTGCGCAGCTCTTCGGCGGCGGCGGCCTCGACGGTCAATTCGAGCAGGAGCCCACAGCTTGATGAGGTGATCCAGGAGCCGGAGCTGCCTAATGCGGCGCCGACGCTTAGCATGCTGGAGCGATCGCAGCAGATGCAAGCGCGAGCCTTGGCACGCTCCTCTCCCGATACAGGCGAGCCGTCTGCGGTGAGTAATGCTGTTGGCGATGGGACGCAGCAAGAGCAGCAGCAGCAGCAGCAGCAGCAGCAGCAGCAGCAGCAGCAATACCGCGAGGCAGTAACGCTGACCCTGTTTCGTCGCCGTCGTCGTTGTCGTCGTCTTCAATCCCTTCCTTTCGTGCAGCAGCAGGGCAATGATTTGACCGCGGCGCGCGTTCAGTCGCCGCCGACGGCAACGGCCGTGATCGGCCCACCGTCGTCGTCCTCGGCGCCTGAAGCCGGCCAGAACGGGGGGGCCGCTTCAACATCGAGCGCGGGACGAGTCTGGAGTCCTGTCAAGGCGCCAGGCACCGCGGCGAGGCTCGGCGGCGGCGGCAGCTCGCCCACCAAACAGCCGGCCTTCTTGATCCCGTCGTCCCACCTGCGCCGGCTGCAGCCAAGCTCGGATTCGGTGTCTTCATCATCATCATCATCGTCATCGGGACCGGCTGGCGAGAGCGGGCACTTCCCCTCGCGCCTCGGTGCGTCGGTCAATGGGGCGGCGACGGCGACAGCCTCTGCTACGGCTCCGCAAGGGCGTCTGGGAACGAGCAGGGGCGCGAGCGGGAGCAACCCGTTCGCCGCTCCGACCTCGATGCTGCCGTCGCCGACCTCGGCGCGGTCGCTCGATTCATCAGAGGCTGCTGCTACTGGGCCTGCGCCCACCAGGGTCGTCCGGCCTCGAGTCGTTCGGGCGACTCCGCTGCGAACCAAGTCGACTGCCTCAGTCGCCCAAAGCACAGCTTCCGACCAGCTGTCGTCTGGGCTGGCAAGCAGCAGCGGCCCGCCGGCCCCGTCGTTGGACAACGAGTCGAACGGGATCGAGGTTGCAAGCGGAGCTGGTCGAAGTGGACGATCGCTTAGATCGGCGGCCGCGGCAGCGTCAACCAAGATTACCAAATCGATTGCCGGCAATCAGGCTCCCTGGTCATCGTCGGAGGCTGCCAGCATCCCGGCTCCAAGCACGACAGCGATGGCCGCACCTTTGGGACCAGCAACGTCGTCCAACTCGTTGCTACCGCTGTCGGCGACGGAGCTGACCAGGCTGACGAACCAGCACACGCGGCGCAACGGCGTCAATGCGGCCAAGTTGCTGGTCAAGGTGGAGCGGCGAGGGGGCCAACGCCCGCCCAGCCCTTCGACGAAACTCAAGGAGAGCGCGTCGTCTTCCCTTGTTGCAGCTGAGCGAAGGCGGAAGCGGATGCAGGAAGACGAGTATGACGACGAGTTTGACGACGACGACGACGACGAAGCTGACAGCGACGAGGAGAGGGCAAGCTGGTCGGGCGAGCGCAAGCGGCATCGGATGGGCAGGGGCGATGACGAGGTTTACACGACGCCGCCGCGGCTGGCCAGCTCGCAGAGACGGGTGCGGTGGTGCAAGCGCCTCTTTGCTGGGCCTAGCGGCAAGGAAGCGGGCGAGCTGCCCCTTGCGGATCTCGGAGGTGGCGATGGCGGTGGCGGCGACGGTGATGTGGGCGATGGTGCTGGAGGAAGGCAAGAAAGGGGGGCCCGACCGCGCAAGAGCAGCCTTGCGAGCAGGGTGAGTCTGCTCGTGCCCCTGGCCAGCCGCTTGGCTCGGCTCGACTTCGGCGCCGCCCTTGACCCGGTGACATGCTGACCTTTTCCCTCGTTCCCCTCGCCCTCCTCTTTCTCCTTTTCTTCCTCCTCCTGCCCCTGGCTGGCCCTGTTGCGGCAATAGGACTACAAGCTAGACCGTTTCGGCAATCCGGACGAGGCTACGCTGCAGCCCCTCTCGCCACGCATGCGCAAGGTCAAGGTCACGATCCACAAGATCGTCTACGACGGCGAGGAGTAGCTCGGCCGCTTGCTTGCGTGCGACTCGCCTCCTTGGCCCATCGTCCCCTTCGTATCTCGTCGTGCCCAGCTCCTCCTTTCCGCAACCCGCCATCACCAGATTGTCGATTGCAGCTGGCCTTGTTGGTCCCGCCGCTCCGATAGCACAGCAGCAAGGATTTCGCATCGCCCATCGCTTTTCAGTCAGCAGGGCGTCCATCTGTCGCCTGCCGTGTGGACTCGGATATGTTGCATCAACGCGTCGCGCCATCGCCATCGTGTCGGTCTGAAAGCGCGATATGGCGGCTAGATGAGCTCGCACTTGTCCATGTTGAACCCGGCGTAATCGGCCGCCTGGCGTCCGTTGTAGCCGGAGGGATCATCATGGCGACATGTGTGGATAGAACACGGGCGGAGGGGTCAATGAACCGCCCCGTCCTGATCTGCCACCACGCTGTACGAACGCACCTTCTTGGTCCACTCCGCATCGCCCTGGCCCTCACCGCTCGGTCCGACACAACAGAGGTGAAATTCGGCCTCCTTGACCTGCTTTTCGCTGTGGTGCCGGGTCGTGACCGCCTTGCCGCCTTCGGTCTTTTTCGACGACGAGTTCTGGACGATGCCGGACTCGTGCTTGAGCAAGTTGCACCAGCGTCGATCCAGGGCGATTCTGGATCGGTGTCTGCCCTGATACGAGGGCGAAGAGGACGGAAGTTGGTTGGTACACCCCACGGTGCAGAAGGACACGTACGCCGCTTGGGCGTCGACCTGCGTCGAGAAGATGGTGGGCGAGCCGTCGGTCGACGAGTCGTGGCAGCGTAGACCTGGTGTGAGGCCGGAGTGGCGGAAAGGTGGGAAATTAGAGGGGGAGTGCGGCGGTAGTGTCAGTTCAAAATGGGTTGCTGTACGGCGCATGGCAAGACAAGGGGGGGGGGGGGGGGGGGGGGGGGGCACACAGAGACTCACGCGGCTTGCATTCCGTTACCGCTGCCGCTGAGCTCGTCGGCACAAGGCCGGCGCTGCCGAGCAGCAGAAGGAGGAAGAGGAGCGGCGACAACATGTCCCCGTGTCCGTCAATCGTATCGTCTGGTAGGCCCTTTGTATGTGGCAGGCGTGTAGCGTGCGATGGGTATGTCCGCTTGGAAGGGCAGGTGAAGCGTGCGCCGAACGCCGAGGTGAGGACCGAAGGGGAGCGTGCAGTAGATTGAGTACGTGGTTCTTGGATCGTCACGAAAGGCCCTGACTGGCCTCTTGCCACCCGCTCTTTAAGCATCTTTCTGTCCTGGTCCGCGCCTAGTCATGTCTCGCGGTGGTTCGTCGAGGGTCGAGTGGGTGGGGACGCGGGTGGGGTGAGCGGTATCATGGTAGGTTGAAAAGGGGGAGGCGGGCAAGGCAGGTAAGGGAGGGTGGGGCTGGTTTGACGTCGGGGCTGATCCAGGTCGCAGTCGGTGGGGACGTCTGGCAAGGTCGCGACTGCCAGCGAGCCACCCAGCCAGCAAGCAAGAAGGCCAGCTACTAGTCTGTATGTACATGGCAGGCCCGATCGAAGGCGCGGTCCGGCCCAGTCACGGTATGATAGGCAGGTGGGTGCGCTTTGGCCGCCTCTCTGTCGCCCGCGCCCGGCACTTTGGCATCGGCCCGTTGCCATCGTCCCAGAACGAGAGGCCAAACCGTCCCCGGGGCCTTGTGCTCGGCCCATGCCGATCCAAATCGGACCGAGCCGATACAAAGGTCGGGACGTGCGTCGGTCTTGACGCCAAAGCACCGTGGTGATGGAGCTGGAGGATTCGCGCCAATGTACGCGGCTGTGGAGTAAGAGGTGTATGTGTGTACCAAAACGCTCTCTGTCCGACGATGCACCCTTTCACTCTGACCTCGGACTCGCCGCCGTACCTCTAGTCTCTGTGCTGCCCACAGAACCTCCTGCGATCTCGCCGCACTCCACTCGTGCTCTATGGCACTGCTGCGCTGGCGAGAAGCGGTTTCCGTGCTGTGCCAAGGCGGGTCGGACCGAGAACGAAACGGGGCGAGGCCGATGTAGCATGCTCGTTGACGATCGACCGAGCCGGGCCGAGCCCAATCGATCAGCTCCAGTGTTTCCTCCCCGGGAAGGTTTCTACTGATTCCGCGGCGTGGATCCCGACCCACATCCGGGAACGCCGCCTGCCATGGCCTTCTCGGATCACCCGCTCGGCGAGAGGGTTTCGGTCGACGGCAACGCCGGGTCCAGCGTGCCTACTCTTTTGTATTCCACACCGTGCGAAGATGGAAAACAACGAAGGCATGCCGGTGAGTTGGCCCGAGGATCGAGGATGATGGATAATTCAAGAGGGGAGGTATGGAATGTCCCGTCGCCAACAGAGCAGAGTCTCTGCCTGTCCCCTTGTCCTAGTGCGCCTGTCCGCTCGCTCAGAGCTCCTGCTTGCCCGTCGCCTTGCCGTCCTTGCCCTTGTCCTTGCCCTTGGTCTCACCTTTGGCGCCGTCGTTTGCTCCGTCGCCCTCGATCGTCTTCTTCCACCCTTCGAGCGCCTCTACCTCGCGCTTGAGGCGCTGCACCCTTTCCTCTGCCTCGTCGAGCAGCTTGCGGATTGCCTCGTGGTCCAGCGGCGCCGAGCTGCCGCCATCGACAGCTTTGACTTCGGATTGCTGCGCCGCCACATTTGGCTGCAGAAAGTCCTTGAGCACCTCGCGCACCGCCCTCGCCACCTCTTCGCCCGCAGCGCCACCGCCGCCGCCGTGGGCCATCGAGGGGCCCGGCCCCCCGCATAATACCGCGGCACTGGCGGCGCATAGTAGCCGTCGGCGAACACGTAGCCCGCCGGCAGCGAGGAGCGCGATGGTGCCGCCGACGACGAGCTGCGCCACGTCCACAGGTTCGACAGCACCAGCAGCGCCACGATGCTCGACAGCACCAGCATCTTGACGTTGGGCCCGCCGTCGGCGCCGCCGGTGAAAAGCGACGAGACACCCTCGACGGCCGACGACACCAGGTCAAAGAGCATCGACGCAGCATCGCTCGCCGTCGATGTGAGGGTGTCGAGCAGGCCGCCGGCGCCTCCAGAGCCACCGCTGCCGCCCGCGGCCGACGAGGAGGCGCCGCCTCCGCCGCTGCCACTGTGGCCGCCGCCTTTGGACTCGTCCCCGCCTCGTCCTCCATCGCCGGCCCGCTGCTTGGAGCCGACTCCGACGGCTGGCGTGGCGGCGCGCGCAATCTCCTCGACGGCCTTGGCGTCGTCGCCCTCCTCTTTGAACTCGCTTGTGTGCTCGGTGAGGTAGTCGCGCACCGAGCTGTCCAGGTCGCTGTAGTACTGCTTCTGGCCGTCGATGCACGCTTTTTCGATGATGCCCTTGATCATGCTACGCCCCGTCCACTCGACGCCGCAGGTGACATAGACCCGGCTGACGTTGCCGCCGCCAGCCCAGGTGATGCAGGTGCGCGTCTTGACGCTGAAGCTGCCACCCGACGGAACGTCTGGCGTCCGCGTTGTGGTCAGGGTGGTGACGTAGTTGTCAAAGTCGACGTGCATGTTTTCGTCGCTCAGGTGGCACTTTGTCTGCTTGGGGCCAAAGGAGCCCGTCAGCGGCTTGATGTAGGACACGTTGCGCGACAGCATGTTGTTGTTGCTCGAGCACGGCGACCACTCGGAGATTTGCAGCTCTGCATCAGAGAGGAACGTGGTGGATCGGTCAGCGGTGCGCGTTCGCAAGGAAACAGAGCGCATCGAGGCCGCCGCAGCAGCCGACTCACCGAAAAGCTTCTGGTTGTCGGTCCAGAAGTCCTTCATGAAGCCCGTGGTAAAAAGGAGGTTGTAGATCTTTTCAGGAACGGCGGGATAGGTGGTGTCGAGCACGACGGTCGAGTAGTGCTCCTTGTTGTCCTCGCACGGGCAGCTCGTCTTGCGGTGCGGTGCCCGCTTGGCACCGGGGGCGGGCGACCGACTCGGCGTGATGAGCGGCGAGATGGCCTTGGCGGCCGCCGAGTTGGCGTTGGCAGCCGATGCCGCCGAAGCGGGTCCGCCCGCCGCCGCCACCGCGGCAGCCAGGTTCTCGTCGCGGATGCCGTTCTTGGTGCCCTTGAATTTGCGCTTGAGTCGCGCGCGTTTCGAGGGCTTGCTGGCCTTGACCTGGCCGTGGCCGTCGACGGACTCGGACTTGTCGACGGCCGTGGCGCCGTCGCCGCCGTCGTCGTCCTCCGAGTACTCGTCGCTCAGCTCGGCAGCCTGCTCGGCGGCGCTGGCGGGCAGACCGGGGTGCGAGAGGCGCCAGATGTTGACGATGAGGTCGTAGGTCGTATCGCGCGAGAGGAATGACACAAAGGTGTGCTTCGAGTTGATCGTCGCCAGCTGGATGGCGTTGGGGATCACGAAGGCCGTCATCCGCTTCTCGATGGCGACAATGTCGGAAAAGGGCACCACGAGGTTCGTCACCCAGCCGAAGATGTTTGCGTTGAAGGCGATAAAGTTCTCCGAGATGTAGAGCCGACCGTGGATGAGAATCTCGCGCGACAACGCGCAGCCGTAGTCCTCAATCAGGTAGTCGTCCTCGGGCACCTGGGGAAAGAGCTGGTGGAAGTCCTTGTTGCGCTTCGACGAGGCGACGGCGAAGCCCGTGATCTGCTGGCCCATGTCCTCCGAGGACCAGGCGTCAGTGTCGATCGAGGGGCCGCTGCCCGAAGCACTGACCCCGTCGCCCAGCCCTGCGCTGCCTCCACCGCCATCGTGACTACCGCCAAAGCCCCCGCTGCCACCACCATTGCCGCCTCCGCCAATTCCACCACCACTGCCGCCATAGTTCGAGCCCTGGCCGTGTGGAGCGGGCAGCGTAGCGCCAATCGGGGCCAGCAGCGCTGCAGAGGCAGCTCCGAAGCCTGCCGCGGCGCCCAACCCGCTCGCCGACGAGCGCTCAGATGCGACCGAGCCGTCGTACGACACAAGGCTGCTGACGCTGCGGTCTCTGCCAGGCCGCAGCGGGGGTCGGTAGGGCCCTGCGCGGTCGTCGCCATACTTTTCGACCACGGTACCCGTCGACGGATCGCGGTACATGCCGCCCTGGTAACCGGCGTCCTCGTTGGCCGGAAAGGGGCGCACCGACTGGTCCGGCGCAGCTCCGCCGTTCGAGGCAGCGGTGTTGGGCGAGGAGAACGAGGCGGTGGAGGGGTATGAGCGCCCGGCATCGCCGTAGGCCGGAGGGCCGGGCAGCAGCGTGTTGGCGGCGTGGTGTGACGCCGCTGCAGCCTGGCCGATACCGATGCCCGTCATGCCGCTGGCCGCAAGCGCCCCCGCGATGCCGCCCGCGGGTCCGTTGACGGCGGCCTTCTTGGATGTCTTGCTGGCCCCGCCGTCGGTGCTGTTTTTGCGCAGCCGCGCGAGCCGGCCGGGCTTGAGCAGCGGCGAGCTGGGGGCCTCCAGCTTGCCAGTGCCGTTTCCGCGCTGGCCGCCGTCAAAGTTGCTGGCCGACATGCTCTTGGACATGTGCGGGCCGGCGCTGAGGTGATTGTTGCTGACGACGTCGTGGAAAGTCTTGGAGCGGACGGGCGGCGTGCCCTCGAACTCGTCGCTGCTGTCGGGCCGCGCCATCTCGGACCCGCGCCTCTGGCCAGAGGAGGGCGAGAACATGGGCTGGGCCACGAGGGCATCGTCGAGAGAGTCGGACCGGGGCATCTCGGCGCGTATGGGCGAGGGCGTAACGATGGAGGGCAGGGTCGACGACTTGGAGGGCGTCGAGGTAGCCACCAGGCTGGGGAATTCGCGGGTGGACTGCGTATGACCGGGGGCGGTTGAGCCATTGGCTGGCCTTTCGGCGCCGTTGGACGTTGGGGCGGCGTGGCCATCGCTGGCGGCGGCGGTCTGCGTCTGGAAGCCGTCGAAACCCGGCGCGGTGGTGCTGATGGGCGTGGCCTCGTCGTCGCTGAGGCCTCCGTTGCCACGGCGCCGACCATGCTCGTCGTCGACGTCGTCGTCGTCGTCGTCGTCGTCGTCGTCGAGGGGGTCTTTTGCGGCTGCCATGGCGCGGCGCATGAGCTCATGGCGGTTGAGCACCTCGGTCTTGCCACCGTGGCCGTCTTCGCTGCGGTTGGTCTTGGATCCTCTGCGGGACGATTTGCCAGAGGTGGGTTCGGCGGTCCACTGCGAGTTGCCCGAGGTGGGTCGGCCCATCCTCGAGGTGGTGGCGGCGGCGCTGCTGCGGCGGCCGGGAAGGATGCTGCTGACCTTGGATGCGGCGGACGAGGTTGGAGGTGGGTAGTAGTCGGGCTCGTCGACGAGCGGAAAGGCGTTGACGGAGTCGAGCTGCCTGTCGGAGCGGAGCCGTGGGGTCGAGTCGTCCAAGGCTGTCGACGGTGGTGCCGCCGGTGCTGTGGTGGGGTCCAGATGTCCGGGTGCGCTAGCGGTGTCGATGATGTCGATCGAGGGGATCGAGGGCGAGGCTACGGTTTCGGTTGCGTCGGATGCTGCGGCGCTCGGGTTGCTGTTGCGCCTGGCCTTTGTATTGGCGGGCGAGTTGTGGTTTGAGCCTCGAAAGATGCTCTTGATGGCGGGCATGGGTGAAGGGCCTGTCTGCGTCTGTGTTGCTACGCCGCTGCGGCGGTGGCGGAGGGACAGCAGGGTAGAGTGTGCGTGGTGGTGAGATACAGCGCACAGGCAGCAGCAGCACGAGCAAAGGTCCGAGCTGAGCAGGCGCGGCAACGCCGAGGCCAGCTAGCTGACAGAAGTGCAGAGTAGCAGAGTTCGTAGTAGTAGTAGTGTGTGTAGTAGTCTGCGTGTTGAGATCGAGCTAGTACGTGATTCCCTCCTTCTGAGGTGGCCGGATCGCCCGGCGTGCGTGATTGGCTGCACTCGCGCAGCTGCGAGGTGAATTGTGATGCTCAAATCCAGGCTGGGAACTTGTGCTGGGCCGGAGTGAGGTTGGGCGGGTGGCGTGGGCTGTGCTGTCGGCGAGGTCGACAGAGGCTTTGCGTGGGCGAAGATAGGTACCTAGGCGAGAGAGGACGTCGGGCAACATCCGACGGCGGTGGTGGTATGATGGCCGGAAGTCGAGCCAGCAGAGTCGCCCAAGGTGAGGCAGGCGTGAGGTAGGTAGGTGGACCTGCGATGCACACAGGCGCCTGGCTGTGGCTGGCTGGCTGGCAAACCAGCAGGTCAGGGTGGCCTCGCTTGCCGCAAGAGGCTGCGGGGCTTGGAGGCCAGCGGGCCTGCAGGCCTGCCTATGACGCCCGTCCGCCGGATTTGGGGCCGCCCCTCGCACTGGCCACCCATCACCTCGACCACAACCACAACCACAACCACAACCACAACCACAACCACAACCACCAACACCATCATCTCCAACATCCGACTCGCCGACTCGCTCTAGCGACAAAGGCAAATGGACGATACCCTCACCCTCTCCTACCGAGATGCCTACCTGCGCCGCTCCGACCTGGCCACCATTGAACCAGACGAGTGGGTAGGCGACAACCTTCTCTCATTCCACTCGACCTGGCTCCACTCGACCGCTGCCGCGCCCGCCAGCATCGCAATGTGGCCGCCTGCCATCGTCGAGTTGCTCGTCAGCATCGATGATCCACAAGAGGCCAAGCAGGTCCTGCCGCCCATCGACCAGAGGTGGCTCTGCCTGCCGGGTGAGTCGAGTGCAGCACTCGAGAGCCCAGCCCGACGTACCCAGCTCGATCATGGTTGATCGGTCCGATGGCCTTTGCCTCTAAATCGATAGTCAGCGACAGGTACGGAAGAGTAGGGTCAGATGCCTCTCATTGGAGCCTGCTCCTCTTCGACACCGCCACCCGCCGCTGCATCCACTTCGACTCGCTGCCTCCCGCCAACCGCGCGGCAGCCGACAGCGTCGCCAGAGCCATCGTCGACATCGTCGCCCGCGATCATCGTTCACAGGGTCGTGTAGGCGGTGCGACAACGGCCAATACGGTCGTCGACCAAGTAGAGACACTGCCCAGGCAGAACAATGGTGGGTGATCCGCTCGAAGCCGGCCAGATCGCTCAGACATCTCCGAGGCTCACCGTGCCTCTCTATCCGTCCCCTCGTCGTCGGCTGACCGTCAGGCAGCGACTGCGGCGTCTACGTCTTGGCCCTCACGCATTCACTGCAGCCGCTCCTCGAAGCCAACCTGGCCAACCTCCATCCCGACACCAGCCCAAACATCCTCGACAACGTCGTCGACGATCTCGCGACTCGCTGGATCCCCGAGAGGATACGCCTGTATCGCCAGCGATATCGCGACTGGCTCCATCGCTGGGCAGCGGCGAAATCGTCGTGGGACAATCCGGCGGATGTGAGACGGTGTATAGGTGAAATTGAGATGCCGTGATGTATCGAAGAAACAGCAAATGATCGACTCTCATTCAGCGAGCCCTCCCACGCATCTACCAGAACCGCCTGACCGCCAACACGACGCTGCCGAGCGCCACGACGCCGGCCAGCACGCACACGGCGATCATCTCGCGCATCAGCCAGCGCCACCGCCGCACCAGGCGCAGGTTGTCCTCGCTATCCTCGGGCACGTCTTGCAGCCCTCCTCCGTGCGTCGCCACATTGGGCGGTGGCGAATCTTGCTCTTGCTGCTCTTTCGGCTTGTCCTGCTGCGGCTGATCGGACGACGGCCGAGCGCCGCGCGGAGGCATCTCGAACCTGGACCGCTTGTTGCCCATGCTCCACACAATCAGGCGGCGCAGCAGGGGCCGGGCGAGGACGAGGCGTTGCCGCTCCCATTCGGCGCGGTAGAAGCGTCCGAACCATATGGGGATGCGCATCCCCAGGAAAGCCACGTCGGTGATGAGCGTGCGCAGCGCGTCGGTCGGCGGTATGCCCAGGGAGTCGGACAGCGAGGGTCCGAGCAGATGGCGAGAAATGGCAAAGTGCGCCGCCAACGGCGTGTGGAACGGCGGGCGGTCCGCACACGCGATCAGGACGGGGATCGTCGGACCTTTGATGCGAGGCGCCGGTGGTGTCGTCGGCGGTCCAGCACCGTTGCTAGCCTCTGCCTGGTCGTCGTGTGCTCGCGCGCCATCGCCGCTGCCGCTGCCACTGACCTCGACCTCTCCGAAGAGGTGGAGGATGGCGCACCAGAGGGTGCGATCAGCCGTCTGCGCATTTCCAAAGCAGGCGCGCAGCACCGCCGGCTCGAGGCCCATGTAGAAGCCGACATGGCGCCAGAGGGCGACAAAGTCCTCACGCTCCCGCAGCGTGGGCTTGATGCCCATGGCCTGAAGAGAAGCGAGGGGCGCGACGGAAAACGAGCAGAGCGTGGCTAGCAGGTCCTCTTGGTTGATTGGCACGCCATTGCGCTCGACGTCGTAGCCGCCGAACGCGGAATGGGCGCGCTGCGGCGACGAGGCCGACCGAAGCACGCGCTGCCGCACCGCCGTGTGAAGCAGGCGAACCCGCGTCGCGCTCTGCCATCCCTCGCCGCCCGACTCGGGTCCGTTGCTGGGCAATCGCATGCTGCCTTGAGCCTCCATGACGTCGAGCACAAACTGGGTCGTCTCGAGCAGGCGAGACCAGGTGCGGTCCGCGCGCGCCTTGTCCATCTTGGGCAGGCCGTCGGTGCCAGCCTCGCCCTTTCTCGCCCCGTCGTCCTTGTCGTCAAGGCCCTGCTCCTCGTCCTCCTTCTGCCGCCTCTTGCGCGTTCCGGGGACCAGGTACGCCGTCTGGCGCAGCACCTCGGTGATGCGGGGCGATGCGAAACCGCCTGCCAGGCTAAAGTGCAGCAGCGAGAGGAGCATCGGGCCGGCGTACTTGTAGAAGACGTCTTGCCCTCGACGGAGCACCGCAGCCTCGGCCTCGAGCTCCTCGTCGAGCTCAGACTGGGACGGCGCCTCTTCTGATGACGAAGAATAAGACTCTGGCTGCCAGGGCTGAGGAGGAGGCTCTTCGATGTCCGACGACGACGGGTGCTGCGGCCACCTTGCATGAAGGTCGACCGCTTGACCGACGACACCCTTTCGACGGGAGCGCTCGGCGTACCATTCGAGGCCGAGGGCTCCGGCCCCGGGCGGCGGACGTCCGCGCGCTGCCTTCCAGAATGTCGAGCAGGCGGGGTTTTTGTCGTTGCCGTTGTTACCCTCGTCGCCGCCGACGTGGGCGAGGCGATAGATCTGGCCAAGGACGTCGGTATCATCGGGGTCTTTCTGGCTCTTGGAGGCCTGCTCCAGAGCCGTGTCGGCAAGGCGATCACCGACCTGCCGCAACGTCTGCAGCTTGGACGGGTGAATGCACCGTGCGTCCCACTCTGCGATCCTGTCCCAGCTCTCGATCAGATCGCCGTGGCGGGGCGAGCCGGGCTTGGTCCAGTCGATGTCGCGCTCATGGTGGATCCCACGCCTGCGCAGGTGGTCAAAGCTATCAAAGCCGCGGCTGCGTGCCTCGCTGGATAGGATTGACCTGGCTCGCCACGCTGAGAGAAACGAGCTGGTGGCAGGCAGCGGGTGCGAGTGCGACGAGACGAGGAATGCCTGCGGGTCGTTGCGCAGCGGGCGGTGGAATAGGAAGACGTAGACGCTGGACAGGCCTGAAAGGATGCGCTGCCTTGTACCCTTGACGAGACCCAAGAGGGCAACGACAAAGAGCCCCAGCAGCGGCATCGTCGAGGGAGACTGGACTGCCGCCGACCGCAGCGACGAGATCCAGCCCTCGTCCATGGCTCGAGGATTGTGGCAGCTCTGGCGCTAGGCGACGACTCTGTGGTAGTGGCGATGCCGTCGATCGTTGCGGTGATATCCAGGCCTAAGAGTCCGGCGGTAGCGGTGGTGGTTGTGGTGGTGATATTGGTGGCAGCGACATGGTCTCTGTGTGAGGGACCGCATCGCCAGCAGGCAAAGGTGTTGGAGGCCAACAAAGGTCTTTGGTCAGCCTAATCACCAAAGGAGCGCCGAGGGTCGAACGCTTGCCAAAGCCCAGCACCACCTCCACTTACCCGATCTTGGCATCATCGGCAAGGGGATGTGGTATCGGGCCTGCCGCCCGTCAACGGCCCCGACATCACCCACTTCGTCACCCCGTCAACGACCATCAGAGAGCCGCGGCTGCTGACCGCCGCCGGGTTGGCTAGCCTGCGATGCAGGGGCCTGGGGTAGCAGCGGCACCCAACATCAAACAGACTAAGGCTCTTAGACTTGTCAGACCTCGATGCCGTCGACAGCCATTCCAACCGGACGCGATGGCGGTAGCGAGCAGGCCCAGCCGCAAGCGACCAGGTTGCGCGCGGTGCAGGCGGTGTTGGTCTGCTGCAAGTCTCCGGCCTGTCGCAAATGCCGATCTCGAACCGGCTCCTCCCCTGCAAGTACTCACTTTCAAGGCGGTCTCAAGTCCCGGAGCACAGATCGGATAAGAGCAGTACGGTGTTCGTCGCTGCGAGCGCGAGTCGAGAAGGGGCAAAGACGGCCATCCGAGAATAGGTCTGGGTGCCTCTCTTGCTCGCAGCTGGCTGCTGTCCACTCGTCAAAGGCACAAGCAGTCCCCCCTGTGCGGTCACGGATGAGAATGTCGCCACCGAGGACCAACAGTCAAAGGACCAAGGATCAGGTCCAAGCTTGGGCAAGCAAAGGTGGTCGCGCGTGGGCTCTCGCCGAAGCGCGGCTGAAGAAGAGTCGATGCCGCCTCGGCCTATCGCCTGGCAACGTCTCGCACAGCAGTGCCATGAGCATGCCATGCAGCATACATGTACATGTACGAACAAAGATCGCGCGGTGTTGTTGGATGTCAGAAAGCAACACTAAGACTCATTTGTGCGCGTCTCGGTCTCGCTCAATTTACGGATCTCAAAGTGTTGCTTGGCACGCCGTCGCGGACATTGGAGTCGCCTGGGTTGTGAAAGTAGGTATGGACGTGGGCCAAGATCCCCATGGGCCATCTCGTCTGGCCAGAGAGGTGTTTGTTTGTACCGCTCGCTCGGGTTGTTCCCAGTCTGCTGCGGATCGGTTGGAGCAAGAAGGCAGCAGGCTACAGTAGCCAACTGCACTCTTCCTCGCGGTCCCGCCAGCGCTAGGGGCAGCCGGCATTCCTCGCGCATGCAACAGGGCGAGACCGTGCGGGAGCCGCCTTCACATGGGACCAGACTGGCCCCCAGCGCAAGGATGGCGGAGGTAGGGAGGGTCGGTCGGGTGGCGCGACATCACCAGTCAGGCGCTCCTCGCTCGCCTTCCTGCAGTGCCGCGTCTCATTTCGGTTCCTCGGTGCGCCGCTCTACCTGACAACGGGCAAAGAGCCAAGATCCAGTGCGCCTGCAATCATTCTTATTCTTGATCGGATCTGCCCAGCGTCGGTGGTCCAAGACTTTCTGTCGTCGCAGGAGGTGCGTAGAGGGTATCCCGCGGTTCACCGCACCCGGCGCCACGCGATTGCACCGCATGCATGCCAACGCAGCGCGCCTTCTCATTCGAACATCTTGTGCGTCTGCAAGCAGGCTATGGAACGGGTCAGAGGGAAGGGGGAGAGTGTCGAGTCTAGGTGTGACCTTCCAAGGTCAGATCCGCGACCACACGACCGAGGATAGCTACATAGACACAAGATGATGGTGTGTTCGGACATGGGCCGGGGCAAACGACGAAGCGAGGTTGCCATCACTCCCGTCGCCCTTCCGGTAGCGTTGGCGCCGGCGATGAGCACCTGCTGGGCTCGGCGTGATCGTACCGTATCGCTCTCTGATCCTTCGACTGCAGCGCGACCACGTTGTGGGCGGATCGTGTTGTTGCTGCCTGGATAAACGATCCAGGGACGCTCTCGGCCACACGCCGGGACCGTCGGAGTTGCAAACGGCCGAGGCATGGATGCAAGCTAGCTATGTAAGGCGAGGCCGTCTTTGTCGGCGTGTGCGGTGTCTGAGGGCGGCTCGCGTCAGGATGCGGGCCTAACTTAGATGATTATTGGCGGCGCCTCGGTCCTGTCTGTGCGCTTTGTGAGATGGAGCGCACCGAAAGCGAGAGAGAGGGCAAAAGGGGGCATCAACGTTGGTTTCCCTCCTCCCCAATCCCCCTCCCGCTCATCGATATTTGATCGCCGTGGCTCGCAACCTGTCCTCCGCCATCGCCACGGTCGTCACTCTCGTGCCGTCGTCGGTAGGCTGTCGCGGGGATCCGAGGACCTGTATCCATCGAGCGACATTATTCGGAGGCCGCAGCTAGGACGCGGTGGGTGGTCATCGTACCGTAGCGGGCTGCACTTGACGAGTAGAGCTGCCGTGCATTCGGGAGGTCCGTCAGATGTGCGGACGGCACCTTGTCCACGATTCTTCTTGGTTGCGACGGATATGGCGGTCGTCAGCTCAGACATTCGCGCATGACGATGGCGCAACAACAATGAACAATGCTCGTCGCATCCACCGAGCTCGTGTCTCGCTGCCCGGACCTCTCTTGAAGCCCAAGATGGGAAGGAGGCGGCACGGTTCGGTGTCCGCATCGCATGTCACCCGCGCATCGAGGTTTTGGGCCGGATGACACGAACCCTACCTGCTCATCATGAGCTGGCCGACACGCACGTCGGGATCAAGCGGGCGGACCTTGCTTGTGATCATGGACGGTCGTGCTGCCGCCTTCTTGGCGTCGAGGTAGGTACTGTGAGTGTATGTAGGTGGTTTCTTTACCTGCCCTGTCTACCGTATCCGGCCTCCTGGGCCAGGAGGTCTGCATGAAAGCCGGCCAGGGCGGGGCGGGGCGGGTGAGCAGAAACGACAAAGGCGCAGCGGTCCCGGTACCGGTTCGTAGGTATCGGCCAGACTTGGCTGCTCTTGCCGCTTGAGTCGAGGCCAGATGGAGAGATGGTCAAGCAAGGTTTCAGCACCCGCCATCCCCGCCCGCCCGTTGCCCCTGCGTTCTTGCTGCTGTACATACAGAGAGGCAGGGCCGTGGTGGCCAACTTCCGCCCTCGCCTGCTGGTCGCGCCTCGCATCACATCGCATCGCATCGCGCCACGCCGCGCCGCAAAGCATCGCGCCGCAAAGCATCGCGCCGCACCCGTCCCCGTCGCATGATGTGCGTCTTCGACCGGCCTGCAGTAGTGGGCGAGCCGCAGGGGCGGTTTCGGTCACAGCAGCCCGGGGCCCGCTCGTCTCTGCCAGCCTCGCAGCGCGGCCAACTGTGTGTTGCTGCTGCAGAGCACTCAAGAGGGGCAGAGGAACGGCGAAGATGGGCATGAGTCTAGAGCGTCCAGCGAGCTCGGAAAGGAAAAGGCTGACCGAGGAACTCGAAAAAAGACCGGGGGGGAGGGGGCGCTGCTGGACATTGGCACGAGGGGCCGGTGCGTACCTCTGCCTTGGGTTTCGCTGGCCCCGAGAAAGCGGAACGAGGTGCCAGAGGGAACAGGAACCTGGCGCCAGATCAGGCGGGCGGGCTGCCTGCCTGCCTGCCTGCTGTTGCTGGACGGTACCGTGGATCGGCAGCTCAGACAAAAGGCGACGGACGCGCCTCTTTGCAGCCTTGGCTAGCCTGCTAGTCGTCATCTATCCAACCGACAGCTGGGCCCAGATCGGCGGTCGGTGTCGAGGCCGACGGGGGACCATGTGCGTGCGGCGCGCCCTGCCTTTGTTTGCTGAACCGCACCGTCGTGAAACTCTACGTACCGAGAGCTGCAGCAGCAGCAGAGTCAGATAGAAGGGGGTTTCAACTCAGCTTCGATTTTTCAAAATAATCGATTATGCGCCACTAGCTAGCGGAATTTTCAAGTGGGTTCGGATAATCGGAAAGTGGAGGACCGCTAGTCGTAGAAGCGAAATTTCGGCTGCGGAGATGGATCCAACTTTCGATTATTTTACAAGCGTGTCCGAACACGCTTGTTGAGCTTTGCCAGCTGAAATCCGATACTCCGAAACCCGACTTTCAGACTGCGTGAAACCCAGCACCACCAGCAGCGGCAGCGGCAGCACCGGCACCAGCACCAGCACCAGCACCAGCACCAGCACCAGCAGCCCCAGCAGCACCAGCAAAAGCCACAAACGGACCGATTCAGGAGAGACACCCCGCCGTCGCTCTCTACCGGTACCAGTGTGCCACCAGCCGTCGGCCCGATGTCCCATCCGATATCGATACGATGTGCGAACAAAAACGAACAGATGGTGGTAGACGATCGGTGCTCTGTCGCACCAGCGGCAGCAGTAGCGGCGGTCTCGGCCCTCGCGTACAAGCGCGAACTCTATTTCGTCGTTGTCGTGCGTCTGATTGCTTGCTTGCTTGCTTGTTTCTTGCTGGCTGCTGGCTGCTGGCTGCTGGCTGCCGGCCTGTCTGCGACGTGGTCGCTCGAGCAGCAGGCGAGCGTCATGCAGGTGGCTGCCGTCCCAGCAAAGCGGTTCTTGCGGAGAGGCGGGGCCGGTTCCTCTCTTGGTGCACGCACGTCCGCGAATGAGCGGCTGCTGGCACATCGGCAGCGGAGAGAAGAGAGAGTACTGTACGTGTGTGGCAGGCGAGCGCCAGGCTAGGGACCAGAGTCTTCCTCTCTTCCTCTCTCTCTCTGATCTTCTCGGTGCGGTGCGGCTGCCACCCCGGCCGAGGACCCTACCCTGGTCAGCCCTGGTCGCTCCATGACTGTACAACCATGGTTCTCGCCGCATCCATATGGTTTCCACGACGCCCGCCTCTTCATCGCCCGCCGCACCGAGCCTAACCTTGAGCAAGCAAGCAGTGGGGCGGCAGCAGCCTGGTGGCCTGCCTGCCTGCCTGCGTCGTGGTGCTCAGCGCTTCCTGCTTCTGCTGCTGTTGTCGTCGTCCGAGCTTTTGCCCCTCTCTCCCTCCTCCTCCCTTCCGACCCCCATCGACAGTTCGTTGCCCTTCGCTCTCGTGCGCCCTCGCACCCGCTCTCCCCCCCCTCGCCTCTTCTAGCTTTCCTGGGCGCTCGTTGCTGCCCGGCCTGGCCGCGCGCCCTGCCTCTCCCCTACTTCTGGGACGCTGCCGACACCCGCCGCACCCAGGCCTCGACCGTCCGCCGTGTCGGCTGTCGCCCTCTGCGCTCGGCCAAGGCGCTGTTTTGCCGACTCACTTCTGCTGTCTACGCCAGAGGTTGGAGCTAGACGCGCAGAGGCCAGCAGCACGGCAGGCACGCCCTTGTTGCGCCATCGATAGCAGCAGCCACAGCCATCGGCCATCGGCTGGTTCCGTTGCCTTGGCCAACAAGGTGTACGCCGCTCCTCGGTGCCACGTCCAACGACGGCTGATCCGCTGCTGGTCGGTAGCCGCTCTGTGAGCCATCGGGGAGCAGACCGGCTGGTGCTCCTCGTCCCGGCGAGAGCCCGCCCTTCTCGCGCTGGTTTGAGGTGCGCCTTTGCGGCGGTGGCGAACAGTCTGGACGATCGCACGAGAGCCCTGCCCTGCCCGCCTGCCCCGCTGCAGCTGCAACGACGATTGCCCGAGGGAGCGGCGTGTGGCTGCTGCTGCTGTTGCTGCTGCCGTTGCTGCTAGCTCTTCGTCACCTGCTTCCTTGCTCTGCGCTGCCCCCACTCTCCTCCTCACTTCGCCCGCTTTCGTCGTCGCCGCCGCCGCCGCCGCCGCCGATCTGCCTTTCATTCATCCCATTCGCCGACAGCTCCCATTCAGCCAGCGCGTGGTCCTTGCAGCCCGTCGCTCGTTTCCAGGCCAGGGCCGCCTGCCCCACCACATCGTTCGTCAGGCCAGCCGCGCAACTGCTGGCGCCTGGCTTGCTGCTTGCTGCTTGCTTCTCCCTGCTGGCGCGTCGTGCCATCCGTCGTCGGCTGCTTCGGTCGCTCTTGACCGCAGGGGGAGGCTTGCTTCGAAGAGACTGATAGGGTGTGGCTGGACCCCTTCGCCGCCAACGCATGAGCTGGGGCCGGGGTCGCCACGGCTTGAAGAAGGACAAGCTAAACAGCTCAGGCGGGTCTCCAAGAAGCAGTACTTAGCCACCGGTACCAGCAACCTGGACTGCACCTGCTGCACCTACTACTCTCTCTCGCCGCCGCCATCGACCGGCGGACCCAACGGACCGGCACGCTGACAGCGCTGCGCTGCAACCATTGGCAAGCTAGCCTCGTTGCAACCGCCTCGCCCGAAACAGCGGAACACCCACGCAGCTGGGCAGACCGCGGCGACTACTACGAGCGAGCGAGCAAGCTATCGACAGCTGCAGCACCCGCAACCTCGTCTGCCCACTCTGTGACTGCCTGCCGCTGGATTCCTGGCTGCATCCACCTCTCTGCACCACCGCACCCGGGTCAGGCTTCGCGGGTCCGCGCAATGCGCCGCAACCCTCTTCGTCCGTCTGCTACACTCGTCCCTCTTCTTCTCCTGCTCCGCCTCGACTCGATCTCTGTAACAACACCATCATCACAGACGGCAACGACCGACCGATAGATCGACCCACGACCACCGCCGCTGCTGCCCCTTGTGGTGGCTGCCCAACACGCGACCCTCAGCCTCCCTTACCGCGACCCGCTAGTACCACGCGGCCCCCGTCTGCTCCCTCCCTCCTAGGTGCCTGCCTGCCTGCTTAGTCGCCTGCCCGTCTCTCTGACCTGCGGTTGGTCGAGCAGAAAGAGTAGAAGATCTCATCCGGAGCAGCTCGATCCCACTGGCCACCGCCATCATCGCATCCGCCAACATCTGCCGCGTTCCCCTCTCCTGGAAATCCCTCTCATCCGAAGCGGATTACCTCGAAGCACCCCCTTCTCAACGCCGCTTCTTCCACTTCATCCTCTCGGACCGGCTCCAACATCATCGTCCATCGCCCCGTTACATTGGCCTGATTCGCATTTCATCCCAGCTATCGCCATCGCCATTGGTCATCCTTGCCTGCCGATCGGCATCGACTTGCTCCACGCCTTTCCACTTTGCGCCCCGCCAATCTTTTGCCAGAACGACGCGTGGAGAGACGAAGCGACAGCATAGCCGCCTGGCAATCCAGCCTGTTGGCGGAGGCTTCTTCAACACGATCCTGTCTTGCCGTCTCAGGCTCGGACTCTGCTTCTCGTCCTTTTCGCGCCGCCGCCGCCGACGTCAGCGCACACCACGGAAATGGATCTGCGGCGGTCGCCCTCGGACCGCCCGGGACCTGGCCAGCTCACCGCGCCCGCCTTCTCGGTAGCAGCTCGCCTGCCGCAGGAGCTCGTTGAGTACATCCTCCATCTGTCCGCCGTCTCTACGCGGCCCGACAGCCGCCAAGAGCCGTCGCCGTGGCGTGCCACCTCGCATCCGCCGCTCTCCTCGTCCCAGCTAGCCCGCCTATGCCTGCTCTCGCATGCCTACCATGAGACGTTCGCGCGCGCCCTCTACCGCTCGGTCGTGCTGCGAGACGGTCGAGCCGTGGCCGCGTTCGCCATCACGCTCTCGAGCAGCCCGCGATACGGTCGCTGCGTCCGTCACCTCGCCATCATCCCCCACCACAGTGACGCTGCAATGACTGTTCATGGGGGCAGCGGCGCCGGCAGGGATCCTGAAGACTACGGGGCAGGTGCATTCAGTGGTGTCCGGACAGGCGTGCGCGCCGATGCGATCCTGCCCCTGTGTCCCAATGCCACCCACCTCTTGCTGTCGCGCTCGATGTTCGACGACTGGTCGCCGGGACTATACTCGACGGCATCGGCGCGCGAGGTCAGCCTGATCGGCGTCGGCCGTGCCTCGGACCTCGACGGCCTCGTCAGCCGGCACCGCCAAACGATGACCGCCGCGCTCCAGAACAATCCGACGATCCAGGCGCTACTCAACAACAGCAGCATGGCGAGGCCCACGGCCGGCGAGAGCAGCGGCGGCTCGGCTTCGGACGGTCTGTCGCCCGCTCAAGCTGACACGTCGTCGTCCAGCAGCGGGTCTGGATCGTCGGACTCGCGAGGACGACCGTCGCGTCCTTCGGCGACGCTGTCGCTGACGCACTTGCACTTGGCCAACTTTGACGGGCGCCTCGTCCACCATCTCGCGCAGCTCACCTCGCTCACCCACATCGTCTTGAGCTATCCTCGCTCGCCGCCTGTACAAGATGCCGCAGCAGACGGGCCGATCCTTCCGCGCTCGCACCTACTGCTGCTGCTCGGTAGCGGCCGCATCCGCCGGATCGTCATTCGGGCCAGCCCATCGACCTGCCACCGGATTCTCGAGGAAATTGCGCCCATCCGCGACGACAAGCTCGTCATTCGGCCAGTGAGGCTGCCTGCTGGTGAGGAGGTGGGCCAGCGGCGGCAATACCGCGGCAACGCGGATACACGCGCCGCCGCCACCAACGTCTCCTCGAGCCACGTGTCCAGCGGCTCGTCATCCTCGGCCGGCGGCTCTTCCGAACCCCGCCGCGGTGTGGGCGAGGTCGACCTGTTGGCCGAGTGGTGGGAACGCATCCACCTCGACGCGCTGCAGCACCACCGCGGGGATCGGCCCACCGCGTGGGCCAGCTCGAGCTCGTCACGCGGCCGCGGCGACTCGCTCAGCTCGTCCGAGATGGACGCCGACAGCAGCTGGTCGTCTGCCGAGCGCGAGCCAGGCTCCAACGGCGACGCAGGCTTCCATTCGGGCTCTGGATCCTCGGGCAGGAGCGGCGATGCGCGGACCCAGTCCGGTTCCGCGGCGTCGGGATCCGGCTCCGGATCTGGCTCATACGACTCGGACGTCTATTCGGACGACGACGACGGTGGCGGCGGCACCGACGCTGACGCCGATGGCAGTGCCGGGTACGACGCCCACGGCGCCTTCCGCGCATGGCCGCCCGGTCCGACGCATAGCGGGTTGCCGCCTCGCTTATCGCCAAGAATTGAAGCGGGGCTCGCTGCGGCCGCTGCAACAGCGGGGCAAGCGATGCCGGCGCAGGCCGCGCCACCGCCGCGCATCCCAATCGAGATGCTATTGGCCTACGAGGACCTAGAGCAGGCACGACAGCGGCGCAATGCCGGGTTGCTAGTACCGAGCGTGCGCCGCCGCTCGGCTTCGCGCTCCGACGACGGCCGCCGGCGTATCCGGCCGGGCGCATTTGCGGCGCGAAGGTCAGACGTCCGCGGCGCCACCGATGCCGGTCTCGAGAGGATTGCGAGCCTGCTGGCGCTCGAGGTTGACTCCCAGGAGCGGCATCACGGTGATCAGGACGCAGCAGCGGCGTCGTCGTCCGAGCAATAGACCGATGCTCGCCGAGCGGTCACGTGGCCGCTCCAGTGGTCAACCGATCTGATGACCATTGAAGAGCGTCCCGAGGAGCCCGGCCCTTGGCTCCGACCCCATCAGAGCCAACCAAGCAAGCATGCACCCGAATGCGGCCTGCTCTCCATCTCGCCCGCTGGACAGGCCGGCTAGACCGGTACATCAGCATTGCTGCATCGGCCACTTCCTCTCGCTTTCCTTTGATCCTAAGACCTGCACTCCTTGCCATGGCCTAACAGTGGCCGCCGAGACGCGCCAGGACCTACCGTCGCCACCTCGCTGCGGCGGCATACATTTGTAGACGCGATAATAGCTCCCTTGTCCCTCCCCGTCCCGTTCCGTTTTCCCCTCCCTCATAGAGGCCTTCGTTCCACCGTTGGGGCAAAGACTCTCCTGCATACGTTAATCAATCGAAAGAGCGGGCCGGCCCGGGTGCGGGGTTGGCCTCGCAGAATATGTTGCTGCATTCGTCGATGCCAGGGGCGGGGGCCGAGTCGGGCTGGCAGGGAAGGGTGGGATCAGAGAAGGGTATCGTCCAGAGGGACACACTGTCGATGCGAGGATGGCGGGGAGGGAGCGGCGAGGATCGTTAGTCGAGCGTGTCCCGATCATGATAAGGATTGGGAATAGAGGGGAAAAAAACGTACCAGGACCTCGACGAAGGCATACTCGTTTTCCCTCTCCCCTTGATGCTGATGTCGTCCTCTCGATGCCAGCGGTAGTGCAGGTGGCGGGGCAGGTGTGACTGACGACCTTCCCGTCCCCGTGCCGCCGCCACCGGTGGCGGTGTTCGGAAGGGGCTGGAGGAGAATCATGAACTGGAAGCTGCAGAGACCTTCCTGGTCGATTCGAAGGCTGGTCTTGACCGAGCTCTTGAGACAGCCCATGACTTTGCCCACGAGGTTAAAGGCGTACCACCACAACCGACTTGACGAAGTGCACAGAAACTTTTCCATCACAGTCGTCGTCGTTGTTGTCATTGATGACAAGGACGAGCCTCCGGCGCCGGGTGCGTTCGAGAACGAGGTGGTGGTGGTGGCACTTGATGATGTTGATGGCGTGTAGGGGAACTCCATCTCGCTCTCGCCCGTATCACCTACAGCACGCAAGTGCAGCTTACCCGCTCCCGGGGCCGTCGTCGATCGCACCGATGTCGTTGCCGATGCCTGCTGCTGCTGCTGCTGCTGCGACGCCGATGGTGGCGGCTGAACAAAGATGCCGAGTCTGCTGCAGCTATGTTCGAGCTCCCCGAAGGCCGTATGGAGGACGTGGGATGGAAGGATGACCTGTCCGGTGAGGTATTGAGGGTCAAACGAGAGGTCGGTGAGGAAGGTGGCGTCGTAAGTCGCAATCTCGCAGCGCGTCTTGACCGTCGCCGCCGCCGCCGTCGACGCCTTGCTGGGATCTTGCCATAGCTCGAGAGCCAGCGGGTGTCCAGTGCCCTCGTAGCTCAGCTTCATTGACGTCGTCGCTGCCGCCCCGCCCTGCGCTGCCGCCGAGGGGCCTTGCGGCGTGTCGTAGCCGTCATCCTCGGCGCGATCGCGGTCGCGGTGACGTCGAAACGAAGAGGAAACACCGCCGCCGCTGCCGCCGGTTCCAAAGTTGGTGGCAGCTCGTAGGCTGGAGCCGGTGCTGCCTCCACTGCCTCCCGGATGCGGGCGGGAGGGATGGGCGCCGCCAAAAATGTCGAGGCAGGAGAGCCATGTCTGGAGGTTGACTTCGAACGAGACCGAGGGCGGTTCGTCGTCGTCGTCGTCTTCGTCGTTGTCTTGATCGTCGTTGCGAGCGTTGCGAGCGTTGCGAGCGTTGCCATGGCCGTTGCCGGCTCCTCTTGCTGTCAGGCCTGTGCGAAGTTGCAGCTCGTCGACCTCGTGCGACGACGCTGGCGAGGAAGGTGACGGCGACGAAGAGCTCTGCGATGACGGGGCGAGGTCGGATCGACGTTTTGGGCGCTTTGGGGACCGGTTGGCGTCATCTGAATGTCGGTGGCGCGGCCGCTTTGGGGGCGGGATAAAATGGTACTGGTCAAAGATGTCGGCGTAGAGGTAGGCATGGGCTGTCGAAGGGGGGTTTCAAGAGCAAGAGAGGCGCATGGATCTGTCAGTGCGGTGTGGGGAGAGAAATGGCTGCTCGGGCAGCGAGCAAGAGGGGAGGCGCGCCTGAGCTCACCCTGTATTGTGCGGTTGAGCTCGGTGACGACTTCGAGGCCATCTTCGGAAGCGGTGACGATGGCGTGCTTGATTGGCGAGGACAAATAGACGGATTCAAGGCGTGGGTCGGCGCGGGGGAAAGAAGGCGAAAGAGGTGTGCGTGGGCACTGGCTGCAGCTATGTAACTCACTGGACAGAGGGCGACGGAGCGCAGCAGGGTGGCAAGGGTGCTAACATCGGCCAGCTGAGCCGTGAAGAGCTGGCAGGGTTACAGGCGGGGCGAGGGTGGATCAGCGGTTGCGAGGTTCTCGAAGTGCTCGCCATTGGGGTTGTGTGCCAGTCAACCCACTGGCTCTGGGTGCTGGTGCTGCGCTGCAGAAGGCATGGCTAGCGGAGGTTGTAGGTTGGTGGTGGGCGTTGAAGAAGCAAAGGGCGGTGAGTGCCCAAAAGACTGTGAGGAAGCCGAGGTGCGGTTGCGGCGGCGCTTGGCCCGACGTCGTTTTCCCCGCTGCCCAACCAGACCAGACCAGACCAGACCAGACCAACACCGACCGTACCTTTGAGTGAACTACCGCGCCACCCGCCAGCAGCTGCAGCCAGCCCGGCAGGCCTCCACCTCAACCCCTCCCTGCCAGGCCTCACCCACTCAACTTTCCAACGCGCTCTCCGAATTCCGACATGCCCTCCGTGCCTTTCCAGCCGCTTCCTCGCGCCTGGGGTCCAGGGCCTTTCGTTGGCCTCGCTCCTTCTTCCACGACCACCACCACCACCACCACCATCCCTCATCCGCACATTCAGTCTTGCCCCCGTCACCTCCTCGCACACCAACGCCGTCACCGTCACCGCCGCCCGCCGCTCGCTCGCCACCATGGCCAAGTCCAAGCCGGCCGACCCGGTACAGGCAGCACGCAAGGCGGCACAGGCAAAGCAGGCCAAGCGCAACCGCGACGAGCGCGCAAAGGTCCGCGAGGCCGTCGTGCTCCGCAAGGATCTTGCCCCGCTCAGAAACGACATACGTGCCCTCGAACGCAAGCAAAACCGCACTCCCCAGGACCAGGCCGACCTCGAAGCACTGCGAGCAGAGGTCGACCGCATCGACGCCATCAAGAGAGACTACGTCGCAAAGCACCCCGAACAGCGCAAGCTCGTCGTCGGCTACGAAAAGGACCAAGAGGAGCTCAGGATCGAACAAGGGCAAAAGCGGGCAGCGGCGGCAGCAGCGGCAGGTCCGGGGATGGGCATGGGCAAGGGCGGCGTCAGTGGGCGGGACCCCAGATGGAGCATCTACTACGACCCAACCTTCAACCCGTACGGCGCACCCCCGCCTGGTATGCCCTACGCCGAAAAACCCTACCAGCAGCTGCTCGAAGAAGGTCTGATCGAAGCCGGGCCCTCGACGGTGGCCGCAGAAACCCCGACTGCACCGATCCCACTCGACCCACCGCCTGGCCAGGGCGGCGGCAGCAGCGACCCCAACGACAACGAAAGCGATGACGATAGCGACGACAATAGCGTCGACGACATCGTGCTTCCCGAAGGTCCCCCACCTCTTCCGCCGGGTCCACCGCCATACCACCTCGCTCAGCAGGATCGAGCAGAGGACAGCGACGACGACGACGAAGATGATGATGAAGGCATCGTCATGCCATCTGGTCCCCCGCCGCTGCTGCCTGGACCACCTCCACTTTCTTCCTCTTCAATCCCGACTGGACCTCTGAGCGGCAATCGTCCAGGTAAGCCCGGCTTCTCTGAACGGCGCCGTGCCGCCGCATTCCAACCTGACCGCGCTGACGAGCTCGCCTCGCATTCCTCCCCTCTTCTGCCACATTGCCTTCGTCTCCGAACCACGACAGCTCGGCCGCCATTGCTGCCGCCGCCCGTTCCGATGCCGCGGTACGCGCAGCCTCCGCCGCCACTCGGAGCGCCACCACCCCTTCCGCCATCCCACGGCTTCGCACCACCCTATCCGCCCAATCGTCCACCCCCTCCAGGCGGCTACAGCGGCCCGCCGCCCCCCTTTCCTCCCCCTCCACAGCAAGGCGGAGCACGACCGTCTCTCCATCCTCCTCCTCCTCCTCCTCCTCCTCCTCCTCCTCCTCCTCCTCCTCCTCCTCCTCCTCAACGAGGTGGGTATCGAGGGGGTTACCGTGGCGGTCCATCCTACGGTGCGCCGCCGCCACAGCCGCAGCACCACCGGCCACCTCCGCCTCGGCCCAGCGCACCGCCCGTCCCTCCGCCGTCAGTCATTTCAGCCGCACCGCAACTGCGAGACCTGAAAAAGGAAGCGACCGCCTTTGTACCCTCGTCGATCCGAAAAAGGAAGCAGCAGGAGGCAGAGAGGAGGAAGGCTGGCCTGCCCGCCCGTATCGACGCCGCGCCTCTTGCGTCGTCAAGATCGGCGGAGGGGCAAGGCGACGACGATGCTGACAACAGCACCATCGACGACGATGGAAAGAAACCCGATTTGATGAGCGCACTCTTCCACAAGCCCCTTTCGCACCCAGGAGCTGCCAACGAGGCCAGAGCGCACGAGGGTAGCAGCGAGTACCAAGGCTTCCTCAGCCAGATCGGCGACCTGCTGTAGCTTGCGCCGTGCGAAATCACTCACCGTCTAGTCGTCAGTTGCTTGTGCAGTCAGGCCGTGCGACGAAGATGTGTGGACAGATGCTGCGCGTGATTGGCAAGCATGGATTGCGCGCAGTCGAGCAGCTTTGTTGCAGTGATTCGTACAGAGACCTGGGACGAGGCGGACGATGGCTGCCGCAGAGTGCGAAACGATGCTGACGCGTGCGACCTGCCAGTCGTCTTGGAGAGATGGGCGCGCGCGTGTGCGCGTGCGCCGAATGTCAAAGGAGGCGCCAGAGATGGACGCGGTGGCCTTTTTTGACGCGCAAAGATATGCGGGCTGCAACAACAACGGAAGGACGAGAGAATTGACAAACGAACGGACGGGCGGACAGATTGGTGTCGAGTCGAGTCACGCCAAGCCGGGTCGGGCTGGCCAGCCCAGCCCAGCATCAAGAGGCTTGAACAAGCGGCGGATGAGAGTGCGCATTTTCCGCGCGCCCTTTTTTTTCGGTTTTTTGCTTTCCGGTGGGGGTGCTCGTGACGGATCGAGATGCAGCGACGGGCGGTCAGTGCACGCCGGCGTGCTATCGTTCAGAGCGTAAAGAGGAAGCGGAGATCGGCGACGCTGAGGCGGCCCATGGCTGACTCGTCCTTGCCGATGGCGGCCTCGATCATGGCGCTCTTCTTGTTCTGCAGCTCAATGATGCGGCTCTCGATGCTGTTTTCGATGATCATGCGCTTGACGATGATGGGTCGATGCTGGCCCAGTCGGTGGATGCGGTCCATGGCCTGCACCTCGACCGAGGGATTCCACCACGGGTCCATGAGGTAGACGCGCGACGCCTCGGTTAGGTTGAGGGCCACACCGCCGGCCTTGAGGCTGACGAGAAAGACGGTGACGTTGGGGTTCTCCATGAAGTGCTTGATCGTCTTGTTGCGCGCCTCGGGCGACATGTTGCCCTCGAGCCGGCAGATCTGGAAGCCGGCGCGCTGGAGGCGGAAGGCGATCAGGTCGAGGAAGTTGACAAACTGGGAAAAGACGAGCGACTTGATCGTCTTGTCCTCGGCGCGCAGCTGCGTCAGCTCCTCGACGAGCGCCTCGATCTTGGTGCTGGAGCGCCACTGGTCCATGTCGAGGCGCGACAGGATGCCCTGTCGGCCGCTGCGGCCGCCGTCCGAGGCATTGTTGAGCGGCTGCGGCGGCTCGAGAGCCTCCCCCTCGAGGTCGATCGAGAGCGTGGCGTGGCAGTAGGGGCAGTCGGGCGCGCCCGCGTCGGGCGGAAGGTCGGTCTCGAGGTACTGGCGCACGCACTCGCGGCAGAAGACGTGGCGGCAGCGCGACATGATGGCGTCCTCGGCCACGTCGGCGCAGATCTTGCACACGTGGTGCTCGTCCTGCTGTTCGCCCAACAGACGGTTCGAGACGCCCGACTGCGAGCGGAGCACCAGGTCAGGGTGGTTGGCGATCTGGCGCATCCGCGTCAGGAGCGTAAAGATGTTGCTGTAGTTGTTGAGCACGGTGCCCTGGTCGAGGTAGGTCGAGAACTTGCGCGTTGTGTCCGAGTAGAGGGACGTGTACAGGTCCTCCTCCTCCTCATTGAACAGGTCGCGGCGCACCTCGATGGTGCGGGGCGGCAGGCCCATGTCGTCGGCGCGCTCGAGCTTGGTGCGACGCAGCATCATGCGCTCGAGCAGCAGGCGGAGGCGGCCGAAAGCGTCCTTGCCCTCGCCCTGCTCAGCGCCGTTCTTCTGGATGGGCTTGAGGATCTCGTTGTTCCAGAAACACGTGTGGTGCATGGGCGTGTGACCGCAGCTGTCGCAGTTGCGGCGGTCGCTGAACTGCCAGTGGAGCGACTTGCACGGGCACTTTTTGCAGAAGTAGAAGGCGTACGGGTCGCCGCCGAGGAAGCGGATCATTGAGTAGAGCTCCCCCACGCGGTTCTGCAGCGGCGTGCCGCTGAGGCACCAGCGGAAGTCGCCCTTGAGCGCGAAGGCGCCCTTGGCCGTGTTGGTGGCGCGCTCTTTGATGTTGTGCGCCTCGTCGAGGATGATGCGGCGCCAGTGGATGGCATGAAGCACTGAATCCTCCTTGACACGCATCTTTTTGCGCTGGAAACCCGTCTCTTGCTTGCGGTAGCAGCTCTCGAGCACCGCATAGCTCGTCAGCACCACGTCGGCGCGTCGCAGCCGGTCGGCGTCCTGGGTGCGGTTGGCGCCGTGCCACAGCTCCACTTTGAGCCGCGGCTCGGTGTACTGCTCGATCTCGTTGCGCCACTGCATGATAGCCACCGTCGGCGCCAGCACCAGGCACGGCTTCTGGCGGTCGCTCAGCATCAGGCTAATCATCTGGATCGTCTTGCCCATGCCCATCTCATCGGCCAGCATGCCTCCCTTCCAGGGGCCCGCCTCCTGCCGCTTGAGCCAGTCGAGGCCCTCGCGCTGGAACGGCAGCAACTTGATGTTGAGCCCCGCCGGCTGCTCGGCCTGCTCCGGCTTGATGACCGCGACGCCGTCCCGCAGCTTCTCCCATACGTCTTTGAGCTCAGGGTGGTGCGCCACGAGCGCGCGCTTGTTCTTCTCGTACTGGCTGCGGACGTTCTTGTTCTTGAGGCGCGCCTGGCGCCTCTCGCTCCGCAAGCGCGCCGCACGCTGCTTGGCCGTCTCGTACTGCTGCTCCTCGCGCATGCTGCCGGCGGCGAGGCCGGTCGACGGGCCAGCCGACGAGCCAGCGGCGAGCGGAGCGTCCTCGTCGCTCAGCTCACTGTCGTCGGAGCCGTCCAAGGAGCTGGCATCAGAGTCGATGTCGATGTCGCGCTTGAGGCGTGCCTGGCGGGCCGAGCGCGAAGCACGCTTGCTGTAGCCGACCGGCTCGAAATCGCTGTCGGATCCCGAATTGTCGTCATCGACCTGGTACTCGTCGAGCGCAGCCTTGGCCTTGGTCTTGATGGAGGCCGCGTTGGCGGCGGCACGGCGTCCCTTGGACTTGGTAGCAACCGAAGCAGGTTCAGGGACATCCGATACGCCCTCGGACGCCAGCTCAAGCGACAGCGCGACTAGCTCCTCATCGCCGTCACTGTCCCCCTTCATGGCGGGGGCAGCAGCGGCAGCAGCGGCTGCCGTCGAACGCCTGCTGGTGCGCTGAAGCGCGGATCGCTGCTGCGTGGCAGGCGGCGCAGCCTTGACGTCGGCGTCCTCGTGCGGATCCTCGTCCACACCCTTGACGATCTTGCCTTTGCCCTTTGCCATGGCCTTTGTCTGGCCTTTGCCCTTCGCGGCCTTGGGCGTGAATTTGGCCGCCATGTACCACTCAGTCTCGTCCTCGGTCTCGTCATCCTCATCGTCGTTGATGTCATCGCCATCCTTGTATTTGTCTTCGTCGAACTTGCGCATCGATGAGCTGCCGCCGATTGAAGTCCTGCTCCTCTTGGCAGGGCGCAGCGGGGGCTGCGGCTGTCGCTGCTTCTCTGCTTCGTCGTCAGAACTGCTGCTGATGACGATCGCCTCGATCTTGCGCTTGCCGGTCGATTTGGTGGAGGGAGCGGCCGCGGCATCGCCTGCTGCAGAAGTCGACCTCTTGAGGGCGCTGCGCGTGGGTACTGACGCCCTCGTCGAGGCTCGGGTGGATCGCTGCGAGGAAGTGTGGGAAGGGATCTCGACGAAGGCGTGGCCAGCTTCGAACTTGACGGCCGGAGGCTGGTTGGTCGGGCTGAAGGCGCCCTTGACAGGCCCGGTACGCGACGCCGATGCCTTGCTGGCCGGCACGGGTAAAAGCACTTCCTCGGCGTCGTCGATCGACGTGGCAGGAGTCACGGTTCCCGAGGCGCGGGCTGACGAGATGTTGGAGGCGATGGTGGCCGGCGTGGTCGAGCCTGCCGACGAGGCGAAAGAGGCTCGCTGGCTACCGCGGCCCAGCTCGGGCGACGGCGTCGTCGCCGTTCGTGCATCGTCGCCCAGCATGTCGAGCTCGTCCCTGCCGTCTGAGCCGGACGCAGCGCTGCCCTGCCCACGCGAGATCGACTGACGGCTGGAGCGGCGAGGTCCCGGCGGCGGCGCCATGGCTTGTATGCAGGAGTGGAAGAGCGTGGGTGGTGGGAGGAGAGCTTGATTGAGGACTGCCGGCAGCTCAGCAGCTCGGTGGGGCGATCGCAGGGAGAAGGTGCCAGCAGACAATGGGCTACGAAGACGGCGTGGGCATGGGCAGACTGAAGTGAAGGGTGGCTGGGTGGCAAACGGCGAGCTCTGGAGCTCGGCAACCTAGAACGCCGACGAAGGAAGAATGGCGGGAGATCGGCGCCCGAGACGAAACGAGACAAGGAGTGGTCAAGAGACGAAGGGTTGGAGGAGGGGAAAGCCGACAACGAGAGTCGCTGCAGTGGTGGTGGTGGCACGGAAAGAGGGAGAGGGAAAGGGTGGAGCGATAAGGGACGGCCCGTGGCTCAGTCGGTGGGGAGGGTGGCAAAAACCAAGGAGGCTGGGCCCGTCTGGCCCGCCTTTGCCACCCGAACTGGCCAGGCCGGGGCCACACGCACGCAAGCAAGGCAGCCGAGAAGACACACGGGCGTGCAGGGCCAGGACCCTCGCCTCGCCACCAAAAAAAGGGGGCATTGAAAATTATGTGAATCGTAGCTGGGAATTTGGCATATCAGCGGACGAATTCTTTGGATGATTCGCAGGTCAGGAGTACAGCTATTTGCACGTAACTTTGATAATCCAGGTTAGAAGGCCTGAACTTCACGTTTCGAGGCTGCCTTGCGCCTGCTCGAGTCTTGTTGCGGTCTGCATGAACGCGCGCGAGTGGATGCAGGCCTGGTCAGGCCGGACAGGCCGGCAAGCGCACCTGCACCCCGCCTTTTCCCTCTGACTTCCGACATCCGCACTTTGGCCCGCACGCGCTTGCAGACAGGTCCACTCTACGCGGCCGACCTGCTGCTGCTGTCAGAGACCACAAGCTTCAAGGGAGCACTTTGGCCATTCTCACTGGCTCATTAAATTGCCAAGAACCTGACAAACACTTCAGCAGGCTTCAAGAGAATCCTTGAAACTGATACTGTGCAGATAGATTCATAGCTAGCATCAAAAACCAGGTCGTTTTTTGGCCATGGGCTGACCTATGGCCTGAAGTTGGGATATTGGGGGGTCATCTATGCCAAAAAATGGCTGCAGGCCACCTATGGCCAGAAATTGGCGATCTCCTGCGCCAATGACTTGTGCAAGCCCGCCAGCCAACTGTCATAGCTAGCAGCAGGGCCAACCTATGATCTGGCAGATTGTAGGTAGGCGTAGCCTGTCTACAATTTTCAGATCATAGGGGATCCTTCTACACAAATGATTTATGGATCCAGACAAGCCTTGCGGATTTTTAGATCGTACTTTGCCTATGATTTTTCAGATCGTAGCTAGACTGGTCTACCTACGATTTTTCAGATCGTAGCCAGACAGCGGTCAGAATGGAAGCTACGATCAATTAATTCCTATCTACAATACTAGAAGCAATGATACGATCGCGCCTGTGCAGTGAGGAAGCGTACAACAGCATGCAGATGGGGCAGGCGGCAGAAAGGAGGTGGAAAGAGGCAAACGGAAGAAAAGGGGTCAGCAGTAGGCGCAGGTATTGCCAGCAATAGGGTGGCATCATCAACTCACCAAGATCATGCGGGACGGGGATGGATGTCCCAGGGCGCAACGGCTGCAGGGTGGCGATGGGTGGCAGTCGCAGCGGCGGTTGAAGAGGAGCGCAGCAGCAATCAAATCAGTGCGGCATATGCGGCATGTTCGACTCACCTGACGATGTCCTGATGGCTTGACGGCGGGTGTGGAGGCGGAGTGTGCTGCTTGTCACCGGCTTCGTGTGCAAGGTGCAAGCAAGTTGGCGTCGATGGTGGCGGCGGATCGGCATTGATGGTGGCGGCGAGTCGGCGTTGGCGGTGGCAGTGGCGGCAAGCCAACGATGGTGGTGACATCGGCTAACGAAGGTGGTGGCATCGGTGCAGAGTGTTGGAACACCTCGCCGTCTCGCACAAAAAACGCAAAGGATAAACCGATTCGATCAGAAGGGACACTCTAGAGCACTGGACGCGCCTCCCGGGTCCGACTCCTTCAAGTCCCGACCTGAGCCGTCAGGTAATGCAAAGGTAGCCGTAAGGAGCAGCTCCTACCCCCGATGCTACCCCTCACCGACGGTCAATCCCCCTTCATTCCTACCCCTCCATTCCTACCCCTTTAGATAGACACGTCCAGTCATCTAGAGAGCCGCGGTTCACGGTCGAGTCAAGCAACTCGACCAAAGAGACGGAGCGGCACGGTCCCCTGTAGCTACAGGATCATGGTTGCTGCTCTAGAGGTCTATAGTAACCCGCAGCGCAAAGTTGTAGCGTATATATATGACCAGCTTCTGGTCGCCAATGGGACCGCTTCTTTATCGAATCTTACACACTTCATCCCCTTCTATCGGTTCGCTTACCCTCACACACTCTTCCACATCTCTACAAGCAACTACAGTCGCCTGCCTTGCGTCTTCGACAACTAGTCCGTCGGTCTACCCTCGGCCTGGCCCCGAAGCCGTTCCGAGTCCAGGAACAACAACTCGACTCCTACGGTTGACTCCATACTGTCCTTCGGTGTTCCAGACAACTAGACTTGTTTTTGTTGTCGGTTCCGACTTGCACGCACCCTAACAGGTGTCCCAATAGGTTATGAGCCCAAGTGCCCGTCGTGACTCAAGTTCAGGCAATTCCTATTCGCTTCGTCCGCGAAGGGCAACACCCCTCGGTTCGACCCCTCAAGCTGAAGAAGGTCAGCATCTCGATTCAATCCCCAAAACAGAGATCTATTCCACCCCGTCCACTATTACTTCGCAGATCAGGATGACTACCGTGGGAAACGCCATCATCATGAACAACCAGAAGCTTCCCCGACTCACCAACGCAGCGGACTACTACCGCTGGCGCGAGGAGTCGACGGATGTCTTCCTCCAGAAGGCATCAAAGATCTGGCGCATTGTTCAAGGGGAACTGCCTTGACCTGACAGCATCCTCGAACCAGAGAAGTACAAGGAATGGATCGACGCAAACAATACTGCAGTTGGCCTCCTCCGTTTGAGCCTGTCAATCGAGATCAAGCATACGATTCTAGAGCTTGAGGATGCCCATGCGATTTGGGCGAAACTCGAACAGTCCTTTGCAAGCTCGATGAAGTGGCGACTCGAGGAACTAGAGACCGAGTTCAACAGTCTTAAGCAAGAAAAGGCAAGCATCGATGGCTTCGTTGGCAAGATCAAGGAGTTGTCGGAGCAACTGCACCTTGGTGGCGTCGAAGTCACGATGCACAAGAAGTACACCGTCCTGATGAAAGGGCTTTGTTGCGAGAATGGCAACCTCAAAGCGCAGATTGAGGAGACCTACCGCAACCAGAGGGAGCAAAACAGGCTTCTAGTTTGACGCATAGGACTCGACGACGAACAGTTCGAGATCGTCACCGAGCCCCTCGACGAGAAAGCCGAGTTCGATGGCATCGTTGCCAAGCTCCGGTCCAAGGAACTGGAGCTAGGACTCAACTCGCACGGCCTCACGCAGAAGACTCGACAGGGAATGTCAGCCTTCTTTACCCAGTCTAGGCCTCAGAAGCCACGACACCAAGGGCGCTTCGAGAAGAAGAGCTCTGGACCACGCCCTCAACGAAGAATCGAGGACATTGTCTGCTACCGTTGTCAAGAGAAGGGACACTTTGCAAACAAGTGCAGCAACCCCAAGAAGGAGTCTGGATCATGTCCCCCGTTCAGGAGGAACCACCATTCTCGAGCCCTGGATGCGACGTTCGCGGCTATGGAAGTCCCATCGGCAACCGAGTCGACTTTCTCCACTCTAGAGCACTGCTCCGTCACTAACGGACGCTGGATCATTGACTCAGGCTCTACGACGCACATCTGCACCAAAGCAGCGCTCTTCACGGACCTAAAGCCCGTAAGCGGACGTGTCATTCGCAGCGCAAATGGCGCAGAGACGGAAGCCGATGGAGAAGGAACGGTGCACATCAAGGTCAATCTGGAGAAAGGCAAGATCGGCATCGTGACGCTCGAGAACGTCCTATACATCCCAAGCTATGCAGCGAACCTCATCTCGCTCAGCCGAATCAGAGGAAAGGCTGAGATCATCATGAGCAAGAACTCTACAGTTGCAAAGATCAACGTTGTTTGTCGTCGGTTCCGACTTGCACGCACCCTAACAGGTGTTCCAATACTTCTGCCTGCTCTGCCGCCTCCGTCAATCATCGGAAACCTCGGGGAGCTGTCTCCGAGGATTCTGATGATTGACAGCTCTCGCCGCCGCTTCTGCCCAGCAAGCAGTCAAGCCAGCTGGTTGGCTGGCAGCCAGGCTCGGGCGGGTGGCGGGTGGGCTGGGCTGGCTGGCAGGCTCGGGCGGGCGCGCGGGTGGGCCAGCTGGCTGGCTCAGGGGCCGGCCGGCTGGCGAGGCTGACTAAGCTTGCGCGCGCGCAAAAAAAAAGTGGAGGCCAGGCCACGCCGCCAGTCAGGCCTGCATGCGTGCTCACGCAGGCTCGCTGGCTGGCCTGTGTGAGCACGCACGCACGCCCTCTGCCTGACCTCCCGCCCGCTGTCACAGCCCTGGCTCAATCGGGGCTGAGCGGCGCGGGCCAGCGGAGCAGAGGATTCCGGAGCCGAAGTGAATTCTCTCCGCGCGGCCGCGGAGAGGAATCACCAGGCCGCCAGCAATCCTCTGCGCGCCAGGCAACGTCGGCACGCACCGTGCGGCTCCGCAGTTGCTCCTGCTGGCAGGAGGACGCTTCAGATCCGCACTGAGGGCCAAGGGCTAGGCTTCGGGCACAACGGTGGCGTCCCACCTCGGAGCAACGCCCTGGGATGACAATGGAGGACAATAGGACAATAGAGGCCATTTCTGATTGGTCGAGGCAGGGATGCCTCGACGCCGTAGGTAGACAGTATATAGCCTAGTCCTCCTCCGCGTCGGTAGACTGGATGCCCCTCATCCAGTCTAGTCAATACCAGTCCTCACAGCTTGCTCGTCTTCCATCGACGTGAGAGCCCGAGGCTACCGTTGCCTAGCAAATATGACGCCTATCAACAGATCACCATCGCCAGCTCACTTCCGTAGTCATCCTTGACCGTGGACGCCTGCCAACGGTGCTCACAGCCGCCCTCGGTATCAACCCGCCGTTCCCGAACCTTGCTTGCGCCTCTGACGGGAGCACTGAAGCGATCGCCCTCTGACGTGCAGAGATTTCTCCGCCCTCGGATACTCCTCTGCGCACTCGCCAGGTCGACCGTTACACCCATCAGCTGACCCCCTGCCCGCCAGCTGAGCCTCACCCGCCCGCGTGCCTTGGTATATAGTCTTGCCCGCTCCACCTCGCTCCCTCCCTCCCAACCACTACCATCGGCCCTTTGCCTGCCATCGACCCTCGCCCGCCATCGGACCTTCGCCCGCCGCCGCCACCAGGCTGCCATCGACGCCACCAACCTGCATCAACGTCGCCAACATCACGCGCGCGCTTTGTATTGGGACACCTGCTAGGGTGCGTGCAAGTCAGAACCGACGACAAACAACAAGTCTAGTTGTCTGGAACACCGAAGGACAGTATGGAGTCAAACCGTAGGAGTCGAGTTGTTGTTCCTGGACTCGGAACGGCTTCGGGGCCAGGTCGAGGGTAGACCGACGGACTAGTTGTCGAAGACGCAAGGCAGGCGACTGTAGTTGCTTGTAGAGATGTGGAAGAGTGTGTGAGGGTAAGCGAACCGATAGAAGGGGATGAAGTGTGCAAGATTCGATAAAGAAGCGGTCCCATCGGCGACCAGAAGCTGGTCATATATATACGCTACAACTTTGCGCTGCGGGTTACTATAGACCTCTAGAGCAGCAACCATGATCCTGTAGCTACAGGGGACCGTGCCGCTCCGTCTCTTTGGTCGAGTTGCTTGACTCGACCGTGAACCGCGGCTCTCTAGATGACTGGACGTGTCTATCTAAAGGGGTAGGAATGGAGGGGTAGGAATGAAGGGGGATTGACCGTCGGTGAGGGGTAGCATCGGGGGTAGGAGCTGCTCCTTACGGCTACCCTTGCCTTACCTGATGGCTCGGGTCGGGACTCGCAGGAGCCGGGCCCGAAGGGCGCGTCCAGTGCTCTAGAGTGTCCCTTCTGATCGAATCGGTTTATCCTTTGCGTTTTTTGTGCGAGACGGCGAGGTGTTCCAACAAGAAGAGCCTGCCAAAAAAATGTCGGATTTTGGATTGTAGCTAGATCGTAGCTAGGCTGCGCATCCGAAAAATCGTACACAGGGCTCAATGCCCGATTTGAGATCGTAGCTAGGCTGCACATCGGGATAATCGAAGACAGGGATCGATTCCTGATTTCAGATCGTAGCCTGCCTACGATCCAAAATGGGCCCCACCCTGCTGCTAGCTATGGTCCTGCTGCTAGCTATGTATGCTCATTGTGGCTGATTCATTCTTCATCTGTGGTTCTCTGGTGGGAGAATAGGCTCTGCTGGGGGTCAAGATGCAGAGTCAGCAGGTCGTCGGAGGCCGTGCTGACAGCAGTGAGAGAGACTGGGGTAGGTGTGCCATTGCCGAATTCCGAGTTTGGAGCTCAGTCTGGCTTGAGCCAACTGCGCCACGCGTCCAGTCAGACCGATGGACGCCCTCCACATTTTCCTGGGCGGACGCAGGCTGGGTCGATGCAGGTGGGTACCCAAAACGTTCTTCGCCACCACCACCACCGCCGTCCAATCACCTTCGACATTCGCCAGCAACACAAGTCCTGCTGTAATGCCTCACCCAGCCTGTTCTTAGCAGCCGGCAGGAAGGATCACGTCTTACACGATGGATACCACCGAATCGCTGCTCGAGCGAGCCTCGCTGCTGCCATTCCACCAAGCCATCATCAGTTCGCTGGTGCCAGGTCCAGACGATTCACCGGATGAGGGCGACGTCTTGGTCATCATGGCCCGAGGCCTCGGTATGCGGCGCATCGTCAGCACTGTCTTGAGGATCTACGATGGGCCTAAAAACCTAGTCATCCTCGTCAACGCCTCTGCAGAGGAGGAAGCTGGCATCGGCGAGGAGCTCACCACACTGGGCGTCAGAAAGCCCGGTATGCGCACTATCCATCATGAGATGCCGGCCAAGCAGAGGTGAGCGTGAACAGCTCAAAGACCCGTTCAAATGGCGCTCATCGTCCTCAACTGAACACATCTGCCTGGATTCGATGTCGGGCCGTTGCAGGCAGGAAACGTACCTCTCTGGCGGGATCCTTAGCGTAACGTCCCGCATCCTGGTCGTCGACATGTTGAGCAAGAGGATCCCGACAGGGCTCATCACTGGCCTCGCCGTGATGCATGCTGAAAAGTGAGTGTAGGCTGAGGGAACGTTGCCTGCGTCAACGAGCTGGGTCTTATCGTCAGAGCCCACGCTTTTGGCTTCTTGCCAGGGTCACGCCTACCTCTGTCGAAGCATTCATCCTGCGCATCTACCGACAAGAGAACAAGGTACGCATCATGGCCTGCCCGAACGTCGTTGCCGCGTACAGTGTTTGATTGGGTCGGTGTTCGGTCTTGATCCTGGCAGGACGGCTTCCTCAAGGCCTTTTCAGACGAACCGGAGCACTTCACCGCCGGTGTGAGCCCCCTGCAAACGGTGATGAGCCAGCTAAGGATACGCAAGGTCGAGCTATGGCCACGGTGCGTACTCAATGTAGCCCGCAGAGTCAAGCGGCAAGTCGAAACGAGATCTCCTGCCCGCTCATACGGCGTTCTCGTTGCGATGCCAAACCCAATCTAGTTTCCACAAGCAGACGAACAAAGACCTCGGCCAAAGAAAGGCAGATGTCATCGAACTCCACCAACCACTCAGCCGTTCGATGCGCGACATCCAGACTGCCATTGTCGAATGCCTGGATGCGACGCTGTCCGAGCTCAAGAGGGGGAACGCGAACGTGAGTGACCTTTCAGAACGTATGTGCAAAAGCGATCCGCCAGCGGCTGACCGTCCCGTTGCTTCGATCAATGACGGCGCCAAGGTCGAAACCGACGATTTCTCCATCGAGAATGCCATCTTCAGAGCGTTCGACGTCATGGTCAGGCGTCAGCTCGATCCGATCTGGCACCGCGTCAGCGGCAAAACGAAGCAGCTTGTCGGCGACCTGACTACGCTCAGAAGCCTGCTGAAGTGAGTGCTGCGGCTGCAGGAGTTCCGGGGGATGCACAGGTGTTGCAGCTGACGCCCTCGCCTTGAGGTCCGACCCGATCCCCACGGACTCGGATCGCGCAACAGCTATCTGCTCACGTACGATGCCGTGACGTTCAACTCCTTCCTCGAGACGATACTGGCTTCTAACACGACAACAGTGAGCGGAACGGCTCGCCAGAATCAATCCCCCTGGCTTTACATGGATGCGGCCAACACAATCTTCGTCGAGGCCAAGCGGAGGGCGTATCTGTGGACGGAGAACCCGATGCTCTCGCGATCCTTGGACCAAGACGGCATCGACGCGGACGGCGAGGAGGCCCTCCGAGAGGCGGAGGCAACCACGAGCGCCGAAGGTGCGCGACAACGGACGGCTGCCGACACACAGCTGCCAGAACAAGTGACGCCCGTCCTCGAGGAGCTGCCGAAATGGCACCTGTTGAAAGAAGTCCTCGACGAGATCGAGCAGGAGATTCACTTTTCGGAGGTCGATCTAACCGGCCCAACCAACAACACGATCTTGATCATGACCAACTCGGAACGCACCTGCTCGCAGATCCGGGAGATCCTCTCTACTATGCACCAGTGCCCTCCCGACAGTCCCGGGAAGCTTCTGATGCGCCGGCTCCTGCGCGACTACTTCTTCTGGAAGGGGGGGCTGGGCAAGCTCAACGCCAACCTCAGGAGTGATGGGCAGGCGTCATCCGGGCCCTCGGACGCCAATCGCCTCGAGCGATCAGGTGAAAGGGGTGCGGCAACTTCCGAGGCCCTCAAACGGAAAGAGGCTTTTCAGCAACGGGGCCAGCAACAGCTTCTCAAGAGGCGCAGGCAAAGGGGCGGTGCGGCGAGCGTCGCCGGCGGTCGCTTCACGCGTGGCTCTGCATCGGAGGGTGGCGGCGCAGCGCTAGAGGAAGAAGCGGGCCAGGTGTCTAAGTTGTGAGTCCCCACCTTGGAGCCAGCAGTCATACCAGTAAGGAGTCGCTGAATCATAGGAGACCGCCCACTTTGCTCGTCAGTATCGAGTCTGCCCTAGCTCGTGCGGAAGCAGACTTCGGCGAGGAGGCTGTCGGTGAAGCTTCCTCCCGCCTCGCAGATATGGACGAGGTCGAGTTCGATGCCTTCTTTGGCATGCTGAGCATGGAGAACCTGGTGGTCGTACGTCCATATCGTGGCGACCAAGACGACAAGATCCTGCAAGAGCTCCGGCCACGCTTCTTCGTCATGTACGACCCGGATCCAGCGTTTGTCCGACGCATCGAGGTCTATCGCAGCACCAACCCGGGCATCGGTGCCCGCGTCTACTTCCTCATCTACGCCGACTCTGTCGAGGAGCAGCGTTACCTCAGCGCTCTCCGGAGGGAAAAAGAGGCATTTGAGCGGCTCATCCGGGAAAAGTCCAACATGGCCCTCCCCCTGACAGCCGATGGCCGACCCATGGCGGAGGACGCCGATCAGCGATTCCTTCGGACAGTCAGCAGCCGAGTGGCAGGTGGCCAGAGGACCGCTACCGCGGAGCCTCCAAGGATCATCGTCGATATGCGCGAGTTCCGTTCAAGTCTGCCGTCGATGCTGCACGCGGCCAACATCCAGGTGGTACCCTGCACGCTACAGATCGGAGACTACATCCTGTCGCCCACAATGTGCGTCGAGAGAAAAAGCCTGCCCGACCTGGTGCAAAGCTTCAACTCGGGACGCCTGTGAGTACGGTGCAGACTCGAACGATTATAGCGCGAGCGAATCTCGTTGTAAATTGACCCGCCCAGCCTTGCCCTGACGTCTCTCCTCTGCTCTTCCTGATCAGGTACACTCAATGCGAGCTGATGAGTGTCCACTACCAGCACCCCATCCTCCTAATCGAATTTGAGCAGGACAAGTCGTTCTCACTCCAGGTAAGTCGGCTACGATCTGCCGCAAGGCTACGAGAACAGCGATGACTGACAGAAAGCTGTCCATCTCCTCGTCCGGGCCAGACCTTGAATGAAGGAAAAAGCGTTGCGATGCGCGGCGCCAACTCAGAACTCGACATCCAGGCGAAGCTGGTTCTCCTGACTTCTGCCTTTCCTCGTCTCAGGGTCATCTGGTCCAGCTCGCCGTTTGCGACGGCAGACATCTTTGCCGAGCTCAAGCAGAATTTTGAAGAGCCCGACGCCGCGCGCGTGGCGATGGTCGGTCTCGAAGAGTCTACGGGCGCGACGTCTGAATCGGGTAAAGGCCGCAGCATCAACCCCAACAGCGAGCACTCATTCAACCTGGCGCCGCAAGACATGCTCCGGGCTCTGCCTGGCGTCACGACGAAGAACTACAGGTACATCATGGGCCAGGTCAGGGACCTGGCAGACCTCTGCGACATGTCGGCCGACGAGCTGCGTGACCTCATCGGGGTCGAACCGGGTCGTCAGCTGACCAGATTCATCCACAGGGACGTCAAACAGCAACCGCGGCGCTAATCGGCGCTGAGGACGGTCACCCCCGGACGATGTCCTTTTCTGCATCTTCACCATCGACGTCCCGGCCGGCCGAATCCGCGCGGTCATCCCACACGACAAGCTTGCAGGGGCCGGCAAAGCGGCGTGCGACTGCTAATCAGCGGCTGCCCGCGATGTTGGCCGCCACAGCCACCGCGGTTGACATCAGCTCTGAGCAGGACTGGCGTCGTCTGCGATCCGGGACCGCTTGGTGGGCAAAGGCAGCACGACTGGGCGCACTCCGACGCTTCGAGGAATGCCACCGTGCCGCGCTTCTTGGGGCTGTCGGCAGCCGCCGAATCTGCCCATCCACTCGACCTCGCGCCGTGCGATTTACCACCAGCAACCATCCCGGCAGGATCGCGATGCCCGCAGGGATGTAAACGAGGCATGTCGGCCTAACCGATGGCGAACGTCTGTAATGGCACGTTGACCCGCATGCAAGCAGGTTGCTGCAGCATCGATGAAGAGCGATAAAACAGTGGAGCCGATTTCTTTAAACGAAACTAGTGATTGAATTCAGGAACAAGAGGACAGCGCTCCTACACTCCACGCCAAATTTGGTACAGAGAGGAGCAGGAGACGGTGGGGGACGTCGACGACAAAGAGTCTAAGGGGTCGAAGACGTGCCTGCGCCCGCCTCTCAGACCGAATCGGGGTGCCGAGGCGGACCGCATGCTTGAACCATTTTACGAGCTTCGGGCGATCTCCTCGGCCTTCTTCTTGACGTCGTCGATGCCACCGCACATGTAGAACGCGCTCTCGGGGAGGGCGTCGTGGTCGCCGCGGAGGATCTCTTTGCAGGCAGCGACGGTGTCCTTGAGCGAGACGAGCTTGCCCTCGATACCAGTGAAGACCTGGGCGACAGCGAAGGGCTGGCTCATGAACCTCTGGATCTTACGGGCGCGCTCGACGGTCAGCTTGTCCTCCTCGGAGAGCTCGTCCATTCCGAGAATGGCGATGATGTCCTGGAGCGACTTGTAGTCCTGGAGGAGCTTCTGGACGCCGGTGGCAATGTCGTAGTGCTCCCTGCCGACGATGGCGGGGTCGAGCATTCGCGACTTGGAGTCCAGGGGGTCGACGGCGGGGTAGATACCCAGCTCGGCAATACCACGGGAGAGTACGGTGGTGGCGTCCAGGTGGGCGAAGGTGGTGGCGGGGGCGGGGTCAGTCAGGTCGTCAGCGGGGACGTAGACAGCCTGGACCGAGGTAATGGAGCCCTTCTTGGTGGTGGTGATTCGCTCCTGCATGACACCCATGTCGGTGGCGAGCGTGGGCTGGTAACCGACGGCCGAGGGAATACGACCGAGAAGCGCCGAAGTCTCCGAACCGGCCTGGGTGAAGCGGAAAATGTTGTCGATGAAGAGCAGCACATCCTGGCCCTCCTCGTCACGGAAGTACTCGGCGATGGTGAGGCCGGTAAGGGCGACACGAGCACGGGCACCCGGAGGCTCGTTCATCTGGCCGAAGACGAGCGCGACCTTGGAGTCACCCTCGAGATTGATGACACCAGTCTCGATCATCTCGTGGTAGAGATCGTTGCCCTCACGGGTACGCTCGCCGACACCGGTGAAGACGGAGTAACCACCGTGGGCCTTGGCGACGTTGTTGATGAGCTCCTGAATGAGTACCGTCTTGCCAACACCGGCACCACCGAAGAGACCAATCTTACCACCACGGGCGTAGGGGGCAAGCAGGTCGACGACCTTGATACCCGTCTCGAGGACCTCGGCAGTGGTCGACTGGTCGACGAACGCCGGGGGCTCGACGTGGATGGGGGAGAGCTTGTTGCCCTTGATAGGACCGCGCTCGTCCATGGGCTCTCCGATGACGTTCATGATACGTCCGAGAGTGCCGGGGCCGACGGGGATCTGGATGGGCAGACCGGTGTCGAGAACCTTCTGGCCTCGGATGAGACCCTCGGTACCCTCCATGGCAATGGCACGGACGGTGTTCTGCAAGAAAGCGAGGACGAAAAGGCAGGACAGGGGGTATCCGGCAGGGTTTGGTGTTGTATGAGAATGGGATCATCCCAGGAAAAGGTCGAATGAATGGGAGCGCAAGCGCCAGAGCGCGTCCTCGCAACTCACCTCACCGAGGTGCTGGGCGACCTCGAGAACGAGACGACCACCTCCGACAACGTCCTGGACCTCGAGGGCGTTGAGGATGGGGGGGAGCTGCTCGCCGTCGAAGTGGACGTCAACGACGGGACCAATGACGGTCTTGACAGCGCCCTGAGCGCCCTTGGACGGAGCCTCGGTGGCGAGACCGCGAGCTGTTGGGGTGCCACGGTGACGGCAGAATGGGCCAAAGCTGACTTGGTCAGTGACATCCTCGCGAGAAAACATCTGACGCCTGACGCCTCGACCACGGCAGATGGATGACGAGGCGATGGGGCCGGACCGCGTCATCCTGTGGCCGGCCTGTGGCGGGAAGGGCGGCAAAAATGGTCCAGCCCGGACGCAGAGCTGCCTCTCGATGGGGGAGATGGCCACCGCGTGGGGCAACACGGTGGGCGGTCCTCCCGGCCTTGGCGGAGTGGGATGCCGAGGCGAACGTCGAGAACCACGCCGCGGGACAGAGACGATCGCGTGCGATGTACGCCGGCGGCTGCTGTGGCGGTGAAGAGCTCGACTTACCCTGAACGGCAGTCTGGACAGCCTGGGCGATCTTGGGCATAGCAGGTCGGACGCTGGCGGAAGCGTTGACGACAGGGGCGCGAGCAACGGTGGAGAAGGCGGCGGCATTGCTGCGGGCAGCGCGCGAGGCGGTGCGGCTAGCAGCCCGCACAGCGGATCGCTGGATGACAGGCATGTTGGTGTGGGTACGGGAGAGGGGGGACGGGGTGATGGATAGGTCGAGGTGTGGGGAGGGAAGAGGGAGAGAAGGCGACGAGCGCGAGCGAAGGGAGAAAACGGGCGGTCGGGCGGGCGGGCAGACGGACGGACGGGCGCGCAAGAGGGCAAAGGGCCAGGCAGGTCTGGGCGGGCGCCAGATCGAAGAAGGATGAGGCGCCAGGCGGGCCCTCTGATCAGCTCACGGGCGGGCAGACCAGAGGCAAGCGCTGGCCGCGGGGCCCGTGGACCGTCCACCGGGAAGAACTGGCCTCTGCTGGGCCTGGCACACCACCCGTCTTCTTTTGCAAGCTTGTTTGCTGGGGGCAGGCGCCGCCGCTTTGCCTCCCTCTCGTCTCCCCGTTTGCCCAGTACTGTCCACGATCACCGACCGTGTCGATTTCAATTGCCGCCGACAGTTTGAATTACAAAAAGTCACAAGCGCCAGCCAATACAGGCTTTACCCGGCCCCGTGGGTAGCCTGGCCCCCCCCTTTGGGTCGTGGTCGGTGGTAACCGGGCCCGGGCCAGTTGAAATTCGCCTCCCTGCCCGCTTCTTCTCACGGACGCCAGGCGGGAGCTGATGCGGCGGAGCAAGCGGCTGCCAACGAGGGATCTCTGGCGCCGTCGCACATTCAAACCACTCCTTGGCGCAGCCGATCACCATCGTGCGCCTCGTGTCGGCTCCGACGGGCTCTCTTTCCCCCCTGGAGACATGACTTTGGCGAGGGTCCTTTCGCGCCGCTGAGGCCCTCCTCCAGCGCCTGCATCCGTGCGCGATATCGATGCCAGCTCCTACCGATAGGCCTGGTCACGGCACCTGCAGCGCAGCATGGTGAGCAGCTATGTGCACGTCGTGTGTGACTTCCATGTCCGACAAGAGGGACGACGAGACACCTCTGAGCTGTGTCCGGGGCTGACGGGTTGTGAGGCGTACTCTGCTCTACCCCTGTCTCTATCTTCTTCTTCCCCGGACTCGGATCAAATGTTGGGACTTGCTGCGGACGGTTTCAAGGCCATCACGAACCGCGTCAGCGGCAGCGTCTGCCTCACCGCCACCGTAGCCTGCGTGGCATACTACACCGTCTGGGCCCTGGTCATGGTGGGTCGGCGCGCCTCTCTACCACGATAGAGTGACCCCTGGGCACCCCCAGGTACGTGTATGACCTCTCTGACAGAGAGAGCTGCCCTCTTTCTTCTGCACATCCGACTTGCCCACCTTGGCGCCCTCTCCATACATCAGCCTTTCCTGCCTGCGGATGCCATGGTGCAGGAACTCTTCCCGGACCGCATTTGGGCCGTGCGGGCGCCGTCGCTCATCCTCGTCGTCGGCCTGGGCAGCGTTGGCATCTTCATCGGACTGACGATCCGGGGCGACGTCGGATCCGAAGCGGACCCGGCCTACGCCAGGCCGGTCAGCCATCGAGCGCGGGCAAATGACGTACGGCAGGACCCCTCTGAGCTGGAAAACGGGTCGGTCCGATCCGGATCAAGAAGAAATCGACGCCCAGACCAGGCCCGCCGGCGCGAAACCGAGGCCGGTCAAAGCCAGTCGTGACCCTCACCACCAGCCGTTTGAGCTTGGCTTGCATCTCGTGTGCAAGGACCAGCGCGCAATTTGTCGGATCCTTGAAGAGAATGATGATGGTACGGGGCCTGGCGATGCTTACCTTGCCTTTTGCTCGACGATGAGACGGTTGATGTGGAGTACTGGGCAGCGATTAAGATTGAGTCACTCTTGAATTGTCCAGCTGGCTCGCAGCTGACAAGCAGAAGCGCACCAGACCCCGCGCTCATCGCGGGGGCTCGTCGACGTGATCGGCGGGTCGAGGCCAGGGTCGTGGATGGTTGGTTGGTTGGTCGGGGCAATGCTTGGATCAAGGAAGGCCAGCATCCTTGCCTTCCTCCACCAGCATCGTTCTTCCCGATCGCCTCTTCCCTCTCGACCTTTGCAGCCCGCATCCACGTCTCCCGCACCATGATCGCCCAACAGACTCTGCGCACGGCACGACCGCTGCTGCGCTCGGCCGTCCGCCCTGCTGCAGCCAGCACCGCCCTTGGTCGTGCCGCTGCTCGACGATCCTACGCGAGCGGATCGGCGTCCGAGGTCCGCACCGGCGGCGACACCCCCTGGGCCATCGCCTCGGTCCTTGGCTTCGGTGGTCTCTTCCTCTACCTCACCGCTCCCGGTTCCAAGACCGACTCTCGCAGCCACCCGCACGGCCAGGGCGACCACATTGACGCCAACGACGCCGAAGGCGAGCAGCAGGAAGACGAGGCGGATGCCGAGCCTCAGCAGCCCAAGGAGCTGCCCGATGGCAGCATCGAGCACCCCGAGGGCTTTGTCGAGATCAAACGCCCCGAGATGCGAGACGACGCCCCTGCTGGCGACAAGGTGAGCCATGGCCGATACGTACATGCCCCGTTGGTACGGGGTGGCCCATGGGGTCGAGGGGGTTCATCGTGGCTGATTGCCCCCGCCATTCACCCCTCGCTTCTTCTTGCTCTTCTTGTCCTGCCTTGTCCCGATAGCACCTGGGATCTCGAAGCATTCCCGACGAGCACGCCTTTGAGAAGGAGTCCAAGGTCAAGCGCGAGGCTCCGCTGCCCCACGATGACACCACCTTCAAGCACGGTGTTGCTGCGGCCAAGGACGGCAACCCCGTCTCAGATCCCAAGAAGGTGGTGGCCGCGTAAGTGCCCAGCTCGCCTGCACCTTCGTACTCAAGGACGCCCAGCTCTGACGTACATCACTTGCCATCCTCTGCGTCCCGCGATCCGTCCTCTGCCTCGCATCTTCGCTCCATCTCTGCAGCGCCAAGACCGCCAAGCAGGAGAAGTTCGCCGCCAAGGCCGAGTCGTCCTAGGCCTTGTCTAGCGACCGAAGGACTGTTCATCCTTGCAATGTCCAGTACCAGCATCATCAGTGGCTGTAATAATCGGGCAACAGCCCACCGAATGCCCCGTGCCCAGCGAGACTGACAGCCAATGATGCATTGCTGGGATGGAAAATCGACAAGGCCATGAACAAGGCTTCGAAGCTTGGCAACACCGGGGAAAGAGGTTCGAGCCTACGACACAGACGCTGGGAGCAACGTCTGGAGGCATTGGCGTTGCTGATAATGAGGGCGACCGACGGCACGCCGGCAGATTTCGGACACGCACCCTGTCCACAGTGGCCGTACTCTGAGCTCAGTGTGAGCCTCTGCGTCGTGGTTTCGAAGGATGTGCGGTGCCCATGATTGAGCGAGCTTATGGAGTTAGCTGATCCGCGGATGGCCGCTTCGGACGGCTCCTGCCCCTGGCAGGTTCACGCACCGCTGCTTTCGCGTGGCTTCGTGTTTCTGGCCCTGGAAGCCTAGAGCAATCCCTCTGCCCTACCGTTATTGACGAGCCATTCCTTGACGTCCTTTTTCGTCAGCAGCGCGCTCAGCCCGCCCGATCCGGCCCGGATCATCGCAGAGGGGCTGTCTGAATGGTAGAGCCGGAGAATGTGGCAACAAACGACCTCGATCTCGCCGTGCTGCACGTCGAAGAGCTCCCACCACGGCATCGGCTCGAGTGGCAGCGCGAACGGTGGCTCCGCGGTCTGGGCCGTCAGATAGATGACCGAGCAGGCAAGGACGTGCGGTGGTAGGAGGCAGTATACTGGGGTCTGCAGGCTGTCGCGCGGGACATTAGGAAGAGGATGGCAGTGTCAGGATGAAAGGGGCAGCTGCCATCGCCGGCGCCGCACAGTGTGTGTTGACGACTCACGCGTCGTTGAGAAAGCCCCAGGCGCGTTGCGCAAAGTCGACTCGACGATGCCCGGGTCGAGCTTCTGCGCCCTCGCCTTCCGAGGCACTGTGGGTGCCCCTGGGACACAATCGGACTTGGACCTGTGCTGAGGAGAGCTCGAGAAGCTGGAGATAGTTGACCATGGTCGCATAGGGTAGGTTGACCTGGACGTGAAACCCGAGGCGCTTGAGCAGCTGCATCTCGCCGACCACGAGGGCATCCTTCATCTCGTAGAAGTCGTTGTCGAAGTATCCTTGGGGCTCGTAGACGTGGGGTTGATGAGAGGCGTGTTCGCGACGCTCATGAAGCTGACCATGTATTGGCCCGAGTTGCGTTGCCAGGGCTGCCATTGCCGATCCGTGTCGCGAATGATGGCGATCTCTCTTGATAAGGTAGTCAAAGGCGTTGATGAGGTCCCTTAGCCGGACAGGCGACTCTTCGAGCTTGGTCGATAGGAAGAGGGAGCCCATGCAGATGTCCTGACATGCGGGAGGTTCGTCGGGGTGCCGATATTCGACGCACGACATGGATAAACGCAGGCGGCCAATCGCGCGGTCAGCTCATTTCGCTTGGATGTCTGCTGCGCTGGACTGCTCGGCGGCAGAACTAGGCGTTTGGCTGCAGGTTCGTGGCAGCAGTACGAAGCACAGGAGGCTCACCCTGGACGAAAAGTGCTTCAGCGACGAGACGAACCAGAACCTCTGGTAGAGGACCTGAGCGGTGGCCATGACGCGCTGGGGGCTGCTTGGTGCGAAGGGGTAGACGAAGCGTGGGTCGGCAGGAGCCGAGAGAGGGGTTCGCGACGGGAAATAAGGAAGAAAGAAAGGCGTGGTGAGCGTGGCCGGGGCGGGCGCGGTGGCGACGGAGCTCGGGCGAGTGCGACTCACAGGCCGAGGAGGATGCCGGCGCCCTGGATGAGCTGGCAGCCGTATAGGCGGATCTGATATTCGAGATGCTCTGGGATTCCATCTTGGCGCGATGGTGAGTTGTGGAGCTGCGACTGTGTTGCGAGCGTGTTGAGGAGCATCCCTGGGGCCGCTGCGAGGGACATCCGATGACGCCTGCGGCCAATGGATGTTGAGGCGCCAGGAAGCGCGGCCCCCGTTTGGTGGCAATGGGCCAGGAGAGCCGAGTGACGATGTTGGCCGACGGAGCTCGGATGGCAGCGGGCCGAGGTGTTGGCTTGCCGTTTGCGACGCTGATGGAGTCGGTAAGTTGGCGCGTTGAGGAGGAGGAGGAGGAGGAGGAGGAGGAAAAAGAAGAGGAGGCCAGGCGGCGCAGGCGGCGTCGAGCAAAGGTCAGAGGAGGGCAGGATGAAGCCGAAGCTCGAGGGCCCTGGATTTGGCTTGCCATTTGGGCCATTATTTTTCGAGGTGGTCCGTGGCTCAGAGTTATAGAGTAGTGTGGCCTGGCCAGCCGGCAACGGTCCATCCAGGTGGGGGCAGGCGGGCCAGTCCAGACCTGACCTAGCCTAGCCTCTGACCTGACCCGCCGACTTTGAGCCAAATAAAGAGCGGCGAGGCGTGCGTCAGCGCGCAGCGGGCTCGAGGCCGGTGTGGAGCAACAGGGCCCAGAGGCAGGCTAGGCAGGCAAACACCTTCCTGATGCCTAAGGCCCAAGGCAGCCTCGCTCCAACACGTTCGACGACGACGACCACCACCACAACCACCACAGCCACCACAACCACCGCCACCTTCGACGCCCCTGACGCTGTTCGAGCCCCAAGCCTGCTTCCTGCGCCCTCGCACGTCGAGTGAGCTTGTCTGCAAGGATGGCCCAACAGTCGCCGCTCTCCCTCCTCTACCCGCTGGGCGCCAACGACGACGACGATGGCGGCATCAGCCTGCCCAACCAGCGCTCGTTTCAGGGACCCTGGTTCTCGCAGCAGGTCACCCTCTCGCTCGCCATCGGCATCCTCTCGCTCATCGCATTCACCTTGCTCCGCCGCAAAAACACCGCCCTATTCGCCCCGCGCACAAAGCTAAAGGGCTTCTCCCCGCTCGACGATGCCGGCTTCGACGCCGGCTACTTTGGCTGGATCTGGTCCACCATAAAGACCGACGAGATGCGCATCCTTCACACCGTCGGCCTCGATGCCGCCGTCCTCCTCGCCTTCCTCAAAATGGGCTTCTGGCTCTTTTCCATCATCAGCATCTGGTGCTGCCTCGTCCTGATGCCCGTAAACTACTGGCAGAACGGCGTCCTCGACGGCGTCTCTCCCGCAGAGGACCAGCGCAACGGCACCCACACCAGCCCCACACTCTCGTCGTTGCCCCGGTACAGCATCTCCAACCACAGCCACGCCACCCACCCGCCGCCGCTGCCCCAGTTGCCGCTCCCCGCACCACAGCCCCACGCCATCGCCTACCACTTCACCCACCTCCTCAGCGTATACGCTTTTACCCTGCTAGCCCTCCGAGCCATTTGGAAAAACTACCACACCTTCGTGCGCTCGCGCCAGCTCTACATCCTCGAGATCCTCGAGTCCATCCCGGCTCGCACCGTCGAGATCCGCGACCTACCGCTCCACTTGCGCGACGACCGCGACCTCGCAGAGTACTTCGAGGCCATGGACATGCGTGTCGAGAGCACCGCCGTCGTACGCAAGGTCGGCGGACTCTCAAAGCTCCTCACAGCCCGCGAAAAGGCGCTGCACAAGCTCGAAAACACTTGGGTCCAGTGGCTTGGAAACCCCACAGACGCGGAAGGGTACGATCCGGACAAGATCATGCTGCTCGCCGCCGCCTACCACGAACATGGCCCCGACGAGCTCCTCGAACAGAGCTCCCTTCAAGGCACGGCCCGCGAACCGCAGACAGGACAACGGGCAGCTACCGACACCGAGTCGAGCGTGCTGCTGCCCCAGCGACAGCCAGGCTCCCGTCCGCGTCCCAGGTCGACGCTCAACATCTCGGGCGCCGACACGATCCGCACCAAGAAGATGCGGCCCAGGATGCGGCGCAACCCCTGGAACCCCTTCTCTGACAAGATCGACGCGCTCGACGAGCTCACGCGGCGCTACAACGAGCTCGACCGTGCCGTGCGCGAGAGGCGCCGCGCCGGACGCTTCGCTGGCAGCAAGGTCGGCTTTGTCACGTTTGAGGATGCGGCAAGCGCCCAGATTGCCTCCCAGACGGTCCACTACCCGACGCCCGCCCGCTGCCGCACTTCGATGGCGCCCGAGCCTCGCGACATCATCTGGTCCAATGTCGACCTCTCCAATCTGGACCGGCGCGTCCGTCAGGTCATCGTCAGCGTCTGCATGATCCTGCTCCTGGTCTTCTACATCCCGCCGCTGGTCTTTCTTGCCAGCTTCCTCAGCCCAGGCGCCATCAAAAGGTACCTGCCGTGGCTCGATCGGCTGCTCGGCACTGACGAAAGATTGCGCGCGCTTGTGCAGAACAATCTGCCGTCGCTCGTCCTGATAGGCTTTAACAACCTGCTGCCGCTCATCCTCGAGTGGTCCGCGGTGGCACAGGGCATCAAGACCAGGTCCCTGGTCGAGTACAGCGTCCTGAAAAAGTATTGTGAGTGCGACCCAAGGTCGAGCCCTGCTTCGCTTGTGCAATGTCTCTGACGCTCCTCGCCTCGCGACCGCCCGTATGCCATCTTTCCGCGCCGTCCCTTTCGTCCCTCCGCAGACCTCTTCCTGATGGTCTCGGTCGTTTTCATCTTCCTGATCACCACGACGGCTTGGGGGGTGCTCCAGGAACTGGCGGCCAACCCAGCTCGCCTGATCGACAAGCTGGCCGCGTCGCTACCCGGCGCTCGGTTCTTCTCGCTCTCCTACGTCATCATCACCGGCATCGCGCTCCAGCCGCTGCAGCTGCTGCAGCTGCCGACGCTGATCCTCCGCGGCTTCTACCGCGTCTTCTTGACGCGCACACCGCGCGAGTTTGCTGAGCTCAACGCGCCGCCTACGCTCGTCATGGGCACAATCTACCCGCAGGCGCTCCTCATCTTCACCCTCTGCATCCTCTACAGCATCGTCAGCCCTCTCATCTGCATCTTTGGCGCCGTCTGTGAGTGCGCCTTTCTCTAGAGCCGACGCCTTCCGGCACCCCAAGCTAACACAGAGAAAAGCGCCTCTACCGACTGGAAATGGTCAGATTTCGGGCTGACCTACGTCGTGACCAAGTACAAGCTCCTCTACGGTGAGTTGCCCTTGGGCGCCGTCAGGGCTGCTGGCACGGACATGGCCCACTCACGCTCCCTTGCCGCACCCTGCTCCGCTCCGCTGGCAGTCTTCTACAAGCCGTACGAGTCACAAGGCCAGGCATGGCCGATTTCGGCCTCGCGATGCATCTGGGCGCTGGTCCTCTTCCACGTGTTCGAGTTCTCCGTCTTTTCGGTCCGCAAGCAGCTCCTCGCCTCGGTACTGGTCGTGCCGCTGCTCATCTTCACCATCTGGTTCAACCACCACCTCTCGCTCACCTTTGGGCCGCTCACACATCACGTCAACCTCTCGAGCCTGATCGAGGTGACAAAGGACCTGCAGCGTTCCGGCAAGACATCCGATGCCTTTTCTCAGATGGCCCAAGCCGGCCCGCCCGCTGCGGCTGTTGCCGACGAACTTCTCGGTCGCAGCGGCGATGCGGAAACGTCGTCGCCGTCTGCGAAGGCCGCGGCTGCTGCCAACAAGGTGGCTAAAGACAGCCATCGAGCCTTGCTGGCGCTGGATCCGGAGCATGCCGTCGAGAGGAGACACACAGACCTCGCTCGAAAGCGTCTGGAGCCCGAGGACGATACCCTGTTCGTCGCACAGAGGGACGCCAAGACCGACTACAGGGAACCCCCCGGCTCCGGCTACTATCCGGGCGTACTCAACACGGGCAGGAGGAGATATGGTCACCCCGCGATTACGTGAGTGCTCGTCGAGGGGAGGCGTCCCGGCTCGTCCGCGGTCATAGTTGAGCTCATTTCAACGTGGCGTCCATCACCCGCTGTGCGACCTGGCGACCTGCATCGTAGTGGAATCCTGCCGGACCTCTGGCTCCCCATCCCGATCGAAGCGACTTCTGCAGAGGAGCAACAGGACGCGACCGCCTCAGCCGCTACCAGCTCGGGAACAACAGCACGTGGCAGCACGGACGATCTCGAGTCCGGGCTGGCGGCCGCAACTGCCTCGAGTCATCGCTCGCTCGCCTCGGCCGCGGCTGCGGTCAAGGCGAGGGAGCGGGCGCTCTCGAAAGCCGAACCGCTCATCCTCTCTCTCCGTCGTCGCAAATCGTCGCTCCTCTCCTCCATGTCTTCGTCAACGGTCGGCGCGGGCGCGGGAGATGGCAGGACAGGTACTCGACGGAGGACTCCAAACTCGACCCGGCCCCCGCCGCCGACCGAAGATCTGGTAGGCATCTGGAGCGACGGCGTGTCTGGACCGCAGGGGAGCAGCAGCCAGGCGGCCGTTGGAGAGGTGCTGGCGGGCGATCGCGCAGTGGCGCCTGCGAGGACCAGGCTGAGCAGTCTGAGATATGGAGCGGCGCATCAGGGTCAGGATGGCGGGGTTGCAGAGGAAGCCAACATGGGCGAGGAGGGAGAGCTCGAAGAGAATCGGGCGGAGGAGGAAGAGGAGGATGACGACGAAGGTGTGTACATGCATCGTGCGGCGAGGAGGGGTTCAGCGTCGTACCGCGACTAGGTCCGGTCGTGGCAGGCACCAAAACGACGGCGTATAGTTCGCTCTGCATTCGACAACCCTGCCAATTGTGACGCGCCACTGCGCCATCCTTTCCCGCTCCACCAACTTTGGCCGCCGCGGTCCAGCTCATCCCTTCCTCTTCTTGCTCTTGTACCCATGTGGCCGAAATCTGGCTCCAGGCGGCACGTCTGTGCCGGGGCCCTTCCAGTTGGGCGGCGCGCAGAAGCGACAATACCACTTGCCCTTTGGCGAGGCCGTGAGCCCGACGCAGCCGTAGTGGAACCACTCGCGCGGGCAGTCGTCGTTGTCGCAGGCCACCATCTCGTCAAACGAGGGCTGGTCGCAGTAGCAGTAGCGCGGCTCGTTGGGGTCGATGGCCATCGCTTCGTGTCCCGGCACGATCGAGGTTGTCTCTGGCAGCGCCGCTGCGGCTGGGCCGACGGCAGACGGACGAGGTGGTCGGTTAGCGGAGACCAGCCAAGAAACGGTGCGACGACGACGTACCGCAGGAAAGCCAGCACACCTACCTTGTCGGCCCTTCGGTTTCGCCTGGGTTGACGCTGCGGTAGGAGACACGGCCCTATCGCTCAGCTTGGTCGCCGAGGCCTGGGAGACGGTGCGGCGACGACCGCCAGCCCGTGTTCGGGTGACCGATTCCTCGACGGCGGAAGCTGCTGGTTCTCCATGTGGAATGGAGGGGGCACCAGCGGCTCCCGAGCTCCGTCTCGCCCTTTTCCGGGTCAGCCCGCCGTCGGCGGCCGCTTCCTCGGCGAGGAGGACGGCGTCGCCACCGAGCCGCGGAGTCACTGTGTTACTCTTGACCGCGGCTACCTCGGCATCGTCCACCGGGCCTTCTTCCGCAGGGCTGCCCATCCCTTCTCCCGCCTCTTGGCCCGCCTCTTCCTCTGCCTCCGAGCCTTCTCTCGTTCCTCCATCGGTGGCGAGGCCCTGCGCCTCGCGTAGGCCCCTGCTCTCCTCGGTCCCGGTGCGGAGACCGAGGACAAGGCTCGATTCGATCTTTTTCAGGTCGGCGTCCAGCCTGCGACACTGCCGGTCGATCCACTCGTAGGTGGTGATGGCCAGGCCAACCTTTTCCTCGCCCGCGCGAACAGCTTCGCAGGCGCACTGCGAGATGCGATGGAGCAGCGACTTCCGCGATTCGCTGGAGAGCGTTGGCTCCGGAGCGGTCGGGCTAGCCGGCGCCGTTGACGAAGGCGGCAAAGCTGCGCCCTGTAACGACGCCGGCGGAACATCTGCAGCCGGTCCCGACTTTTGTGCCTCGTCGCTACCGACCTCTGGCGCTGCTGCGCTGCTTGAGCCGTTGCCATTTGTTCCGCCGTCGGGAGGGTTTTTGGTGGCGTGCTTGGCCTGCGTTGTTACTTGTGCTTCCACCGTCGCTGGTTCGGATGCAGCAGAGCCCGCATGGCTCGGCGGCACGGTCTGTGCTCGCCCGTTTGGATCCGCGGGCACCGTCTTATTCAACAAGTTTTGATGGAGGGCCAGACGGGCATCTCGGTAGGCGATGGCGTCGTGGGAGACCGAGGCCAATCGAGCAGTCATCTGGGACTCGAGCTCCCTCAACAGCGCCAGGGAGCGATGGATCTCGAGCGGGAGCTGCTCGACAATCTCAAAGTACTCTTCGGTCCACCGCGTGACCAGCTCGTCTTCCTCCCTCTTGGCTTGCGCCGCTCTCTTCGCCTCTTCGTCCATTTCCTCTTCTTGCACCTCATCTTCTTCCTTGGCGGTGGTAGACCCTGCAGCTGTAGGAGAGATGCCGGCTGCCCTGCCAGCCACGCGGTCGTCGTCGTCGCCACCTTGGGCATCGTCATCCTCGGTGCCTTCGTCGTCCTCGGACAACAGCTTCCTTGATGCCGTTCTCCGTGGCCTCCTATTGGACTTTCGAGGCGAGGAGCCTCGCCGTCTGTTGCACTCGATTGCGTCGTGTTCTTCGTCGACATCGTCGTCGTCGGCTATCATGACACTGACCCGAGCCCGCCTTGACCTGACAGCGCCGATTCTCGAAGGCGTGCGCCGCGCCCGCGCCGAGGCCTGACTTGGCGGTGCCTCATCGTCTAGCTCAAACTCTCCATCGTCGTCGTCGTCACCGTCGGCGTCATCGTCGCCTCCGCCATCGTCATCGCTGCGATCGCGGTTAGCCCGCCGCCGGTCCATCGTATGGTTGATGTCCTGCTTGTTGCCGCCGTCCGACCCTCTGTCAAGGGTAGCGTCGCGATCGTCGCCGTTGTTCATTTCCAATCGTGGAGCGGGGCGGTGTGGCGTGCGTGTGCTTCTTGTCGCCTTGCGCGGTGACGGAGTGCGGCTGGAGGGTAGAGAAGGTGGTGAACGGGGTGCCGCGGTGCGGCTCGTTGGGCGATGCGAGCTTGGCTGGTGTGGTGGCCGCTGAAGTTGGGCTGTTGAGGAGGCGGCCGAGGTGGAAGCTGGGCCGTGGTCGTCGGCTTCAAAGTCGGACGATGAGGCGACGATGCGCTGTCGTTGCCGCTGCTGCTGCTGCTGCTGCTGTGAATGAAGCGAGGGTCGCTTGCGCTTGAGCGACTTTGTACCGGCGCTGGGGTTTGCGATGGGAGGAGGTCCAAGGCGGCTGGACGAGGGAGACGAGGTGGTCTGTGGAGAAGACATGGCGGTGAGCCCAACCGCCCCGAGACGATGCGATGGACAGCAAGGCTAGGGCGGTACGATGCTATGTCATGGTGGTTTGGACGAGAGTGTGGCGGGAAGTCACACGTGTGGCCAGAAGGGCAAGAAGGAGGGGCAGCAGAGAGGCAGAGAGGGAAGCCCGATGAGATTCAGCAGAGAGCGAGCGAGGTGCGGGGCGTTGAATGATGGGCCCGCCCGCCAACCAAACCACCTGCTGCGCCCTGCCTGCCACTCTGCAGGCCAGGCCAGGCCAAGAGGTGGAGCAGTGGGGGCGGGGCCTCTGCCGCTTTGACCTCGGCTTTGCCTGCCGGCCTGCCTCAACGCGACGCGCTGCGCCCGCCTGCCCGCCTGCCCGCCAGCGACCAACAAGAGAGTCCGTCCAGGCCAGGCCTGTCTGCCCCGCGCGTGACTTTCGACTGGCAGGGCCCGGTCTGGCCACTCCGACCCCCTCTCACTGGCTGCGCCCTCTCACCCTGCCTGCCTGCTCCTTCCAATTCACGCCACCTGCTCCCATCTCCCTCACTCTGCATGCTGCGCCCACCTTGCTTCGCCCATCCCCTTCCAGAAACGCTCCACGACCGCTCGACAGCCGGGGGACCCATCCCCACCCCACCCCCAAGCTAACCCTCAGTACCACCGGCCCCCATACCCCTCGCCCACGATGCCGCTCAAACGCCTCGAAATCGAAAACTTCAAGAGCTACAGGGGCAAGCAGGTCGTTGGGCCCTTTTACTCCTTCACAGCAGTCAGTGAGTGCACACGCTCGTCATCCATCCTCTGCCCGCCTCCTCCCAAAGTAGCACACTCACACGCCCTTCCCTCGCCTTGGTTCTCCAAAGTCGGCCCAAATGGTAGCGGCAAGTCCAACCTGATGGACGCCATCTCGTTCGTGCTTGGCGTCAAGAGTGCGCAGCTCCGCTCCAGCCAGCTAAAGGACCTCATTTTCCGCGGACGCAAAATGGGCCGCACCGACGTCGACGACCACCCGCAACCCGCCCCTGCAACGGACGACGAAGACCAAGAAGACGAGGGCGAAGGCACCGCCAAAAAGGCCAGCGTCACTGCAATCTACGAAGACGCAAAGGGCCACGAGCACCGCTTCCAGCGCATCATCACCCTCAGCGGCTCCAGCGAGTACCGCTACAACGGACGCGCCACCGCCTGGACCCAGTACAATGCCCGCCTCGAGCAGTTCAACATCCTCGTCAAGGCCAAAAACTTCCTCGTCTTCCAGGGCGATGTCGAGGCCGTCGCATCGCAGGGTTCCAGGGAGCTCAGCCGCCTCATCGACCAGATCAGCGGCTCCCTCGAGCTGCGCGACGAGTACGAAAGGGCCAAGGCGGCACAGGAGAGGGCCACCGACAACTCGACCTTCAACTTCAACAAGCGCAGAGGCATCAATTCGGAGCTCAAGCAGTTTCGCGAGCAAAAGAGCGAGGCCGAAAAGTTCGAGCGGCTGCAGCGCGAGCGCGAGGCCCACGTCATGCAGCAGATCATGTGGCGCCTCTACCACATCGAAGAGGAGATCGAGGCCAGCCGCAAGACGATCGATGAGCACAAGGACAAGCTCGGACCACTGCGCAAGCAGCAGAAGCGCGCCGACGATGCCGTCAGCGAGGCGCGGAGGGACCAAGGCCAGGCACAAAAGGAAATCCTCCAGGCCGAGCGCACCATCAAGCAGAAGCTGCGCGATGCCGAGGCGCTGCGGCCAGTGCTCGACGCCTACGAGGAGCGCCTGGCTCATTCCAGGAGAAAGCTCGACAACGCGCAGAAGCTTGGCGAACAGGTGGAGAGAGACCTCGAGAAGCAAAATGGCAGCCTCGCCAAGCTCGAACGCGACCAGGAAACGGTGCGCCGGGCAGCTGACCGGGCGGCCGAGGAGCAGCGACAGGCACTCGAATCAACGGGCCTCACGTTGAGCGAGGCCGACCTGGCCGAGTACCACGGTCTGCGTGCCCAGGCCAACATGCGCGCCGTCTCGGAGCGACAGGAGCTCGAGGGGCTTCGGCGCGATGCCCGCATCAAGAGCGACAACGTCAAGTCGTTCGAGGAGAAGCAGGAGCAGCTGAACAAGCAAAAGGAAAAGCTGCAAGCCGAAGAGACATCGGTCTCGGAGCGGAAGGCAAACCTCGACGGCAAGCGCACCCAGCTCGAGGAGCGACTCAAGCGCACCCGCGACGAGCTCGACGCGGCCAAGCAAGAACGCGAGCGGATCAATCTGCGCGAGACAAAGCTCAACGACACGCTGCAGGTTTGTTACAACAAGCTGGTCCAGGCCGGCCACGACCAGAAGGAGTCGGAGCGCGAGACGAGGATGAAGGAGACCATTGCAGCGCTGCAGAAGATTTTTCCCGGTGTCCGCGGTCGCGTCATCGACCTGTGCAAGCCGACGCAGCGCAAGTATGATCTGGCCATTTCGACGGTGCTCGGCCGCAATGCCGACGCCGTCATTGTCGACCACGAGCGCACCGCCATCGACTGCATCGAGTACCTCCGCAACCAGCGCGCGGGCCAGGCCACGTTCCTGCCCCTCGACAGCATCCAGGTGAAGCCGATCAACGACCGCCTCCGCAACATTGCCAAGGGTGCGCGCCTCGCCATCGACGTGATCCAGTACGACTCGGTGATCGAACGGGCCATCCAGCACGCGTGTGGCAACGCGCTCGTCTGCGATACGATGGACGTTGCGCGCACAGTCGTCTATGACAAGAAGGTTGAGGTCAAAGGTGGGTCCCATGCACCGTTCTGACCCGCCGTCGTTGCGCAGTCTTGCTCGTCGACGTTGACCTCCATGTCTCCCCTGATCTCCTCCTGTCACGACCTCTCGCCACAGCTGTGACGCTCGATGGCACCGTCATCCACAAGAGTGGCCTCATCACCGGAGGTCAGTCTGGCCAGGCAGGCGGCAAGCGGTGGGGCGAACGCGAGGTCGAAGGCCTTCAGAAGCAGCAGGACCAGTGCTTGGCCGAGCTCAAGGAGCTGCAGACCCAACGAAGGGCTGTGGTTAGCGACGATGAACTCGTGGCACAGGTCAACCGGCTCGAGGCGGAGCTCGTCTCGATGCGAGACGATCTCGCCGCCGTCGACAGCCGTCTCAAGGGCATCCGCGATGAGCTCAAGAACATCGACAAGCAGCTCAAAGAGACCAAGCCCAAGCTGCGATCGAGCCAGGCCGAGCTGCAGAAGCTGCAGGACCAGATGTCGTCGCTCGAGACCACCGTCAACCGGGAGGAGGATGCCGTATTCGCCACGTTCTGTGCACGGATCGGCGTGGCCAACATTCGCGAGTACGAGGAGAGGCAGGTCCGCATGATGCAGCAGCAGAGCGACGCAAGGCTGCAGTTTGACAGCCAGCTAGCCCGCCTGACGCACCAGTGAGTGACCCACCCACGGGCCCAGTGGCGGAAGAGCCTTTGCGCTAAACATGACCCGTAAATCCTCATCTGTTTCTCCTTCCTCGTCGCCGCGCGTCAGGGCCAACTTCGAGAGGCAGCAGATCCGATCGACGCAAGAGCGCCTCGAGAGCCTGAGGCGCACCATCGCCAAGGAACAAGAGAAGATCCGCACTCTCCAAGCCCAGAAGAAGGCGCAAGAGGACGAGATCGATGCCGTGCTTGAAGAGGTCAGCGAGGTGCAGGAGCAGCTAGACACGCTCCGCAGCGACTACGACGACAAGAAGGCGGCGCTCGATACGGCCAAGACCGAAGCGGCTCGAGCCAGCCGCAGCCTGGAGGCGGTGCTCAAGGAGATTGCGCAGCGCAATGACGAGATTGAGAAGCTCGGCTCGGAACGAACGGCCTTCTACAGGCGTTGCCGGCTCGAGGAGATCCAGCTGCCACTGGTCACCGGCTCGCTGTCCAAGGTCCCGCTCGAGGAGACGGGCGAGCTCGGCGGCGCGCTAATGGACATCGACGAGGCCGGCACGCAGGAGGCCGTCAAGGTACCCGACTACGGCATTGAAGTCGACTTTGGCGACCTCGACGACGAGGAGAAGGAGGATGGCGGGGCTGCCATGGGGGCCGAGCTCCAGTCGCGAATCGACACGGTGACGGCCGAGATTGACAAGATGTCGCCCAACATGAAGGCCGTCGAGCGCCTCGACGATACCGAGGCGAAGCTGGCCGAGACGGAGCGCGAGTTTGAGCGGTCGCGCCGCGAGGCGAAAGAGGCGCGCGACGAGTTCAGCCGGATCCGCAAGCGGCGGTGCGACCTCTTCAATCGCGCCTTCAACCACATCTCGTCGCGCATCGACTCCGTCTACAAGGACCTCTCCAAGGGCAAGGCGGCGCCAATGGGCGGCTCGGCGTACCTCTCCATCGAGAACACCGAGGAACCCTACCTCGGCGGCATCAGCTACTCGGTGGTCCCGCCCATGAAGCGCTTCCGCGACATCACGGCGCTCAGCGGCGGCGAAAAGACCATGGCCGCGCTGGCACTGCTGTTTGCCATCCACTCGTTCCAGCCCGCGCCCTTTTTCGTTCTGGACGAGGTCGATGCCGCCCTCGATAGCCAGAACGTGGCCAAGGTCAGCAACTATATTCGACAGCACGCCAGCGACCAGTTCCAGTTCATCGTCATCTCGCTCAAGGCGAGCCTGTACGAGCGCAGCCAGAGCCTCGTCGGCATCTACCGCGATCAGGACGTCAACTCGAGCTCCAGCCTCACCCTCGATCTCGAGCAGTACGCATAGCCGGACTCGGCGCCGCGGAGCGGCATCCTTCCCACTTTCCCATCTCTGTTGTACTATACGCACACCCGATTCAGCGATTCGATTCGAGCAGAATATCATCAAGGGTGTCTGCCAGGCTCACGCGTCTAAGCTCTGCACCCGCTGTGCCAGGCAGCCTGAAAAGGCCGTGTTAGGAAAAGGGAGCATCGCCGTTCGAGGTGCCGACTGCCGGCTGATGCCGCCCGCTCTTGCTGTAAGCCCCAAGCGGACGGGGCAGGGCGGTCATGGCTCCTTGTCTGCATTCTTGCCTGCCTGTTTTTCTCGTGGTTGCTGTGGTCGTATTGATTCGTTGGGTGAGGTCGGCGCACGCGCACTCATCACGACGAGGAGAGCAGGGTCTTGATGAGTGTCTGTCGCAAATCTCCAGATCAGGGCATCGGTCAGTGAATCACGCCACGAACAATGTACCTCGGTCTCTAGGTCATTGCCTTCAACTCACGAGGATGCGGGATCGGACCGAGGTCGGGTTTCGATCCGGTAGCTTGACAGAGATGGCTGGCACGGTCTGCAGGAGATGCTGTGGAGTCCGGGGTGAGTTGGCATGGCCGATGGGCAGCCAAAGGGGAGGGATGCAATGAATCAGCCCCGTCCAAGGAAATAGGAGCCGCACGATCGGCCGTCACACCTCACCTCCCTCATTGCCTCGATCAGGCAGATGTCCTCTTCCTTGGTGAAGCGAACGACTGTCCTGCCTTCTTTGGCAGGCTTGGTCGAGCCTTCCGGCTGTGCCTCTTCCTCTACTCCGGCGGCCTTGGCGGCCTCCTTCTTGACGCGGGGCTTGCGAGGCTTCGTCTGCTTGGCCTTGATCTTGCTCGGCTTGACCTTCTCGCCCTTCTCCTCACCGGCCATGTCGCCGTTTGACGTCGTATCCTCCTTTTCCTCTTCGGCCTTGGCGCCCTGCGCAGACTCTTTCTCCTGGCTCAACGGCTCCTGCTCGACCTCGTCCGGCTCCACCTTCGTCTCACTGATCTCGAAATCTCCTTCTCCCTTCGTTTTCTTCGCCTTCTTGTCCGTCTTCCTTCGGGTACCGCTTGCGGACGCGATGCGCTTCTTGCGGTTGGAGGTCGGGCGAGGAGGGGCCTCGTCATCGCTGGGCGAGAGCGAGGCCTCGTCAAAGTCGAAGACGTCCTCCATGACCTCGAGGTCCGACTGCGCAGAGTCCGACATGATGATGATGACGTCCGGCGAGTCCGGTATGGCTAGTGGTGGTTGCACGACGACCTTTGTCGGATTGGCCGTCTCCTGTTTGGTCGTCCGGGAACGCGATCGGGTCGCTCTGCGGCGCGAGGTGGCAGTCGAAACTTTCGTTCTCGGGGACTCGACAGGCTGCTTCGGAGGTACGTGGTAGAGGCTTTCGGGATCCAGGATTTTCGTTGCTGGCGACGGTGCTGGTGGGATGGTGCTGAGCGCTGACGTGTTTGAGTAGGTGGAAGGAGGAGAGGGAAAGACAGTCGAGTCAACGGCCGGGCTTTATAGGATGGCGGTCTGCCTCAAGAGGGATGCGGAATGGACGCCGACGACCGAGCCGTGGCCTGTAACTCACTGCGCGCCGCGAGCCGTTCCGCTCCTCCGCATCCCGTTGCTTCGAGGCTGGCTCCCGCTCGATTTGCTGGCGGTGTTCCGCTAGTAGCGGGGCGAGTGGACTCGGTTTGGCCTCGTCTGACCATGTCGCCGGTCTCTGTGGGCCCCTTGATCGCAGCAGTGTCTTCCCTTGCCTGTACCCGATCGCCCTCATTGGTTGTCATCTCTTCGAGGTCCCAGATTGACGGCACTGCGACGAACTTGAGCGACATGAGCGCGGGCAAACGTGCAGTGGCAGGCGATCTTGCAAGGCAAAGGTGCGGTGTAGGTGGACATGGGAGAGATAGAGGAGGTGCTGGACGTTGAGCGAAGCCGAGCCGTCTCCTATCCAGGGGCCAAAAGAGCTCTAGAGTCCCGCGCAAAGATGCCCAAGGGCATACATGCGGAAGCTTCCTCAGCGCCGGGATGACCAAGACGGACTCGATCATCGGGACGGTCCAGCGGGAGTGGCTGCAGGCGATGCCGCGTTTGGGGTTCCGCCTGCGGTCGATGTGTGAGCGGGAGTCGATCCGCCCCGTGATGCGGCTGAGCCCAATGCCAGCGTGACCGTCTTCTTGGCCACAGAGGCCTTCTTGCCGCCCCGTTGCGCCTTGGACACCGAATCTGACTCGGAGACGTCCACGTCGTCGTTGAGGATGCCCGTAATGATACCGGCCGCCTCGCGCAGCCGTGCCCGCCTCTCGAACATATCCCTGGCGAGCTCCTGCAAGGCTGCGGTATCCTTTGCCAGCGCCTCGGCCGGGTCGGCGTGTGAGGGCGTGACGGCGCCAATCCCGTCTTGCTCGGACTTGGAAGAAGTATCCGAGGACAGCGGTAGCGACGCGAGACCCTTGGTGTGCAATGTCCGGGCGAGGTTGGAAAGGCTGGCCAGGAGCTGTTCCCTTTTTGCTGTTCAGCAGGTCAGGAGCAGGGGATCAGAAGCGGGGGAAGACGGGATGAGCCATCAATCTAGGAGGGCAGGGGCCGGACAGGAATCTGCAGCAGATTGGAGCTCACCCTGCACCTGCCTGGAGTCCGCTTCTGCGCTCAGCGATCCCTCAACGGCGTCGTAGAATGCGTCGCCGTCCCTCGTGAGGGCGGGGAGGACGTCTTCGAGCAGTGAGTCGAGCGACATTTTGAGGGACACTTCTGGCCGGATGGTTTGTTGCTGGTGGTGCCGTTGCTGCCTGTGATGCTGCTGCAGAAACAGGTTCTGCTGCTGCCTTCCCATGCTGGCCATGTGTTGCAGCGCCACCTCCATCGGCATGGTTCCGTTCTGCACCTGCATCTGGAGCTGGAGCTGCATCTGCATCTGCGCTGGGGATTGCGCCGGCCCGTAGCCGCTGCCCATCGGCATTCCCGAAGAAGGCGTGGGAGCGCTGATGCCGGAAAGCATCCGACTGCCCTGGTTGAGGGCCGAGGTAAACGGAGAGTCGGTGCCCACCGGAGAGGCGCCGGGCGCTCCCGACAGGCCCGTCGCCATGGCTGCGGGAGAGAAGGCCGTGGGGATCGGAGAAGCCGAAGCAGCGTAGGCCGCCACGTTGGCCGGCGGCGACACCTGGTCAATCGTCCGCTTCCTTGACGGTGAGGGCTGCATGCTGGTGGCGTGTGGGAGGACCCAGGCGTGCGAGGAGGAACGAGTAAAAGGCGAAGGGGAAAGCGGACGACGACGGCAAGGAGTGTTGAAAGGCACCAAGCTCGAGCCCGTCTCAAAGAGGAACCTGGATCCGAACCTCCTTCACTCTGCCCATCCATCTATATCTCCTCGGCCGCCCCGCCTAACGAACGCCCTTTCCTCCACCTCCAAGACCTTTGCTCCCCAAAACGCGGGACTCGGACCTCGTCTGCTCCTCCCGCTGCCCGCCCTTCAGCCCGTCCGCTACCGCCATCCGTACCTTCAACAGGCATCATGGCCGTCGAAGGGTGAGCTCTTGAGGCAGAGACAAGACGTACGAGCCTAGACCTAACGCCACGACGTTCGGAGCTCCTGCCGCACCTAGAAATGGAACACAGATGGCTTTCGCCAGCCGCCTGGCTGGTGGGTGTCCCGGTCCAAGGGGAGACGGCGCGGTGCAAGACGTGCAGCTCAGACGAATCCCGATGCTTCTCAATTTGGGTCCGCCCACAGAGCTGTCGACGGCCAAGATCAAGGAGCGTCGTGCACGCGTCGCCGAGCAGATCAAAGCTGTAGGGCACGGCAGCTTCCGCAAAGGGAAATGGGGCTCGCGAACACTGCCGCTGACCGTCTATCGTCCTGTCCGCCTCCTGACAGTCCACCAACCAATATGTCATCGCCCTCGAGAGCGCCATCGAGGAGCACGAAGAAGCGCTGTGAGCCGTCTGCTCGACAATCCGAGGCGCGCGAGCCCGCAAAGAACGCGGCCACTTGACGACAGGAAGACTTCCACCGACTGCTCTGCAGCGAGGAGAGCTACCGCAGGTTCAAGCAGGAGGAGTCCAGCCGCAACGAGAGCATCGCCGAGGACTGGCAGGCCATCGGTGAGATCTACGGTCAACTTCAGGTGAGATTAGATCCGTAGCGGCAAGCCTCGTAAACTCGCCTACCCGGTCCGCCGCACATTCTGACGCAGTACATCGAAGTGTGGGGCTCCCCGTGTGCGACAGCGTGGTCACAAGAAGCTCTGCGAGTACATCCGACCCATCCAGGACGAGGCGCTCGCCAAGGTCGAGCATAGTCTGCAGGGGATTGAACATCACTGCGAAAGTAAGTTGAAGGTGCTGCGACGCCGCTTCGGCTTCCCTGCGTTGTCGGGAGACGCTGATGTCCTTGCATGCCGGCTCTTTCAGCGGAGGTGGAGATCATCGACCAGTGCGAAGGCTACGCCAACGGCAACGGTGCGGGAAGCAGCGACCAAGGAAGCGAGCGAGGACAGCGCAAATCGCCCAAGAGCGGAAACGGCAATAATGGCGACGGCAGCGAAGGTAGCGGAGGTGGCAGCAGCAAGAACGGCAAGCGAAAGGCCTAGCTGGCACCGCGAGATGGTTGGGGTGGCCAGTAGGAAGCGGGGGACTGAAGGCGTGGGGAGGGCCGGCGAAGAAGCCTAGGGTCCATACCAAGCCCGAGTCCCGCGGCCCCTGATTTTTCGAGAAGCCGGGCCCGCTGAAATTTTCGAAGGGTTGCCCGCCCGTCCCCCTCCACGCTCGCCCGGCCCCTGCTGTGCTTGTGTGTGCGGGCTGGCCACTGCCACGACCACCATCCTGCCATTCGTCTTCGCCGCCCGCCTGCACGCCGTGATATCCCCTCCATCCCATCATCGACTTCCGGCACAGCCTACGAGAAGTACTCTGATATCCGGACAGTCGCTACCGCCATCTCTATCTCCGACCCTCTTGCCATCGCTGCCGCCATGTCCGACGCTCAGGCCTCGGCGTCCAAGGGGGCCGACAATGTCATCGAGAATAAGAACCGGCGCCACCGCAAGGACAAGCCGTGGGACACGGACGACATCGACCATTGGGAGATTCCCGAATTCAAGAAGGAGGAGATGAAGGGTCCCCTCACGGAGGAGTCGTCGTTTGCGACCCTCTTCCCAAAGTACCGAGAGCGGTACCTCAAGGAGGTGTGGGCGGACGTGACGTCGGCGCTCGACAAGCACGGCGTGGCGTGTACGCTGGATCTGGTCGAGGGCTCGATGCTGGTCAAGACGACGCGCAAGACGTTTGACCCTTACATCATCCTCAAGGCGAGAGACATGATCAAGCTCCTCTCGCGAAGCGTCCCCTTTCCGCAGGCCGTCAAGATCCTCGACGACGGCGTCGCCTGCGACGTCATAAAAATCGGCAACATTGTCAGGAACAAGGAGCGCTTCGTCAAGCGCAGGCAACGGATCATTGGTCCCAACGGCAGCACGCTCAAGGCTATCGAGCTCCTCACCGGCTGCTACGTCTTGGTCCAGGGCAACACGGTCAGCGCCATGGGCCCCTACAAGGCGCTCAAGGATGTGCGGAGGATCGTGCTCGACTGCCTCAAGAACATCCATCCGATCTACCACATCAAGGTGCGTACCTGAACCCTGCAGTCCTCTCGCCGCAATTGCTCGATTTCTGTTGTGCCGTGTGCTGACCGCCTGCTCATCTTCCACCGTCTACGTATTCGACCGCTGCTGCCACTCAACGGAACAGGAACTCATGATCAAGCGCGAGCTGGCCAAGGACCCGAAGCTGGCCGAAGAGTCGTGGGATCGCTTCCTGCCCAAGTTTAAGAAGCGCAACGTCAAGTCCAAGAAGCCCTCGTCCGCCGCCGGAGGGCCGACGACGAGCGGGAGCAACGAGACGCCGCTCGGCACTCGCGCCGCGACCGACGCCAATGGCGAGGCGAGCTCCAAGCCCAAACCCAAGCCCAAGCAGAAGACCTACACGCCCTTCCCGCCCCCGCAGCAGCCGAGAAAGGTCGACCTGCAGCTCGAGTCCGGCGAGTACTTCCTCAAGCCCCAGGAGCGCGAACGCGCCGAAAAGGCAAAGAAGCTCGAAAAGAAGCTCACAGCCCAGGCCGAAGTGGCCCAGCAGCGCGAGCGGGAGCGCGAAAAGGCCTTCCAGCCCCCCACCGAGGGCGGCGCAGCAAAGGACGACAAGAAGAAGAAACGGAAGCGCGACGAAGCCGTCGCCGCTGCTACAGAAACCTCGTCGCCCGAAAAGAAGGACAAGAGGGACAAGAAGGACAGGAAGAAGAAGTCCAAGAGGGACGAAGAGTAGACGCCGCCTATGGCAAAACTCTCTGCGCTGCGCCGTAAATGTACAAGTAGTCTCATCGTGAATCGACGGCATGCCACGTATCTCCTCGTCCTTTCTCGGACAAGCTGCCTCGAGAGCGGTCCTCAGGATGGTTCGATTGTTCGGGCCTTTCAAGAATCTCTCTCCATGCCTTTAGGCGCAGCGACGCCGCTCGTCGCCACCTCTTGCTGGAGTCTTGTCACCTCAGCAATGTCCACCAACCGTACGGATGGGGGGCGGCATGGATGAAGCTTGCAGGCAACCGGACAAGGGTGAGCTGTTGGCATCAGTCGACGGGAGAGCAGCGACTTGGGCATCGCGGTCGGGTGAGCTGCGCCCGACCCTTGACCATGAGCTGCACTTCGGCTTTCCTAGATGTCGTCGATCCATGCTCTCCAGCCCTCGTCGCCATGGCCGTGGTCTTCTTCACGACCGACGCCGCTCGACGCCGGTTTGCTCCGATCAGGCCTCTCGCGACTGCCGGGGCGGTCGCTGCCGCTGTCTGCTGGGGCCCGCACACCGATGGCGGCCCTATTCGTCGCGAATGGCGTCTCGCACGGCCCACCGCGTTGAGGAGTGGCG